GGATCGTGGAGGAAAGATTTGTCAGTCAGGTCGGGGCGGTTCAAATAGCCGCGTGCAACACCGGCGCCGCCGATGTAGAGCTCGCCAACGGCCCCCAATGGCACAGGTTGTCCGCGCGTGTCTAACACATAAAGCCGGGTGTTTGCGATTGGTCGGCCAATTGGTACACTACTGGAATACGGCAGTGGAGCACGCATATCATACACAGAACATCCGACCACGGTCTCTGTAGGTCCATACTCGTTGACCAGCCGCACACCGGGCTGAAGACTCTGCCAGAGTGCGACAGTCGAGGGGCTCAGAGCTTCTCCACCAATCACGAACACATCAACCTGCGGCTTCACTCCATCGGCCTGTAGACGACGCCCCATCAAGTCCAGGTGCATCGGTGTGATTTTGAGTAAGCCCTCACCCTGTGCTTGGCGCACGTAGGATTCCAGCGACTCGACCTCGTTACCTGACTTCAGTAGCGTCACGCTGCTGCCGTACAGAAGCGGCGTCCATATGCTGGTGACTGTCGCGTCAAAGGAGATCGAGGAAGATACTACGGAGCCTCGCTTGGGTGCATACGTTTGCACAGCCCAGTGTAAATAGTTACACGCTCCGCTGTGGGAAATCATCACTCCCTTAGGGGTGCCGGTAGAGCCTGAGGTATAGATCACATAGGCTAGATGATGAGAGGCCAGCTCATCCAGATGCGGATTTGTATTGGTAGAACCTGACAGTTCATTTGGATCGATCACGGCCAAGGAGGCGATTGCTGTCTCGCCCAATGCGGCACGACCGGTCGCATCGGCCAACAAGACCTTCGGCGCTGCATCGGCAAGAATCTGTCGAAGACGGTCGCTTGCATATGCAGGGTCAATCGGAACATAGGCGCCACCAGCCTTGAGAATCGCCAGCATCCCCACTACCATTGCGGGGCTGCGTTCCAAGCAGAGCGCGACGAGAGCATCTGGATTGACTCCTAGACCGATGAGCTGATGGGCGAGGCGGTTGGCGCGTGCATTGAGCTCATCATAAGTCAGTGTCTGGTCCTCATAAACAATGGCAACGGCGTCTGGCGTGCGAGCGGCCTGGTCTTCAAACATCTGGTGAATGCACACTTGGTCTGGATAGAACACATCCGTGGCGTTCCATGTGTGAAGCAACAAGTCTCGCTCCTCCAATGGCAAGATTTCCAACTCTTGAATTGGCATATTGGGGGTGTGCTCCAATGCATTAGCTAGACTTTCCAACGCCTGCTGCATATAATCAGTAATGCGGGCCGCATCAAAAGGTTGCACAATCTGAGCGGTTAAGCCAAGCGTCTGGCCATAGTCTTCAATGTTCATCACGAACGGATAGTTTGTTCGCTCTTGCTCATGACCGATGACCATACCGGCAACCGTTGCGTTATTGCCTGTTACGTCTTCGTTGTGCCGGTAATTCAGCAGAGAGCTGAAGAGAGGGATTCCAGCAGGCACGCTGCTGCACCTTTGTGCCAGCGATAGCGACGCGTGTTCATGCTCCAGCAATGTAGCCAAAGTGGTTTGGGTTCGAGACACGCTCTCTTGGACGCCAATACTCTCAACATCAACCCTAACTGGCAGCGTGTTGATGAAAAGGCCCAATGCGCGGTCTGCTCCGGACCCAGCCTGCATTCGTCCAAAGAGCACAGTACCAAACACTACTCGCTGTTGTCCGCTAGTTCGTGCAATCACTTGCGCCCAGGCGAGATGACACAAGCTTGCAACGCTCACACCAATTCGCTTAGCATGGCCACGCAAGCGGACATTCAAGTCTTGTGGCAAGGGTCGGTGGTACTCTATGACATTAAGACCATCACGATGCACGTCGGACAACCCAAAAGGCAAAGCGGGCGTATCAATCTCAGCCAGCATCTCGGTAAAGAACTGCTCGTGTTCCACATCATTAGGTCCTGAGAGTGTTTGTGCAATGAGGTTACGGAACGGCTGGGGTGTGGGGAGCGACTCGCCTTGGCCCCTAAGAATCTCCTGGATCTCACGGTTCATCTCTTCCAGTGTGGAGTGGTCACCGATCATATGATGCAACAGCTGAACTACCATCCAGCGTCCATCGATGTCCTGCGCCATGATGTAACTGGTCAATGGGGCTTGCGTCAAGTCGATACGATACTTGCGAGGATCGACGATTTGCAGCAATTGCTCAGCTATGGGCCCGTCAGCGGAATCCAATGAAAGCTCGGTGATGGATAGCGGAGCATCACGCAAGACGACCTGAGCAGGAGAAGATAGATCTTCCCACATAATCGCAGTGCGCAAGATGTCGTGGCGAATGACTACCCGCTTGACCGCATCCAGATACCTGTCGAGTAGTTCCCTGCTGTCGAAGGTCAGGGAAATGGTGAGTAAATAAGGATCTCCCTTGGTTGCCAACAAATGATGGAACAGAATGCCATCCTGCAGAGGAGCCAAAGAGTAGATGTCTTGGATGTTGGACACTCCGCCTTTGACCTGCTTGGAGATGTTGTCAATGTCGTCTTGCGTCAGGTCGATAAGTGGCAGCATTTCTGGAGTCAGCCTGGTGGTATCAGGAGTGATAAGATTCTGTGGTGTGGCTGCCTCTGTTTGGTATTGGTTGAGTGATAGGGCCAATGCACTCAGAGTGGGCTTCTCAAACAGAGCACGGATAGAGAGGCCGAGTCCAATGCGGCGGAGGCGCTCGATCATCTGCACAGCCAGCAGTGAGTGTCCACCAAGCATGAAGAAGTTGTCATGACGTCCGACTCTGCTGATCTTGAGAAGCTCTGCCCAGATGACTGCCAGTGCAGTCTCAGTCGCACCTTCTGGCGCTTCGTACTTCTCAGTCACAAGAGCATCGCTGTCGGGCTCAGGGAGTGCGCGACGATCGAGTTTGCCATTTGCTGTCAATGGAAGGACGTCTAGTCGAACAAAGGCAGTGGGGATCATGTAGTCGGGCAGCCTTGCAGCAGCATGCGACCGCAGCGTCTGCGCAAGGCCCTCTGTAGGCTCAGCAACGACATAGGCAACAAGTCGTTTGTCCGATCCATCATCAAGAGCAAACACGGCAGCATCTTTGACCAGTGGGTGATCGACGAGACGCGCTTCGATCTCACCGAGCTCAATACGGAATCCACGGATCTTGACCTGGTGATCGTTGCGACCCAAGAAAATAAGACCCCCATCAGGGAGGAAGCGTCCAAGATCACCGGTCCTGTACATGCGAGCACCATCCTTCTTGGTGAAAGGATCGAGAGGGAACCTCTCAGCTGTCAGCTCTGGTCTGTTGAGATAACCTCGAGTAACACCCGAACCACCGATACAGAGCTCTCCTACAACTCCCAAAGGCGCTGGCTGACCACGGCGGTCCAGGACGTAGAGCTTAAGATCTGGAATCCTCTCTCCAATCTGGCTGACGGCTCGAGCGCAGTCCTCTTGTCTCATCGGTCGGTAGGTGGCATGGACCGTGGTTTCCGTCGTGCCATACATGTTCACCACCACGGGAGAGTCCTCGGGTCGCGTCGCATACCAAGGATGCAATGAGGCGGGCTCGAGCGCCTCACCTGCCAGGACGACAAAGCGCAATTTATCGCGAAGGTTACTCTCCGCCTGGCACCTAATCATTGGCTTGAAAGCGCTCGGAGTCATATTCAGGACGGTGATGCCTTGTTCACAGATCAAGCCATACAGGTCCTCGGGCGATCGGACTACATGATGGGATGGAATGACCAATTTGCCACCATAGCGGAGAGATCCCCATAGCTCCCAAACCGAGACATCGAAGCTATAAGAATGTATCATGCACCAGGTATCACGTTCGTTGAACTGATACCAGACTGCAGTTGCATCGAACAACCGGGTGACCTGCGCATGCTCCACCATGACGCCTTTAGGTTTGCCTGTGGATCCAGACGTGTAGATGACATAGGCAAGGTGGTGTGGATCCAAGCTGGAGACTTGTGGGTTGGAGATGGGTCCATCCAGCTGCAAGGTCGGATCGACCACCGTCAGCGGAGCCAAGGCTACCTCGCCGATTGTATTGCGTCCATGCTTGTCGGCCAAGATAATGGATGGAGATGCATCAGAGAGAATGTCACTGAGACGCTCACTCGCATACACAGGGTCAAGCGGCACATAGGCACCACCAGCCTTCAGGATAGCGAGGATTCCGATTACAATAGACATCGATCGCTCTACGCTGAGCGCGACGAGGGTATCTGGCTTAACTCCGAGATCGATGAGATGATGTGCAAGGCGATTGGCACGTGCATTGAGTTCGGCATAGGTCAGTGTCTGGTTCTCATACACGACAGCGACAGCGTCTGGCGTGTGGGCGGCCTGGTCTTCAAAGAGCTGATGGATGCATCTGTGCTCAAGGGGGGGCTCGTCGACGACGTTCCATGTCTGAAGCAAAAGGTCTTTTTCTGACGAGGAAAGAAGATCCACAGCGGCGATCGGCTGGGTGACGTCGGCAGCCATGGCTTCCAGCATTTTCTGCAGATAACCAACATGTCTCTCGATGGTTGGACCATCGAAGAGAGCCGTCGAATACTTCAGATAACCGAGAATCTCATTGCCAGTTTCTTGAAGATGCACCTCGAGAGCGAACTGGGTAGTAACGTCGTCCAAAGATACTTGGTTTAAATCATCATCATGCCACTGAAAGGCAACCTGGATCAACGGATCTTGGCTGTTCTCGTGTGAAGGCTGCTCAGCATCGACGGTATTTTCGAACAGGAAGCCCTGGTGAGCTTTTGCGGCCTGGAATGTCACTGCAACGCGATCAAGCATCTGAGCCGTGTTAGGGTCTTCAGATAGGTCAATGCGCAATGGCATTATGTTAGGGACGGAACCCTTTTCTTTGCTGTCATTGATAATGCCAACGACGATATCATCTTGTCCGGAGAGTCGAGACAGGACAGAGCTCCAGCCAGTCATCAAAGTCGTTCGCAGATCCACGTCGCGCTCTTGGGAGAGCTTCTTGAGCGATTGCACTAATGGAACGCCCAAGTGAATGGCCAATTGGTCCGCGGTAAAAGATCGCTGGACGGGACGAGGACGGTCCGTGGGGAGGTCGAGCAACGACGGCGCATCTGCAAGCGCCTGACGCCAGTATTGCGCCTGAATCTTGAAGCTCATACTTTGGACACTTGACCCGGGAGTAAGAGTGGTCACAGAACCACTATCTGATGCCGTTCGGGACATGGCGGTAGCGAATCCGCTATTACGTACCGGATTGAAAGCTAAACGGTTAGTAACCAAATCACCGGACTTTATATATCCTATAACCACCAATCACCCTTTTATATCTCCTTACCTTTCCGTGCCGACCGGCAGGTCGGTCGTCTTCATGCTGGCTCTGGCTTCGAAAGCATCGTCTTTGAACAACAGGGGCTTCTAAAAATATTTTAGGCATTCACCGGTTATCGGTTAACATTTCATACATGTAGATATATCCATAACGAAGGTGCACTTTTTAGTCTTATAGTCACGGCATCAAGCGTCTTACAATGTCTCTCTTGATCGACTCGAGAAGATTCGACGCAAATTGTGGGAGAAGGGAGCTTTCATTGGTCTCGCAGCCGCTAAATTCATTTGTATGTAACATAGAGAAATGGCACAGCTTCAGTGGGTTACTCAAAGAAACTTTAGGTCCCTTGCAGTATTTCAATTCCGATGGCTATACTACCACCACAATGCTGTGCTACATACCACTTGGTGTTCAGTAAATTTGCATTACTTTCGTTGAGAGAATTCTTGGCCACCATCTGGGAGGCATGAACCTATTCCAGGAACATTAGAATTGGCATATCGTTGGTGATCTGTCCAACCTGCAGTACTTCAAGATGTTTTGCTTGCAGAATTTAGACGTACATGACCGATTTCGTTAGAAGCAGCGACTAAAGTCGAGATGCTATCGAAGCTGTTAGCAGTCTTGATTGCCGCCATAGGATACGGGACGGGGATTTGTGCACCGTCAGCGACATGTACAATCCCCTCTATAAACCATATAGTAATCGCAAGGAAGGGTGAGTTGTAGCCTTGTATTCGCGTACATTCAAGAGTTCTGGCAATCACTTCAGCATCAGAGTAGGATCCGACGCATATTAAAGCAGAGAGTTGCGATTACCTTTGAGTGAATAGAGGCTAGTGTCAACGGGCTGTCCGTTGTTGGCATCGCTGCTGGACGTCAAGGAGCCCTAAGGCACAACAAGTTCGTATGTCGGGGTCTGGTTAGCAGATGATTTACTAGACCATTGCGCGCAAATGCCTCATGTATTGGTTATTGCAGAACACGTTCAGGATACTCACTGGAGCAACATTGACTGTCTCCTGCTGGTTGACTTCGTGGTCAGGGGTATGGGAATGCATGTTCGCGTTGTGGATGAAGCTAATCGTTTCTGTTCCAAAAGTACATCCCGTTAAAACTCCCATTCAGCAATAAACACGTCTTTGATTTGAATTTGATGAACTCTGTGATAGGCCGCACTCGCTGATACATATACATCTCGCTCGAAGGCAAGGTATATATAACGCTGGAAATCCACCCTTTCAAAGAACTGGCGTTTGGAGACTCAAGGGAATCATTTGAAAGGGATACTAGCGAATTTGATATTATTTCACCATCATACGCACCTGAATACAGTAGGGACTTTTTTGTTTTCGCTTCGGGATGGGGCTGGAAAGGATGAGGACCTGGAAGGATGTTCAAAGTGCGAAGGAAAGAGCGAAAATCAGCACAAAAAAATCAGAACAAAAAATCAGAACACTTGTGCACAGCTGTGCTTCTATGCCGCGTCACAATTTCGTCTCGTTGCTTCTACGCCTCACACAGCTTTGAAACTAGGGCATTGCGAGCACGAGCAGGAGCAGCAATATGGCGTGTAGGAGATTGCGTGGACCATGAAGAACGTTTGACTATAAGGACTATTCAAAAACACACGGCGACCACTATGTATTAAGCTTAAACGTTGAGTTTTGTAATATAAATGATGCAAAGACGGGAAAGAATATTCGCGCTTAGCCCTGACGGTGCATTCAGTGTACGTGAAATTGGGGACAGGATCTGCACCGGTGCTCATATGCCGAGGTGCCCCGTCTCGGTAACAAAGTCAACCAGTGGGGGATTGGATGTGCCGAGCATGCACAACATATTACATAGTTATGATGAGCGAAATATCTGCAGCTGTCCTACGACGCCTTTACTTTAAGAACGCGTCGATGTCCCTGAGGGTTTCGATAGTACGGTACCGATAGTAATACTGAGTACAGAGATGTAAACAGATTTAGCCCCTCGTCCTGATTCTATCCCGCCCTCGCCCTCGCCCTCGCCCTTTCCTTCTCGTAACCGTGCAGACGTGTAAATTCATAAAGTCCGAATTGCATGTGCTTGTCGAAATGGTGCAATTGACAGAGACATGTCGTCTCGATATGGGTCGATGGTGGCACACGGTCCTGCGGGATTAGTCGCTTTAAGGGTTGCACTAATTGACACCGGCCGTTAGGGTCCTCGGGCGTAAAATAAAATTTCCCAACGTACAGAAATCTGAGTTTGATCCACACAGCTCCCCCAGGAGAGCTCCCCCGTCCATGGGGCAACCTCGCACCAGCCATTGTCCCTTCTGATCCACGCAATGTGCTTTCCCTTTAATCCCTCGCTCCTCAATCCTAAGGTTTACACATTGTGGCACAGAAGCGATTTGGTCACTTCAATGTTCATTCCCATGGCGCAAGATACCCAGACTCGGGCTCATTTCCCTCAGCCCACGGTATTGTTCCTAGCGTGCTTTCGGTTGCACAGCGAGTTTAAGGCCAGTTTATCTGTGCCTTTGGCCTTGCCTCGCCCAATGGGAAATGTGTATTGGGGTGTACAGCAGAGACCGAATGACCGTCGAAGCCGTTGTGTGCTCGCTCGGCCCTCATGATTGGCCCAGCGCCATGGTGCTATGAAGAGAGCAGGGCGAATGGGCCGATAGTCTATCCACGTACCTTTGGCGAATAACGTCACGTCACCTCCATGCAACTTGCAGCCGTTGTACTGCGTTGTACTCTGTTATCCAGGCTCCATGCTCTTCTATCCCTCTTCCCTCTCTTTGCCCCCCTCTCGACTGCCTGCTCTGGTCCACTGATGCCATGCTGAACATCCAAGAGGCGCCTGCTGCAGAGACAACTGCCCTGCTGGGGGGAATCCCGTCCGGTGTTGCCAAGCCCCACGAGCAACGTGCTCTGACTTGGTACTGGCCATGGCAACCAAACTACTGGGCTGCCATCCTTATCATCTTCCTATCGAACCTGGCCAGCGGACCAACAATAGCGTTGATTGTCCCCTCCCTCAAGGAACTGTTCTGTGAACGAGGCATCCCAACATTATTCCCGGTCCACAACAGCACTGGGCGTGGGAATGATGGCCAGGCTAGTCTGGCGCAGCTGACTGGAGATCTTCCCAATAATGATGATGGCCATTGCGATTCTGCAGAGTACAGTGCCGCCATCGCAAATTTTGTCGGCATCAGTTTGACGCTCACTGCTATCCTTGGTACAGTACAGGCATGATGAGTGCTCTCTTTCATTCTTTCTTTTAGCAGTCGTTTTAGGGGAGCACTACTGACAGTCAATCGAAATATCTTCCTGTCATGAAACGTATCGCCATTCAAGTTGCGTTGACGATTCGTTACTGGTCAGGACTAGGTGATCGGATGGGACGCAAACGAGCAATGCTGATCGGCGTCACTGGATCTGCCTTTTCGTGCACCTTAGCTGTGCTGGTCCGCCTCAACAAGGGTATGAGTCTTTATTTCCTGCGGCTCGGTAACATTTTGGATGGAGCGACAGGCTCCTTGGCGTTGCTCGAGACCCTCGCGCATGCGTATGCGTCCGATGTTACCCGCGCGGAGGAGCGGACCGTGGTGTTTGGTCGATTAGTTGCTGGAGAGTTTGCGGGTCTCGCACTAGGGTACTAAAAGTCGATTCTCGAGTACACAATCATAGAGATCATCTTAAGCTGGTTCTTGATGAGCGTCATTCAAACTAATAATGCGCTCTACGCCGCTTATCATTTTGTTGTCGACTTAGATCTATCCTTGGAGGAATGGTTGCCAAGCAGTTTGGGTTAACCGCTGTCTTTGTTTGGTTGAACCCGGCTCTCGTTATCCTCAATATCTTCTGCATCTCAATGATCCCAGAGTCCCTGACAGTAGCTTCATTGGACAACAAACGCAAGCAGCAGATTCAGTCGAGTTTTGAGCAAGGGGAGCAAGACGGATGCCAGAACGGGTCTGATCCAAGGAATTTGGAGCCGTTCAAAGACACAGAGCCTCATTCACAATATCTGAAAGCACTTATCAAGAGACTCACTCCTGAGCAGCTGCCTGACCGACTCGCTGGCGAATACAGCGTGCTGATGCTCATGATTACCTCTTTCATAGCCCTTGTGGCCATTATTGGTAGACAAAGTCGTTTTTCGCACGCTATTTGCCTCAAAAGAACATATTGTGATGATAAAGGCGTCCTGGGACAGTTATGTTCACGCGAATGCTAAATCGGTTCCTAATGCTCTCTGTGTCTTCCTAGGTGTAAACTCTAATATTTCAACGTACCTGCTATACCGGTTCCGTTGGTCCGAGGCCAGGTTGAGCTCTGTTATGGCCGTCATAGGTTTAAGTCGACTGGTGTCTTTGACATTTCTGTTGCCCCGCTTCAAGCGACTGGCTCCCCAAGACGCCCTTACCGACCCTGTGGCCAGCATCAGCTTTGACCTAAAGCTCGTGGTCATTGGTTTGCTGATTGAGTCCTTGACATTTTTCTTATATGGTGCCACGCCTGTAGGAGAAGGCTTTTATCTCGGAGGAGTGCTCAGTTCCCTTGGGACAATGTTCTCCCCCGCTATTCGGGGCATTATCTCACAGTCTGTGGCACCCGAACTATTAGGCGAGACCCTGGGGACATTGGTCACGTTCGAAGTGCTGTCAGCGGCGGTGACGCCTTTGCTCTCTGGGTGGTTTTATGGGATAACACTAGAAATCTGGCCTTCAGCGCTTTTTTATGCATCGGGTGTCCTGGGTCTCTTTTCGTGTGCTTTAGCCTTGTCTGTGTTCTTTAGTCATATGCGAATTACACACGATCGAGTGTAGATAGATATTAGATACACTGTCAATATACATATCCACTTTCAGCTGAGAGATTAAATACCGTACTAAAGTACCTCTGTTCCGCGGAAATCTTCCAGGCTGTTGAGGCCTCTGCATGACTGGTAGACTTGTATTGAGCAATAAAAAGACACTGCTCTGTCATGGCGGCAAACTATAGATGGGAACGTCTGGTTCACAGGATTTTCTTTTCAAAAAATGACGCTCACTCTAGCTGTGCAACGATCTAAAGAAACTCTACAAAGCAGCTCCTGGCTCAGCTTATCTCGGAAATCCTGGCCATTCTACGTTCCGGGACCGTAGAACCCGAGAACAAAAAGCCGAAACTGACGGGAAAAGATTCCTAATTGCGCTGTTCGTCAAGCTCATAATCAGCGGCTGCTGTGCTGCCATAGAGAAGTAGTGTGTGAGCGGACAGTGTAGGGCATTGACGCACAAAAACAAATTAGTCCAGCGCAGGGGCATCAAGATGTGCTGCAGCTCATAATGATGCAACCCAAAAATGGACACCATGTCCGCCTCCCTAGCCAGGCACTCGCGGTATAAAATCAAAGGTGTTTATTTTCCCTCTGCCCTCGAGTTTTTCCCTCCAGTACTCCTTGCTTCCAGCTTCCCTCCTTCAATTGAGTGTTCCTGAGGCCCCTCTGTCCATACCAGCAAAGCTGACCGCCACATCAGCATATCCGCACAAGTTCCCTCTCTCATCAAAGATACGCTCGGCTGCCAGACTAGCACAATGGGCGTTGAAGCATTTTGCAATGACGCCGAAGGCTGGGTAAGTGAGCGAGACCCTCGATAGAGGAGCCAAGGGTGGATAGATAAGCAGTCCGTAGAATCGAAATGTGGACACTGACACCTCCCCTTTCTTTTTTTTGACAACAACCAACAGGGTCCTATCAGCGACGCCCGAACGGACTTGACGCTCTGCGTAGAGAACACCATCCTTATAGGGCTTCCCGCCCTCATGGCGATCGTTGTCTCCGTCTTCCAGACGTCCCACATGTGGAGATCAGGGCATCCGCACCGCCTTGGTCGTACCAACGTCATCTATTGGCCCTCGCAGGCTTTGATGCTCGGTAGCGCCGTTGCGCTGATTGTCAGGGCCGCCCTCCTGAAAAACGACGACTACGCACCCGCGACCGTGTTTGGTTCCATTATCATGGCTATTGCTTGGGTACGAAGATGTCGATATTCATATCCGCATTCAGTCGCCGCAGTCTTCTTACTTGTTGCTCTTTGAAACTTACATCGCTCCTTTTTCTATGTTTTTCTATGGGCTACAGTTGGCGTCCATTATGTTGAATTATTTCCAGCACCTGCAGGAAATCCGGTCAAACAACACTATCTTCACCCTCTACATCTTTTCTACAATCACCTCGGCCATCACTATCCGCACCATGATTTTGCTCAAGCAAACTGATCAAGACCAATTCAAAGCATTTATCGCATTCGTAGCCATCAACCTTCTTGGTTTCATTGTCGAGGCCTGGCCTAGAGGACGCACCGATGTCCAGTGCAGGAGCGGAGGCAACCGGTACGATAAGGCCAACCTGTTCTCTCGTCTGACTTTCCAATATATGCAGCCTATTGTCAGTGCAGGATTCAAAAGGCCTCTGACATCCAAGGATATCGTCAACATGATGCCTGAGCGGTCCAAAGCCAAGTTTAGTCACGATCGCCTCAATGACAGATGGCAAGCAAACGTGAACAAGCACCAAGCTCGTGGCACAAAGCCGGATCTGTTTTGGACCGTGATGGGGTCCTTTGGATGGGCTTGGGTCCCCATGATGTTCTTTCGCATCGTAGCGTCGACGTTGACATACGTCCTCCCTCTGCTCCTGAACGAAATGCTCTCATTCATTGAATCCTACCAAAGCCCTAATCCTCAGCCGGTTGCATTGGGCATTATCTTGGCCTGCGGCATGTTCTTCGCTTCGATCTTGAATGCAGTCTGCATGGAGCAGTTCTTCCGTTCCACCGTTAACGTGAGTGTCGAGGCCAGGACAGCACTTATAGCCATGGTATACCGCAAATCGCTCAAGCTCTCGGGGGCCTCCAAGCAAAAATTCACGACCGGTGGGATCATCAACCACATGTCGGTTGATGCCGAACGATTTGACATATCCTTCCCGTCTGTGCCCAACCTTATCTCCACACCTTATGAGATCTGTATTGCCATCTGGATGCTCTACCAGCAGATCTCTTGGTCTGTCTTTGTAGGCGTGGCCTTCATCCTCATCGCGGGCCCTGTGAATGGAGCCTTGGCTCGTATTACTTTCAAGGTAAGAAAAAAAAAAAAAGAATGCAGCGCATGAATTTATTTTTTTATAACGGTAACTTTGGCTAATTTTGAAAGCTCATTACTTCGTCCTACTGCTTTCTTCACAACAGCAACGATCCGTCAAGATGGAAGCCACGGATGATCGTGTGCGTCTCACGAATGAGGTGCTGTCGGGTATGAAAGTCATAAAGCTGTATGGCTGGGACGAGTCTTTCCGACAGCGCATCAATATGTATCGTCGCCGTGAGCTCGTCAGTCTCCGCAAGATTGGCATCACCTTTTCCTTCATGTCGATCATGTTCCAGTCCATACCGTTGCTCGTATCCCTCGTCTCCTTCGCTGTCTACGCAACTCATGGAGGACCCAATTTCGGCCCAGGAGAGATCACCCCTCAGCGTATCTTTGTGTCAATCAGCTTGTTCACCTTGCTCACTACTCCCATTGCAGCAATGTCGCGCGTCGTTGGAGATACAATTGCACTCAAGGTCTCTGCGAGTCGTATCCAAAAGTTTCTGCTGGCTAAGGAGCTCTCCGGGACCGCTACTGAGGCGATCGAGACACTGCCAGAGGATCCAAGTGTGCCTTTGATCGAGATCAAAAATGGTGTCTTTGCGTGGGACCCAGAAGAACCCGAGGTCGAGACCGAAAAGGAAAAGAGGGCTCGTGAGAGACAAGAGGCCAAGAAGCACAAGCTAATGGAGAAGGAAGCGCGCCTGGCTGGAAAACGTATGCCCGAAAAGGAGGTACACATCGAAAAGGACTACGGACCAACGCTGGTAGACATCAACCTGGCCATCGCTCACGGAGAAATGACCGCCATTGTCGGAAGAGTTGGACAAGGCAAGACTTCCCTGCTGAATGCGATCATCGGAGATATGTACAGGCGCCAGGGAAGCGTGAGGGTTTATGGAAGACTAGCATATGTTCCACAACAGACTTGGATCATCAATGCGACTTTGAAAGACAACATCATATTCGGAAACGCGTTTGACCAGACCCGCTACGACCGCGTCCTCATGGCTAGCGGTCTTTTACCGGACATTGCAATGCTCCCAGCCGGTGATCAAACTGAGATTGGCGAGCGTGGAATCAACCTATCTGGAGGCCAGAAGCAGCGAGTGTCTTTGGCTCGAGCGGCCTATGAGGATGCCGATGTGTATCTGTTTGACGATCCTCTGAGCGCTGTCGATGCACATGTCGATCAGCATCTCTGGCAGCACTTGATCGGACCCACTGGCCTACTCAAGGACAAGGCTCGCGTCCTTGTCACCCATGCCATTCACCACTTGGAGCAAACTGACCAGGTCATCGTGATGAAGGATGGAAAAATCGCTGAGCTCGGGAAGTACGAGACCTTGTTAAACGCCAAGAACTCGCTGTACCAACTGATCAGGGACTTTTCTGTTAAACGAGACGTACCACGCAAGGAGAACGAAGAGAAAGTCGAGAATAATGGGGACGAGGACACCATCCATGCAGATGGAACTGAGAGAGAGACCACGCCAGATGTTAAAGAGGACGACAAGGCCGAGCTGATCGCAGAGGAGAAGATGGAAGAGGGAAGCGTATCATGGAATGTATACAAGAACTATGCTAAGGCAGCCTCATACAGATACTCCTTTTTGGTTATCTTTCTGTTTGCTTTAGGCCAGGGACTACAGGTAAGGGTTTAAAAACAGCCTTTGGCGTGCCGCGGTTGATCTCAGATGCTTACCTGTGGTCATCTATTTCGTACATAGATTGGAACCAATATCTGGCTCGAATACTGGACAAGTGTTAGCGGATCAGGTCGCCACACTATTGGAGAGTTCCTTGGAGTTTATGCAGCGCTCATTTTCGCGTACATGGTTATCAATATCGGCTCAAGCTACATTGCGATGGTCATCGCAGCTCTTCGCGCGTCTGCAGGCTTGCATGAACGCCTTTCGGCAAAGATCTTGCGTCTGCCTATGTCCTTTTTCGACACGACTCCGCTCGGAAGGATCGTGAACAGATTTAGTATGGATATCTTTTCGGTGGACGAGGTTGCTCCGTGGAACTTCATCGATGTTATTCTCTGCCTGGATTCCATCCTCGGAACTATGATCGTCATTGCGACGACAACTCCTGTTTTCCTGGCTCTAGTTGTTCCAGTGGCTGCCCTATATATCCTCACGCAAACATTCTACATGCGGACCAGTCGCCAGCTAAAGCGAATTGACTCTGTATCCAGGTCGCCGATTTATCAGCACTTTGAGGGAACTTTGTCCGGAGTGACGACGATCCGCGCACTGAGAGCCAACGAACGCTTCATTTTCGACAATGCCGCTAAAACTGATATTTCTGCCAACGCCCTGTATTCCTCTTACATGATCAACCGATGGCTGCAGGTAACTTTTTAAAATCGCTTTCACCACCTAATATGTATTGATTAATATGCTAACATGCGCCATTGCTCGCTCGCCAGTTCCGCCTCGATAGTTTGGGCGCTGTTATTGTCTTGGGCGCCGCTCTCTCTGCTGTAGTAAGCAGAAACTCTTTGAACTCTGGCAACGTCGGACTTGCCTTGTCCTATGCGCTCTCGTTCACACAGATGTCTACCAATCTCGTTCGCAGCTACTGCAATCTACAAAAGTAAGTTCTTTCACATTGTTCGGATTCGTTGCTTCTCTTAGTAGAATATGAGAACCAACTCTCTGAGGCTCCTCGTTCCATCTAATCTAGTCAACTGGTCGCTGTTGAGAGAATTGAGGAGTACGCTAACAAGAACACCGAAGCTCCCGCGGAGACGGACGTCATTTTGCCTGAGGGCTGGCCTCAAGCTGGCCATGTTGAATTCAGGAACTATTCCGCCCGCTACCGCCAGGGTCTTGACTTGGTCGTCAAGAACGTGTCATTTGAGGTGCAGCCCGCCGAGAAAGTAGGCATCTGTGGGCGAACTGGAGCGGGTAAATCCTCCTTGACGCTAGCTCTCTTTCGCATCATTGAGGCGGCCAATAGTCATTGGGCCAAGGCTAGCGATAACGGCGCTGATATGGATGCTGACCCAACAAAAGCGACCAGGACTAACGATCTGGAAAACATCGAGGTCGAGGAGGATGGAGGTTCAATTTGGGTGGACGGCGTGGATATTTCGACGGTCGGACTCAGTCGTCTTCGCCAGCATTTGGCCATCATCCCTCAAGACCCAATATTGTTTCAAGGAACTTTGCGCGAGAACTTGGATCCTTTTGAAGAGTTGCAAGATGCAGAGCTATGGGAGGCCTTGGAACGTGCTCATTTGAAAGAACATATCTCGACGCTACCTGGTGGACTCTCCTTCAAGGTCTCTCAGAATGGAGACAACTTCTCTGTTGGCCAGCGTTCATTAATCTGCCTTGCTCGAGCCCTCCTCCGGAAATCCAAGGTTCTCCTCCTCGATGAGGCCACTGCTGCCGTAGATGTTGAGACGGACGAGCTGATCCAAGCAACCATCCGTAAAGAATTCAAGGATCGCACGACCTTAACCATTGCCCATCGCATCAAGACTATTATGGACTCAGATAAGATTCTGGTCTTGGAGAAGGGTCGCGTAGAAGAATTCGAGTCCCCTCAAGCACTTTTGCGACGTCCCAACTCTTTATTCTACCAGCTTGCTCGGCAGGCAGGTGAAATCTAGAATTATGAGGATTAGTTAGGGTCACCTTCATATACTTCTCCACTCCATTATTCAGGCTAGCGTTTTATAAAGCGTGGTCATAGTCGACTAATCACTAAGATAAATCATGAGCGTTATGTTCAATAACAGATATGGACTTTTCTTCTACTCCAGAGTGCCCTTAACACTGGGCCCCCTCATCAAGTGTATCTACCTTCTATGCGTAGTCGTCTATGTCGCGCGAAAGGTCGCAATCGGATGCCATAGCTCGAGACCGAAACGGGGCCTAATGTATTTCTGTTTTTCGTTGAATGATTGTGGGAGCAGTACAGCTTTGCTTCCGTTCGCTGTTCCAAGTGCGCATATGCTCAACTTTCAACCATGGCTATCCTGTGACAAAAAGATAAAGCCGCATACCTAAACCCATTCTGCTTTATGATTCAATTGAAAGGACTGGGGTATAAATCCTGGTACGCATGCGTTCTTTCATGTCTATGGCGGAGATGCCTATCATCGAACAGAAGACTCGGGTATGATGGCGCCACAGACTCCTTGCAAGACACAATTTCCTGATCATTGCTTGCTATGCCATGAACTTTCTCCGATTTTTCTGGTACTAGTGTTCCTTGTACGTTCTGTTATCAGAGCGAGACATGGAGAGAGCAGCGACAGCCTTGTTTCCTACTATAAAAGTCATTGATAGACGATGCATTGAAATCAAAGTCCGAAGGAATTACGAGAGATAAGAGACAGTAGGCTAGGAACGAGAGAAACAGACAGAGGGCACAGAAAAGTATAAAGCGAACATAGTGACGCTGCGTGCTTTTCTATCCGCTCCATGCGACGTCTTCTCCCTAGCCCTTGTGGAACGTGCGACAGGCTAGCACCCACAGCGAACACTAAGAAAAAATTAACTGCATCATCAATCTAGCTAGTCTACTCATGCTGTATGCACTGGCTCGCGATGAATTATACGGAGAATGTCCGATTGGTTTTTTCGACGACTACGTACATATTGAGTTCGACTCAGTCGTTTCTCTCAGGGTACCTCAATATCTTAACCTCATGTAACTTTGTCGGCTCATGCTAGGCTAAAAGAAAAGCAATGAGACAGACAGTGCCACACGGGTACATGCGCTAGCATTGTGCAACTTCTTATGCAGGCCGCAGTTTTCTCTTTGGCCGCAAACATTTCCGATGTTGATACTTGAGCGTGTACAGATCTCCCACGACTCCTGCCATTATAAATTATCACCCATAGGCACCCTGAGGCGGGATTGACCGACTCGTGCTCTACTTTTTCGCTTTCCTTCTCATTGTTTACACCCTGCTATTCGATCCTCAATCCTCCCGTCTATCCCCTGCTAGTGCCTGCTCAGATCCGTAATAATGACCATCCTCGCAAAGTCCTCTGCCGAATTGAGCTTGGAGTCTGTGCGCTCGCTCTATGACCAGCTTTCTGTACACCTTAAGGACCTGTCCGTCCTGCAGGGCATCACTAGACTTCTCTTCTGGGACCAAGAGACCATGATGCCTGCCAAGGCTGCCCCTATCCGCGCCCAACAGGTATTTATTTGTCACAAAAACTGATTCGCTCAATAATTGTCATAGCATCCAATTCGCTTACCAATTGACACGCTCTCTCTTTGCAGCTGAGCGTCTTGGCTGGCTTGACCCACGAGGCAGAGATCTCTCCCGTCTTAGGATCTCTAATTGAGGAGTTCGAGAAGCGCAAGTTGACTGAGGACCTGCACAAGGAATTGAACCCTTATGAGCTCGCGAACATTCGCCTCGCTACCAAAGCCTACAAAGAAAAAACATTGCTGCCTATTGAGCTTGTCAAAGCCATCGCTACCCTGAACTCCGAAGCCGTCATTGCCTGGGCAGAGGCTCGCAAGGAGTCTGACTTTTCCAAGTTTGCGCCGTTCCTCGAGAAGCAAATCAAGATTCTTCGCCAAGCGGCTTCACACAAGATTCAGGACAGGGCCTACGCGGAAGCCCGCAAGATCAACAAGAAAGCTCGCGCGAGCTTGGGCCTTAAGGAGGGCGAAGAGTGTTACAAAGGCTATTACCAGGTCTTGCTCAACACTTATGAGGCTGGATTCAAGGACGCCCACTTGCAGGTCTTGTTTGCGGACTTGAAAAAGAGCATCATTCCCTTGATTGCCAAGATCAAGGCCAAGGAATTTCACCACGACAGAAGTTTTATCCAGGGTGATTGGGATATTCAGAAGCAGGTCGAGTTCTCGACCCGTATCTCCAAAGAGATTGGGTTTGACACTGAAGCCGGTCGTCTCGATGTCTCGACTCACCCCTTCTCCGGTGGCGCTCACCCTACGGATGTTCGTATGACCACACGCTACATCATCGACAACTTTCAGGAGGGCATCACAGGTACTATCCACGAGACTGGTCATTCTCTCTACGAGCAGGGACGCAACAAGGAGTACGACAACCTCCCTGTCTCCCAGTCCCTTTCATTGGGCATCCACGAGTCTCAGTCTTTGCTCTGGTGAGTTGAAGTCCATGGCAGAAAAACTCTAAATGCCCTACCAAGCTCAAATGTACTCGACTCTAAGATGAATTTTCAACCATCACAACCATCATAGGGAACGCATGGTTGGTTTAAACAAGCCCTTCTGGACATATGCTCTTCCTCACCTCAAGGCCCAGTTCTCAGGATCCTCCCATGAGAATCTCCAATCTGCCTCCTTGGAGCAGTTCTACAACGCATTCAACAGAGTTGATCCTGGCTTCATCCGCGTTGAGGCCGACGAGGTAACCTATCCCTTACACGTCATTCTGCGATATGAGATCGAGAAGGCTCTGGTGGAGGGCGACATTTCCGTTGCCGATGTCCCAAGGATCTGGAACGCCAAGATGAAGGAGTACCTCGGTTTGGATGTCACGGAGGATCGCTTAGGATGTTTGCAGGACATTCACTGGGCAATTGGCTACATTGGCTACTTCCCCACCTATACTTTGGGATCCATCTATGCAGTCCAGATTTTCGATGCCGCCAAGGAGGCGATCCCCAATTTGGAGGACCATCTGGCCAAGGGCGAATTCCACGTCCTGAGACATTGGTTGAACAAGAACATTCACGAACAGGGCTCATTGTCAGAGTCGGGTGAAGATCTCATTTATAACTTGACCGGCAGACCTTTGGACAGCTCGCTCTATCTCCGGGAATTGACTGACAAGTATGCCAGGATCTATGATCTGTAAAATGCCATATCCTCTCGGGCAGTGTCGTTTGATTTTGTCTGCTTTTTTTTTTTGCTGTAACTTAGACTAGCAATAAACTTCAGAGCATCGGCGCTATGTTGTTAAGCCTATTATCCTTTGGGGTCAGGACTATACACGTATTGTCTTCTTTATTGAAATAAATCCTGTTCTTGCACCGTGAGTGTCTACTATCTTCGCAAAAGTGAACCAGGGGGAGAAAGAAAAAAGATGGGACATATGTATGGTTCTGACCCTCGGATAATAAGCTTGGATCTTCATGTTATTCGACTCTGCCCGCAAAGAAACCCATCTGACACAGTCACACATATAAGCCCACTAGACAATAAACCTTTTTTTTCCCTGAACTCTAACATTATTGGTCATTTGGTTCAAGCTTAGTTGAGCTGGATCAAAATAAGCTTAAGGAGGGCTGTGCTCTTGATGCGACTCAGACATGGTTCGTGCAGCGACCTGGGAAAGATGGAAGTGCAAGAAACGTTTATCTGTTCAATTGTGCGAACTCCGGACCGGACTGAGATACGGTAGAAGCGAGGCCTTCCGAGGGCAAAGGGGGGCCATCGGCTTAACCTTAGCAGATCTTGACAACAAGGTTACTCTACTAATTGCAACACCCTGTTCAATAAATGTCGCTCGCAATGGATTCATTCCTTTCGATATTTGAAATTTAAAATTAGCAGGTGATTCATGAAGCCTGTAAGAGTTTTTCGTGGAAGAGCTCGGCAAGGTGGGCCTAGGGACAAGAGTATGACTAGGACTAGGACTAGACAAGACTAACAGACTAGTCTAGACACGCGTCCTCTTCATAGATGTCTATAGCTGGCCTCGTACATGTGACCACGGTTCAATCACAGAGATACAAATCTTTGACACTCCCCTTCCTATTTTTGATTGTACCTTTCCTTCATCCCACGAGGAGCATAGTAACTTCGACGAACAATAAATACACATACATACACACCCACACTCCCTACACCCCCTTCGTTCTCGTTGTTAACCAATGGTTGCACAAACCCGCCAGCAGGTAGTCAAGGCTGCTCGCACGGCGGAACAGGCAAAGGTGACAGCAGCAGCAGGCCTTTCGTTTGACGGTTCCGGTCCGAAAGGCAAGAGCAAGATGAAGCAGACCAACAGAAATGCAGATGAGGGAAATGCAGTGATCTCATTGGCACGTCGGACCATCGCTCGAGATGAGCATGGACTTTTGGTAAGCACTCCACCCCCACACCCAGTTGTTTCCTCCTCGGGCAGGGCTGTTAACGACGGGGCTGAGGACATGGAAGTAACCATGGACGAAGCTGAGCACACTCAGAGCGTTGAGGCGACTGAGATCAAGGATCCAGGAGAGGATGCTGCCAATGGCGAAGGCTCTACTGAAGCCATTGCCGGGGATCATCCAGAGGAGAGTGTGCGTTTCGATGACATCGTCGAGGATATCGACGAAGACGACCCAGGTAGTTTCCAAGTGATTCGACGCACCCGCGAGAAGTTCAACAGGGTTCTGGTCCCTCTATCTTCTCTGCGTGGCGAAACAACTGAAGAAAAGCGGGAGGACCTGATGGGGATGCTGAAGGCGGCCGAGGTCAGTGTTTTGGCAAGGATCAAGACAAAGAAATTCGATGGCGAACATCTTTATTCGGTGTCAGTGGAGACAGAGGCTCAAGTTCAGGAGCTGCTAAAAATGAGGACTGAGAATGCGGACGGAGCCCGCGCTTTCATCTTCCGCCGCGCGAATGACGACTGGAGTCAGGACCGCCGTCGACGAACAGTGGAGGTGTGCGGACTTCCCCCACGCATAACGGACACGCTGGTCCGTTTGTCATTGCAGAAATATGGAGAGATCGAGGACATTTCGCGTCACATTTGCAGCCGCGGTATCAAGGTAACCCTTGCAGTGCGTTTCACGTCCCAAGCGGGCATTGAGAAATTGGTAGAAGAGGGCACTACCTCTCTCTTTGTGGGCAATGAACACGCTCGTTTGGGTCGCCTTGGTGCCGTGTCATTGCAATGGAACACGAGGCATGTATGCAAACTGGCGGGCTTGCCTTCTCAGACGAGCCCCCTCGATCTCTCGGATTTGTTGGAACTGAAGGCTATTTACATTGATATACCCAAAGTATTTGTGGATAATCAAATAAAATACCGACGAGAGGCGTATGTTTACTTCAATTCTGAAGAAGACATGAGAACTGCAACAGCCAATCCTATCAAGCTAGGAGACAGGATTTTGGAGTGGTGCAAGACTGGCCACAAAGTTTGTTACTCATGTGGTTCGAGTAGGCATCTCAGAGCCGATTGTACGACGCGTACCGAGAACAAGGAACGATATCTTCATGTGGAGGCGGTGAGGAAATACAGTCAAGGACAGCCGCTGCGAGTGAGTTCTTCGCGGTCGTACGCCAAAGTCGCCAGCACCAACGCTCAGAAGCAACCCGCACAGGCTGCATCAACCAACGCAGGCACCAGTGGCGCCATTGTGGAGGAGACGACGCTCAACACAAACACAGATGTTATTGCCGCGATCCTGGAGCAAATGCGTCAGGACCGAGAGAGAGCTGAGGCCCAGTTCAAGACCATGATGCACTGTATGCAGGAGATGATGAAGATTGTTTGTAGCACCCTCGCACAGACGTTTCAAGCACCGCAAGCAAAGGAAACCCGGCCTGCTCAGGCAGCTACAGCAACGACAACAGGACGATCGTCTAAGGAACGAACAACCGCTCCCGCTATGACATCAAAGACAACGGCACTAACTCAAAAGATAAATGACCAGGACCCGACACAGATGACTCTCCAGCAGCTTTTGGACAAGGCCAAACAACCTGGAGCCTTTCCAACACCACAGAGCAACATGAGCTCACTTCTTGCTGCGTGGCAACTTGTAGCGTCGAACTCCGGACCGCCCCACCATCCGCTACCACCTACACCCGCTAAGAAAATGCAACCGGCCGACTACTCAGGAATTAATAATGAATAATACGCCCAATATGCACTCTCTTCAGAATCAATATGGTACATCGGAAAACACTGCAACGGACATCGGACTTAATGACTACAACGAACACAACACCAACAATAACGTAACAATGGAGCGCACACTTCGAGTTGCGACATACAACATTCGAGGAGCAAATGCTCCAGGAAAACTAGACGCCCTCTGCTTTTGGGCAGAGCACGCGGATATATCCATTCTTGGTTTACAGGAAACAAAATTCGCAACACACAAGGAACGATTTACACTCTCTCGGGAGTATTCACACATATACGACACGCATTGGGGAAGCGCCCCACAAAATCCCGCGGCTTCAGGCGTTGGACTCCTGGTGCGCAAGGACTGGAGCAAATATATCATTCGCAAGACACGACACCGTGGACGCGGTATTGCCATTGATTTTGCATTCAGGAACCGCTGTACACTTCGTGTGATTAATTGCTATATTCCTAGCGACGCACAGCACCACCCGGAAGGTCAGGCCCTGCAACAATGGCTAAAGCAACAGATCAACGAGGCCGTTTTGGGTCACTACAAATATATTTTGTTAGGGGATTTCAATGGCACCATGTCACCTAGCATCGACAGAAATAACAACAATGGGAGTCACCGACCGGACACGCCCCTTTTGCAGTGGATTTCGGAGCAACCATTGACGGATGCGTACAGATCGCTATTCCCGCTCGAGGCCGGCTTCACCTTCGAGGATGTCAGTCGCATAGACATGGTTTTCCTATGTCCAGGGATCTTACCCCGTCTTTTCAACGCGGAGGTGATCGATTTACAGGACCATGTTAAATCGGACCACCAAGCACTGGTAGTGTCCTTAAATCTGTACGCGATATCGCTCCTTGGAGACACATCGGCCAACAAATACAGGAAACCTCAAGGCTTTCGGTTTTGTTTCCGTGAGACATCGAAGGAGGAGTGGACGAACTATGCAGAAGAAACCACGAGAATATTTTCCAGCAGCTCAAGCTTGACAGGTTGGGTATTAGGGACTTGGACGACAATGGCACGGTCCCCAAGGAGGCCCTAGTTCGGATCAACCTGGAACGCACATGGCAATTTTATTCGGCCTCTTTGATGAAAGCAGCAAAGGCGACACTCCCAGGCAGAGTGGTAGGTCGCACCGGTTGTCGCCCAGAGAGAGAAGTCAACATGAGCCACATCATCCGTTCCTTATCCAACCTCCAACAAGCAGCCAAGAGAATGAGGCAAGGACTTTTTGCTGCTCCAGATGTGCAACAAACCCTTTCGCAGGAGGTTAACAGTGCGTTGAATCGGATCGACAAGTATTTTCATCGCATGGAGGAAGCGGAAGAAGCCCCACCAATCGACCGACTAGGAAGCCCCCCTGGACACGGCGCAGTCAAACGACTGGACGCGATGGATAAAGGAGATTGGGAAGAGATGGTCCACTGCTTGCGTAGCGATTCAAGCACAGCAGGCAGCGAGGCTACAAACACGAATTCGAGAAAATATCAATATTCTACTTTCCCGATGGCAATTGGCCCCACGACAGGTTCTCGACAGTGTCCTTGAGAGGACAAATGGCAAAGTTGTTTTGGATCGAATCCAGGTCACTCAGGATGACCACACACAAAATCTTTTGGAGCCGCAGGAAATCAAAGAGTATGTCCGCGATTGGTTCATCAAGTGGCATGGGCCCCGTCCTGCACAGCCTTTGGAGCCTGGGTCCAGATGGGAACAACAGTATCGGCCCAAGGAGTGGATTGACGAGGAGTGGTACTCCACGCTCATGGACCCACCAACGTACGAGGAATTCGAGGAGGCACTGGATGAAGCGCCCAAGTACAAGGCGCCGGGTGCATCAGGGCTATCAAATGACCTATTTCAGAAACAAGGACAAGACGGAAAACACATTTTGTACCAATTGGTCGCAGGTTGTGTCACCCAGGGTCATGTTCCCAAGGATTGGCGCACTGGACGAATTTACTGTATCCCAAAGCAGCAGAATGGTCCGGTAGCATGGCTGATGTCCGACCGATTACGCTTCTAGAGCACGCTAGGAAGATCATGTTTACGATCCTCACTAAGCGGCTCAGTACGATTCTTACCCAGCACAACATCCTCCGAGGTCCAAACTATTCGGTTTTGAAGGGTACGACGACAAAGGATCCCATCCACGCGCTGAATTGTGTCATGGAGGATGCAACAGAGTTCAAACAAGAGCAATGGATTGTTTTCCAGGACATGCGTCGCTGCTTCGACTCGGTCAACTGCCATCAGGACGGCATGCTTCATCGGGCAATGACGCGCTTGAAATTTCCAAAGCCCTTTATTGACCTTTGTATGAAGATCGCTGACACCAAGGTCAATCAGGTTATCACTGATTATGGGGTCACGGAGGAATATCGACCACAGTGCGGATTGGATCAAGGAGGAGTGGAATGCCCCTTTTTTGGCGAATAGCTTACGACGCTCTCTTGTGCGAGGTCATGGAGCAAGGACGTGGATATGCGATGAAAGGTGTTGCACAACCTCTTTCTTTGTCGTGTTTCGCTTTCGTGGATGATACTACATGGGATTGCAGGATCCAGGGAAGATATGCAACATACGCTCGACATTGCAACGTCCTTTCTTCACACTTCAATGGCGTGGAAATCAATGCAAAGAAAACCGTGGTCATGGTTAACCTCCAGGACGCGCAGGACAACACCAAATTGATTTTTGGAACACCACCAGAGGAATTAACACCACTCCCACCTAAGGAAGCAGCACGCGTACTGGGGGTATGGGTTAACTCAGCCCGTTCAACAACACCTACAACTCGCATTTTGGAAACAGAGGTCGCCCGGCTCTGCAATATTATGAGCCGTAAGGCCATCACCGATCGCATTGCAACCACTATCGTCAATAGCGTCCTGATCCCCAAGATTCTGTATCGCAGTACCATTCAAGTCATCTCACCGTCGTGCCTCAAAAAGCTCACGGGGAAGTATACCCAACTAATCAAACGCAAATCGGGCCTGCCTTCGACTACGCCCAACAGCATTCTCTTTCACCGGCACCTCGGAGGTCTCAAACGATTGTCCGACGCTCAAGACGAGGAACAGATCAGTTCACTACATAGCCGACTCAACGATGGAGGTATTGTAGGTGATCTCTGTAGAGCACGGCTCGCTGCGCTTCAGCGACGGGGCGGGCTGGAACAGGTGCCCACGGCTACACCGCTACGTGTCAAACCATACCGTCATTGTCTTATCTCCAACGTGTGTCGTTTGATGGCTGACAGGAACATCACATTTACCCTGAACAATGCTGACGCTCTCGGCGTCCCTCCGACAGCACGGAGCATTATGGACTGGCGCACCCAACCATCAGGAGAAATCGCACGAGGATTTGCGAGTGTTGGTCTTTTTTCAACAGATCAGATCATGGATGAAGATTGGAGGTGCGGCCGTGGTCCTTCCTTCGCAAGCAGCAACGAGCCAAAGGACCATCCAGACAATGGTTTCATGATTTCCAGTCCTGGATCATAGGCGACGATCACCGGCGTAGCTTCATCAGCCAGTGGATTGCAGCAGAACGATGCAGGATAGGCGAATGCGCACACGACTGCCCTCGCTGTGTTGACCAAGTTGTACCCCCGCCACAACAAGAAATCCTGCGAGAGGTGATAGGGCCCCTCACGGAGACCGAGGACAGGCAAGCGAGGCGTACTGCTGAGGATGCTTTGCATACGTACAATATCGCGGTCCGACTCAAGGAATATAGACAGCGACAGCGACGTGAAAAATATAATGGCATGGATGAGGACCAGAAGGTACATGAAATGGAAAAAGCAGCACTCAAGGACATGGATTCACAGCCAACTACCATTCAGGATGCGGCAGCGCTCGCGTCCTTGGCTTCGCCAGCACAAATGATCGATTTCCCATGGGTTGATATTGACCAGGAGACATGGCGAACGATCCGTGAGACTTGATGGAGGATCCCGCCTGGGCTGGAGGCAATTGTCCTTTATTCGGATGGATTAGTGAAGAACGCTGGCTCGGACACAGTCAGCCAATCGTTCGGTAGTGTCTATAGATGCGTCGACGGCTCATTTCAGACGGCTATCTGTGGTACAACGACGGATTACGCATCATCCACCAAAGCAGAACTGGTGGGTCTGCTCGCGACAATTCTGTGCTGTCCCCGGGATCGCAACGCCATTATTCATATCGACAATAGAGCAGTGGTCCAACAGTTTGCGGCGTTAGTTAAGAATCGACATACAGCTACTCCACGACGGCGGTTGAGAGCAGCATATGCCAATTGGTGGGCTGTGATCTACGAGGCGTACGCGCAGCAGGGCAGCAAAGTAAATGTTCAATGGGTTAAAGGACACAGTGGCGATACTGGAAATGAGGCCGCCGACGAACTGGCGGACAACGCACACGACAGTGGGCGACGGCCATGGCAACTGAACACACAATATTTCACGAGCATGAAGACACATACGACTTTCTGCGGTCAGCCAGCGGAGGACGACATTCGCCAATTGATCAAGCATCAGTCTGCAGCCAGAAATCATCATGCATGGACTTGTCAACAACGAACGAAACAATTTATTCAGCAGTGGGAAGAAGTGGAGTGGCGATCCAGCCTTGCTATAATACATGAGAAAAATCCGCCAGGGGGTTTTTTCACCAGCCTTGCGGATTGCAACCATCGGTCCCACAGGATCAAGAAAATCCATGGTATGCTGCCAACCATGCAGTACATGCACAGGTGGAAGCCGAATCTGTATACCACAGACAGATGCCAAGTGTGCCTTACCATGGTGGAGGATGCCCAGCACCTCTGGGTCTGCAAAGTCACACAGAACAGACGACAGGAAGAATGGAGAAAGACACTTGATGGGATTCTAAGTCTTGGACGCACCTTGGTAGATAAGGCGAGGAAAAAGTGGTTGTGCGACATGGAGGAGGCAATCAAGGATGGTCGACAATTCACACGCACCGAACCGAGTTTTACCCCGTGCGAGTTAGACACCCTTTGGTGGAGTCTGCGTGATATCCGGGGAGTGGAAACGATGGTGGATACGCGGGATGATGACTGGATAAGGCTGCTGGAGGAGCGGCGAGACAGGGACAATGGTGGCGAGGACAGAGAGAATGTCCACGAGGAAGAAGGAGAAGGAGTGAGCAGTCAAGAAAACGTACAGCAGGCAGCACCGCCTACCAGGCTATGGACAACGACAGACATATATCACGGGCTCATACCAAAGTTCCTGACAACGGATTGGGCGCTACTCTTGAAGACGTCGAAGAGTATCGCGGCCTACCTGGTTGGACGTTTTGTAGAACGAGTTGAGGCTTTTGGCCGAGAGGAGTTATGGAAGGAGCGATGTAGTGCCACAGTGGCATGGGAAAAGTCTGAGGGCATATGCACGAGGATGAAGAAAGCCGGGGTCCAGGTAGGAGGTGAGACCCAGGGCTTTATGAGACAACAGCCCCAAGAGGAGGTTACGACAGCAGCGAGGAGGAGAGCAGACAGCCGCTTGGTGGACCATCTCCAGGGAAAGGTGGTATTGAACGAGATGGAGAGAGGAAGGAGGATAAAATTCATATTGGCCCGTGATCTTGACTAGGAGAGGACCCATCGGACCCGACAGGTTGCGTAGCGGTTTTGGGCCCCGGCTCAAGTATTAGAAACCATACGACTCAGAATGTGCACCATAGGTATTTGGTTCCTCATTTTACATTAGTTTAGTGGGGGCCTCTTGATAGCTATCTTTAGGTAACTATCGGCCGGCTGACAGTCCAAGCCGAGGCTTGGACAATGCAGCCTGTGGCACGCCTGCACGCCTGGGGGGATCTGGCGTCAAAAAAAAGGCAGATTCCACACACACCTCTATTAGAGAAGATACTTTTCCCGTCCTGCCCGTTCAAAAAAAGATTCTTCTCATTCCAGTAAGTAAATCAAGCGCACTCCTTGCGCACTTACTGTTAATTACTGAGCACTAACTGATTACTAAATCCCATTTATCTTGCTTGGCACATAGAGTTCATTTTCCTACCTTGCCCTGTCGACACTACACAATGGATACGCCTCTTGCATGCTTTCTCTCCTTGAACTTGACCACGTCCGATCTCGGCAATGGTAACCAAACCACACCGGACGATACGACTGTCAAGGTCATTGTGGAAAACATAACGAAATCGAAGGGAGACGATATTATACACAAGCCGTTGGTACATTGGGTACATTGGATACATTGGGACGATATACGATGGGGGTGGCAACGCCACAGTATGTGTTCGAACAAAGGGTGGCTAGGGTTTGTAACTTGAATATCAAAAACGAAAACCAGTTGAGTCTTCCGCCTTTATAGGGTTGAGCACTGGGGCTGTAGAGGGAATACTGGATACGTCCGATACTCCAACATGAAGATTCACAGAGACACACCGGTATGCGACATACCTGCCGATGGTTTGGAAATCCTCATCATGTATATTACGGCGGTGCGCGACAGGAATCATCCGTCATACTTGCTGTGGCATGTAAGCAGGCGAATGATCGGCAACTTCCGACTCTTTCATTCGATGTTCTACATTGGGTCCTGCAAAGCCTGCGATTTGAGGAATATGTTGTTGGTGACACTAAATATCGCCGAAATGGTCACAGCACCATCGAGCTCTGTCTTCTCTATGCACCATCAAACCAGGCAGTACTATCTTAATTTTATCTCCTTGACGAAGATAATGGACAACCGGGTGGCCATCGAGGTGTCAAAGGGATACGATGAATTCTTCTCGTATAGTAACGAAATTCTTCACCTGAAACGGCTGAACCGGTACAATACCCTATCCCTCAAGCTTCTCGCTGTTACTTCAACTGCATTTGCTCTCGCTGTATCTGCATGATCTTATACTCGATGCTGTTGTGTCAGAAGGATGCCGGCCTGACTAGGAATCTAGGTCGGTTTTCGGATATAGATTTCAATGCATTTGTCGACGTCCCGGAGGAGGAATATCTGCTGGACTACAAGTTCTGCGAAATGAGTTCCTATTTAAGGATGACACAGCTATTGAAAGACATTAAAAGCGTGCGGTGGGGCTTTCTACGAGACTTCCGTTATCAAGCGTCGGCATCTCCTATAAACTTTAGTATCGCTATCTTTTCATTTATATCTGAATGCTGAGATTACGACCATCGCTTTGGATGTACAGATTTCCCAACAGAACAGCAGGCCCATAAACCATCTGTTTCTGTAAAATCCAGCCTTTAACCTGACAATCGACAGCATGGGGAAAAGGGAGCAAACCCTACAACAAAGTGCTTAAACTCAGCGAGTCGTACACTGTTGCAGAACCCTACGCGTAAACCAAAAAAAGTGTGAGCGCACTCTGTTTTTATTTTATATTTTTTTTTTTTTTTTTTACCTTTGCTACACTTTCCATACACCACACACGGCGACTTCGAGTAGAGTACTCCACATGGGCAATGGACCATGCTTTTGGTTACGGTTTTGTAAGCAGCATGATGTGTCTCCCTGTGAGGTATCTCTGCGGAGATGAAGCGGTCGTAGGCATCCGTTGTGCGAGGTCACTCTTGAGGATCCATGATGAGCAATAGGTGAACATGGGGAAGGCCGCGCTTCTGAAATTTGGTCACGTAAATGAACGCGTTGACCTTTCCAAAGATCCCATTTTCCCTGTCAAGACCTTCAGAAGGCCTCAAAGCTTGAGTCGGAATACTCGAGCGACCAAGTCTGGTCGGTCGGACGCTTTCTGGTTGCTGATGAGCTCTCTGGTGATCTCTGGCTAGGCCGGGTTGCGCGCGAAAGTAACAAAGCAGTTTGGAGAAGACGTCGCTCGCACAATGGCCATGACATCCTGATACAATTGACGCATATGCCGCGGACCGCCTGTGAAGCTCGAAGGAAGCACAGCACGCTTACCAACGGTTGAGGGAGTGCCATCTCCAGACATAAACTCGTCCTTTAAGTCTGCAGAGGACTTGAAGAAATAGAAAAAGATGAGTTGATGGCCCATAGACCACTGGCATATCAATCTGCTAAATAACATAGCGACTTACCGCTCTATAACTCGGCTCTTATCGTGTCCTGGTTGAATCGTAAAAAGCTTAGACGACTCGATTCCGTAACGGAATACATGTCGACGACAGACTGTTGGGAAAGTCGTACAGCTTGGAAGATGTGCTTGCCACCGTTGTCGCGATAGAAAAGACGCTAGGCGAAGTAGTCCCTTGCCGTCACTTTCTTGTCAGACTCATGTCGAAATATACCGAGACCGTAGCCATCATTTCCAGCATGAAATAACAGTGGGTATGCCAGCGGCCAGTGCGAAGGATGTAGTGCGAACACTTTCTGGAGACGAACGCTTCCTTTCGCTTCTACCACTATGTCGCGGTCCGTGAAGCGCTCTATTCCATCTCCTGGAAAAATTGCAGAGATATCATTGGCGTGTTCAGAAGGAAGATTATAGCGCCGCTTATCGTGAGTCCTGGCGCTGATAATCCTCAGGGTTACATTGCTCCTTGGCGTCATCGCCGTCCTCAGGGCCCGTGTCGTGCCTGGGTCTCTTGGCCGGTCTCTTGCTGCAAGGGGGGCCGTTGCGAGTGTGAATCTGGCCGCAGTGAATGCGCTTTGCCATGTTGGATAATCAGGAGGAATCAATGGAAGAATGACTGTGGATGCTGATGGCAGGAAAGGATAAAGGATATAGGTAGATTGTGATAGCGAAATCGACGGCGGAGGAGAGAGAATGCATCTTATACACGGTCATCTGTCGGAACAACCTCGTTGCTCAGGTAGCGCTGTGTTGCGCCAAAGAGAGGGGCCTAAAAACCTGTTTAGGCCAAGGAAGCGGTTTATTTCTCTGTGTGGTTCTGAAGGAACGGGAGTTGTACGTAACTACCGCTTCGCTTGTAAGCACCGTGACAACCTTGTTGCTCAGATGTGCAGTCAGGTCGCGACCGTGACAATCTCGCTGCTCAGGCGGCGCTGTGTTGCGCCAAAAATAGGGGTCCAGAAACCTGTTTAGGCCAAGAAAGTGGTTTACAATGCTAGGCTCTTCTTAGGGAGCGGGAGTTGTAAGTTGTAACTAGAATTGAAGATGGATATTATTGGTGCGATGCACGCGTGAGCATTGCTTCTCGCATGAATATATTACAATTCACCTCACGACCTACACCGATGCGCGTGTGAATAAAGCAATGTAGCACAAACTCCCACGAATCACGTTCATGAGCACTTTTCATCAATCTTGCTCAATGACACTCCATGTCGCAACATAGATTAGTCTACCTCAGCCGTTCTCACATAGACTACAATAGGTAATTTCAATCCACCCGTCTCAACCTTTCAGCTTTGAACAGAACCAAATGCTCTGCGCTGGAGGGAACAGTTCAGCAAGATTCGCTTTTACGACAACAAGAAGAGCCTTACTCAAACTGGCGAAGGCGGCAATTGCATTCTTTGATCTGTCCTCGTTCTCACTTGATAAATACCCTCCTCTTTTTGAGTGTCTCTTTCATTTCGCCCACTATCAAACTCGACCATCCTCTTACTTCATTTCATGTGCATAAAATGACAGAGAAGAATTGCGACGCAGCTTCACTACCTTCCTATCCCAGTCCCCTCAAACCAACTATCCATACTGCTTTCGATTCTCGCCCAAGAGTAGGCTGCATCACCCTTTACATCGGCGGCAGAATCCAAATCATAGGCCTGCCTCAAGAGCTTACCGGCCCCACCATCAGTCCACCACCTCCACTTTGGGACCTATCCAAAGGGAAAACGACGTCTTTGGGGCCTACGAATTCGAACTATTAGGGAGCAGCTTTTGGATCTCGATTAATCACGCCGCTGAAAGGATCAAATCCAGCAAGCTGATTCTTGCATTACTAAGATGCATGATCGAACACGGATGGAACTTGATCCAGGCTACTCCTGCGTCGAGGCTCCCGTTTGAGTCAGCCTCCTTGTTTTTTGAGCAATCGTTAGTTTCCGTCGGCGTTGTTAGACCTGATGAGATGTTTGCTATCAGTTTTAATAAATCGGATCGGATACGGCTCGTTGACGCACCAGATTCTATTGTGCCTCTGCCTTCGGCAACAAATGCAGCAGGCAGAACAGCAAACACGGGAACAACAGCGACAATCGGAAGAGGAGCGGCGGCGGGCAGAACAGCAAGAGAGTGACCGACAGCGGCAGCTGGAAGAGGAGCGGCAGCAGGAGAAGCAACAGCAGGAGGAGCAACAACGCCTGCGGGACATCGAGAGACGGGCTCGATACAGAGAAGAACGACGAAGACGACGCCATTTATATCGTAGATATATGAATGTGGATGCAGAGGCGTGTATAGACCACTTGCATGAGGATGCGCACAAGGCGGTGGACAATATGACGACACCTGTTCGCCAACCATTGCCGGCAGTATCAGATGAAATTGAGCGAGATTTACTGGGATTGGCGCTCCAGGTACCAACAATCCAGCAAATTCGGACAGCTAGGAGACGTTTGCAAACACATCGAAGGCTTCACTTCTGCTCGGATGGGTCAGTGATTCACAACGGCACAGAGCAGGCCAGTGCAGCATTCGGAGTTGTCGTTTCTGTGGATGGTGGTCCCTACACAACGGCGTTCAGTGGACGGGTCGGGGGATACGCGTCGTCAACAATTGCAGAGATGTGTGGGCTCTTAGCAACAATTCTTATCAGCCCAAGGGAAGAGAACGTCGACATCTACATCGACAATCTCACAGTCGTCAACAATTTCAAGGAGTTGGTGCAGCAGCGGGATTCAGCAACAGCAAGGCAGCGTTTGAGATCTGCAGATGCACAGTGGTGGGCGATGGTGCATTATGCCTTCTTGCAACAAGGACAAGGTATATCTGTGCATTGGGTACGAGGACATGCTGGACACCGTGGCAACGAGGCTGCAGACACTGTTGCCAAGGCAGCACATGGGATCGATACAGGACTATGGAGGCTAGACGCAACGCAGCACCATGATTTGAAATGCCACGCACAGTTTGCAACGCACAGTGCAGACCTGGACTTGAGGAGGATACTGAAGTTGCAGTCCGCGGTACGGCACCATTATCAGTGGACATTGCAGCATCGAACGAGGACCTACATCAAGGATTGGCGGTCGGTAGCATGGGCGCCCACGCTACGGATCTTACACGATAACAACCCGCCAAAGCGCTTATACACCAGCCTGGAAGACTGTCGTTTACGTTCGCACAGGATCAAGAAGCTGCATGGAGATTTGCCGACATTGCAGGCGATGAAGAAACGACATCCAGATACCTACCAAACGGACATATGTCGTAGGTGTGAGAGGGAACCAGAGACGAACGATCATCTTTGGCGTTGTTCAGCTACCTTGTGCGACCAGCGACAAGAGTGGAGGGACGCGGTGAAGGAAGTGGAGTTGAATGGATATCGTGCATGGAGACAGGCAGTGCGAAAATGGGAACAGGAGAGAGAGGAGGCCGAACGGAAGGACAAGCCCTTCACTGCGACTTGTCCCAACTTCTCGGCAACAGGAACGAAGGCTATCTGGGAGTCAATGCAGTGGATTCAGGGGACGGCGGAAAGGCGAGGGACATATCGGGTTGCGGAAGAAGAGGAGCCGGAGAGTGAGGCAGATTGGGAGGTCAAGGACTTATACCGAGGTTTGGTGCCAACGGGACTCATTGAGACCTGGAAGCAGCTATTTACCACCACTAAGTGGATTGCGACGATCATGGTGACAAAGTTCGTGAGCAGGATCGAAGAATTTGGCAGGACCAAGATATGGAACAAACGATGCGAGGACACTGTCGCCTGGGAAAAGTCAGTTGGAATCACCTTCATGAGCAAACGCGCCGGAGGACGCAACGGTGATCGGGGACACCAACGTAGTGTTGGTGATTTCTCTGATTTGAAAGGGAGACGGTTACTTGCAACGGAGATCCAGGAAGGTAGACGGACCGCGGATTATAGGGTGCTACAGCATTGCTTGGGGCGAGGGAAGTTGGACATAATGGAGGGGTTATTCGGTTTAAAAACAACTTTATTAACATTGGATCTGGATTAGGAGACGTGTATCGCGCAACAGGTCACGCAGGAGTTAGGTTAGGCTAGCTATGCGACATGGGTTATGAATTTGACGCCTCAAGCCAACATAGTTGGTAGGGGATGCGGCTCTGCCGTGCATGGAAGGCATCTATGGCTTCAAGGCCTTTGCGGACCATGCGTCTTGTGCTCATGGGGATTTATGTTAATAAAAAAAAAAAAAAAAAAAAACAGATTCTATTGTGCCTCTGGTCCGGGATACGATCAAAATGCATTGGAAGGGCGACATTGGGTAACGGCAGAGAATGCTAAACATGCAACCTTCAAGTCATGCTGGTAAACTGTCGAAATTACAGCTGAAATTAACACCTCTCTCTCTCTTCAACTCCATTTTCCAAATAGGATCCAAAAAGAAAACGAGGACTTTGGGTCGCTCGAGTTCAAGCTGAAGTCATGGCCGTTTCGCACCCTTGGTGAGGAGTCTGTCAATGCGCGGACAATGCTGAGCCAGATGATGGTCAGTATTCGGACCATGGGGTACAAGCTTTATTCGACTATCGATTCCAGTGGGGTACATGTAACCCCGGATCTAGAGACTTGGGTATTCCGAAAAGTGGGATCAGCCTGGTCGTAGAATGATAGATAGGCATAGATGGAAATGTAGAGGTATTGGCCCAGTTCAAATGCGGAGGGTATATAGATATTAAAGTGAGAGATCAAAGAACGCCACCGAGACACAGTATTTTAAACACAAACTAGCAGAACTTCCCGTGGCATACGCCACGGGTCCGAGACAAAAAATAAAATAGCTTAATTGCACGTTCAACACATTTCTACAGACGATATTCCGGGTATAAATGCCCTCCCTTCCATCTATGGCGCCAATTTTGACCAGAACCTTGAAGCTATCTCGGTGTTTGCAACGCGAGAAGCTGACATACAGCTGCCCAGCACCAAAGATGCGCTGAGGAAGGTAAACACCAACGTGGTCAAGTGTTTGTCCTTGTGCCTTGTTAATGGTCATGGCAAACGCAGGCTTGACAGGAAATTGGATCCTAATGAGCTTGATTGGCGTAGATCCGTCGTCCAGGGTCGTGAGAGGTATGCGCGGAATAAGCACCGTTCGATTCTTGAAGTCACCGTTAAGAATCTCGGCACTGATGTATCTTCGACGGAGTGCTCGAACAATCAGACGGGTACCATTGCAGAGGCTGGATTTGCCGTCCATGTTTCGAAGGAGAATGATGGGCTGGCCCACCTTCAACAGCAACTCGTGGGGAGGCATACCTGGAGGATTGAGGGAATTCAGGTATTCCACAGGATACGCGGCGCCGTTGACATCATCCGCCATTTTATCCTGGCTGTAGTAAATCTGTCCCTCACCTTGACCCTCACTAATAAGCATCTGGGTTGCCATAGTATTCACTCTGTCAACATCAGCATTTAGTGTCATCAATATAGCCCGATCTTCCAAAAGGGCTGGCTGCAAGGGAGCGGTCACAATGTCAGGGTAAATCCCCCTGATGAACTGCTTTTCGGGAGGGTTGTCCCTGGCGACGGGGTCGGATGGGTTGAAGACAAACTGATCTGGAATCCTGACCAAATCATCGTATAGTCCTGAAGCCACTGTTGGCTCCGCGCCATTGCCAATGTCGAGCAGCCATTTTGCAAAAGGCTGGTTGAGCGGGTCTCCCTTTGTTCGTATGTTCTCTCTAAGAGACAATATCTGTACGTGCGGCCAGATCTTTCGAGAGTTCTTGAGGCAGGCATCTTCAATCTGGCTAGGGGTTTCTCGAGGTACCACAGGCGAGGCCTGTAAGGAGATATCACTTTTAGTTCTACTTTTCTCTGGTTTTCTTCCTTTATTCCCCCTTCCCTTGGTAACTGCATATCGCCAAAGCTAGATAAAAGGTATCCGTGGAAGGTAATCTGTGATTGTATGTTTCACACGACAGAGCGGCCAACATTTTGAGGGAACTGGCCAGCGATATTGCCTTGAGGAGTGTAACGGCAGACGATATATTTCGAGGGCTGCGGGAAAATTGCACCAGCGGGGCAAGAAGCCATGGCGCACGTAACTTGCTGTGTATTCTTCCACACTACCTGCGTAAATTGTCCTATGCCATATTATAAATATTTGATGTTAGAAAGAACAATAAGCTGGCACACGCCGTGTTGAGCCAAGTCGGGGACTCCTGACGAAGATCAAGATCTCCCTTACCAGTGGCCGCACTGAATCCGGGATTGTTGTAGTTATAGTTAGAAGATTCTGCCATCCAGGCGGCCACAGCGTCCTTGATGCCAGTATTTGGGTTTGAGCTAGCGTAAATGTTTTCGCCATACTATGTTGCATTGGTAGAAAGTCGTTATTAGTTTATATGTGCACTTCAGGGCATGAGGGTGAGACGGCATACGCAAAAGATGCAAGATCGATGATAGCCTATATACTTACCTGACTTTCAGCATTGCTATGTGCAAACTTACACATTTGAACATACTGAACAGTAGCAGAATATAACGCTGGGGTCCACTGTAGGGCTCTGGCGCCGTACCGCGCACGAGCCTGATTGTGCTCAGCGAGAACTTGATCGGACCAAGCATCGGCAGAAACAGATGGTGTATGGACACTAAGGAAAGCTAAGCCGACGAGAAAGAGGGACGAAATGTTGATCATTTTCAGCATCTGAAGTGGTGGTGTGGTAGGGTGGTAATATGAGGAGAATGGTTTTGCGTTGCGGGCTATTTATTCATTCCATGCTGCCTCTGGTCCTCTGATGCCCCTATGCAGTGTCTTTTTTTATTGTAGATGCGAGTGCATTGCTTCTTAGATTGTTCTGATGGACTTCGAAAGAAGGGACTCTTCAGAAGTATGCGAATAAAAAAAAGGGATGAGGGAACAGGGCTCCTCTATATTGTTCAGTAGACTAAAGCTTACAGCTTCCCCTGTTCTCCTTGAGAGAGGAACTGCTTTGCTTGATTGTTAGTCCTTTAACACGGACGTTGACGTTTATTTCTTTATATTTCATAAGCATCATATATATTGAATCTGTCAAAAGTCTCAGAGACCCCGAAGATAACCCAGCAAGGGCACAGAGGCCCTTTTTTTGAGATAGGAGGCTTGCTTGCGAATACGACTACCCCTTTTTTCACTCCTTATACAACGACTGTTGATTGATCTAAGTAACCTTTTCAGTTACATTCCTGCGCTCAGTGTTCATTATAGTGCTCTTCTCCTGCATATCTATTTGTTTCCCTTATCGTGTACAACAGATTTTAGCAGCTACTAGGCCTGTTCATCAAACCACACCTGCTGCATCGCCAGATGCGACAAAAAATTTCGAGTATTCACAAACGTTTGTACACGAGCTCAAAGGTTTGTGAGCTGGTTGGTGGAATGCACAACAGAGGGACATGAACCCCTTTTATGTCTTGTCTCCTGAAGAAGCTTAAAAATACTCGGGGGATCATGCACCATATGTATACCGCCTCGGTTGAGTGAAGGGGCTCTGAACAGGGTCTTCGAGTACTTTGATCAGATGTACAGCCAAGAAAGGGGCGCCATCGTCTTTTTGTGCCCTTATATTATTGTACCTGCGGTAGCGAAGCGAAAACTTGGCGAAGGTTGACAGCTCGGCTTACTGGGCTAAGGACCGATTCAACACTGAATCGATCGATCAGGCGTCCTTCATCGCGCCCTTAGCTGGCAGAGTCGAATAACATGAAGACCCAAGCAGCTTATTATCTAGCCAGCTCATCCCTATCAATTATACCCTCGGTTAGACCAATCGTCAGCAAAACACCTGCAGCAGCAATACCGCACCGCGCAAGCAATCCAGCGTCAACAGCAGGGCCCTCGAGCTCGAATGATAATGAAGTGGATGGCAAGGGTCTCTGGAATAAAAACGGGATGAATACGCTTGTCAACTGGATCACGGATGCTGACAGTTATGATAGCTACTTTGGCAAGCGACTGGCCGACGTCACCTTGAGCCACTTGCAGGAGGAGATTGCACAGCACATCAACCAACAGAACATTAGCAAAGGGAAACTAGGTACACTTTCATGGACCAAGGGCATGGTGAAGTCCAGAATGGAGTATCTGAAGAAGAAGTACGACATTGCCTCGACAGAGCTGAAGAAAACTGGCGCAGGAAACACAGAAGAGGGAACGCTTATGGACCTTGTGCGAGACATCTGCCCTTGTTACGAGAAACTGAATGCTGTATTTCATGGTACACTTGCACGAGACCCACCGAAGCCTCATCGATCACTCGTCTCCCCTCCAAACAATGGCCCGATATCGACCATTTCACGAATCTCAACAGCCCCAGTATCCCCTGCACCATCGGCAACCCTTAGGGTCATAGACCACATTGACAGTGAAGATGACATGGCGGACGACATTTCTGAGCACAATCTTACTGAATGTATGGCGTGTGGATCTTTACTTAATACTATTGAAGCATTAATACCCAGAACCTACTAACACCTTTCGCTATCCATTACCGTGCTTTAGCACAGCAAGCGACAACGAGTAGTGACATGAGTGAGCAAGGAGAACGCGATAAAGGGTCGGCCAATAAATGTCGTAAGCCCAACAAGTTGAAAACAGCCGAAGAACTTTATAACAACTTTGACAACCTCATAGATGCTGCCATTGAATTAAGTCGCGCCCAAGTTAAGAAAATGAACCACAGTAGCCAGGACTTTAATCGAAGGGCGGAGTTAGCAGCACAGAGAGAGGCGGCCATGATCCAGAAGGAGAGGTTACTGGAGGAGTCAATGACCCAACGACAGAAGGCGCTGGAGGAAAAGCTATCGGCAATAGAGAAGAGACATAACGAGATGTTGGGCGAGCGGGCTCAATCACTGGAAAGGATGATGCAGCGGCGTCTCGAGGAGCTTATAGAGGAGAAAGCCGATTTCAAGCAAGAGAAAGCCGATTTCAAGCAGGAGAAGGCCGAGTTCAAACAAGAAGTGGCCCAGTTTAGAGCCAGGCGTGATGAACTTCTCTGTGAAAACGCAGCTATGAAGAGAGAGCTCAAATTGACGACGGCAAAGGCGGCGATACTGTAATAAATGGTCCTTAGTACCTACGGTTTTCTATTCGCAAGAACTAATGTCATCAGTCTATCTCTTTTTGCTGCTCCCAGTCGTCGCAGCTCTTGATCTTGTCCCTCCTGAGCCTCATCTAAGTTTCCATCCCCTCCAATTCTTTCAGGTTCTTCATCCAAGTCGTTCTACGGAGCGTCGTTGCGTATAAAATTGTATAGAATCACGCATGCCAAGATCCAATCGGAGGCTTTCTCTACCTCTTCCTTCTTATTGATTTTGATAGGTAAATTCTGCAAAGACTGAATCTTCAGCTTGAGCATGCCAAAAGCATTCTCGATGATAGTGCGCGCAGCACCATGGAGTCGATTGAATTTCACTTGCCGGCCGGTTGCATCCTTGTATCGAGGAATCAGCGTAGGCAAAACAGGATAGGCAGCGTCGGCAAGTTGATACTCGTCCCCTTGAAAGAGACGATCCGAGTGGCAGAAAAGAGTGGTGTCCTTATAGTCAGTGAAGAAAAATATGAAGTGTCCCCGATGGTCACAAACAGCGGTCCTTCCCATAGCGTATTCGCATTTTCGAGTGTTCCAAGCGATTGTTTTCCATGCTGGAGCCGGTTCAAAAGGAAATGGGAAACCCCTTTTTCCCTCGAACCATCGACTTACCTCTCGTTTCCTTACTTGATCTGGCTATACTACGAACTGGGGCATGAATCCGTTGAGCGCCTTGATAAACCGCCATGTGTCCTCTTGAACCGCTCCTCGGTTGACGCCAAAGATCCATGCAACCTTCTCGATCGGTAATCCTCTGGTTCCGGGACGAAACAGCTCCACTTTCAGGTAGGTTATGCTTTTTTCCTCTGGGAGCTGCCTATCAGCGGACCGGAAGCGTTGGTTATTCCTGATCATTCCTAATATTCGGTTGAACTGGTCAGGAGTGAGCCGTACAATGTCCTTGAAATAGTTAGGGTCATAACTCATAAGGACTCTGTCCCTCAAACCTGTTAAAAAGGGAATCTGTGTCCTGGGTTTGAGGTATCGGGTCTGGTAAAGTTGCACTAGCATGTTGAAATACAACTCAAGCACGAAAGGATAGGTTACCCATTCCTGCTCGAGAGATTCGAGGTATGTCACGGAAGCCTCGACATAACCATCCTCATAAATCCTGATGAGCCTTTGTCGAGCTATGAGTCGTTCCCTGGGCATAGGATGGTGGTTGGGAAGCAAGAGGAGAGGATTGATAAAGGATGGGCATGCTCTTGGCCTCGTGTATACAGGCACTAGTTTGGTTTTGAAGCCAATAATATCTTTGTGCTCGCAGAATTCTGCAAACTGTAGAAGTCTTACTGAACGGGCCTCTGGTTGACAGTAGACAAATACGACCGGAGCCTTGGAAGAGATGGATATTGCGTGGGCCATTAGTCTAATAATGCGCGGTAGAATTTTTTTTTTTTTATATATTGACGCCAGATCCCCCAGACGTGCAGGCGTACCAAAGACTGCAGCATTGCGCGCAGTTGTTTGATGGTCAAACCAGATTGACGCTCTCCGGGAGCAACGCATTTCACACTTTAATTTGACTTTATTTGCCACCGCGGAAGTAAGTATAAAAATACAAGTATCTTCCCATGTAGCAGCAGCGCTCAACAATTTATTGACACTCCCATCTCCAGCCGTAGGAGGAACTTCATTAATAACTACAAAGCCAAAAATCCCACTAAATAGCCATGACGTCCAATCCAACCCTACAAGATCAGGCCCTCAATCACCCTGGTTGCCCTTTGAAGGTGGCTTCCGGAAGATCTGCAGAAGAAACCGAGCGACTTGAGAAACTGCATTCGCGTTTTAAGCCCTTCTGGTTGACTGAGACCCTCTTAATTGGCCCTTGGCTCCCCACGGACGAGGACAAGGCTGCATTGATCAGGTACTTGAACGACCCCAAAGTGCATACGTACCTCCTAGGCCCCCCGTTTCCCTACACTCTGGACCATGCAGACTATTGGATCACTCATCGGATCGAGAGAATGACAAAGAAAGGCACTCCTCTGGACTATTGCATTCGGGACATGGCAAGAGGCGGCAAGGCTATTGGCAACGTTATGGTATCGGATGAAAGCGACGATGTCCTATATGGCGATGATATTGGGTAAGAACGGGCACCGTTTTGCGACACCCCAAACTCCTTCCTTTCCCATGCCCCTCCCTCTTCCTAACTGCCCCCATACTCACTCTCTCATTGTTCAAATGCATTAAACCTACTTATATTCGTTTTTTTAGATATTGGTTAGATCCTGAGTATCATGGCCAAGGTCTGATGGCCAAAGCGCTAGGGCTGCTTCTACAGGAGGTTTCGATAAAAGAGGTCGGCAAACGCAAGTTTAATGCTTGTGCGTTTGAGGGTAACTGGTCAAGTCGCAGAACCATGGAGAAGTTGGGCTTTAAAATCCAGCCAGATATTAAGAGGAAAGCGGAGAAGTTTGGTGAGGAGGTTCATCTTTGGACTTTTCAACTGATTCTGACCGAGGAAGAGGTTGCTCAAAGAGAGACATTTGTCGAGGCCACACCTCTGCCCTCCCTCGCGCAGCAGCGGTAGCCTGAAGCTTTCAAATTAGGATTAATAAATACTATTGCTCTAAGCTACTATCCTTCACGTTCTAGTGACCTTTTCCTGTGTGTTAGAGTCCTCGCCAATATTATATTTTGGAATTGCTAGAATACTTGCCTCTTTCGACTAGGCTCTTTTGCGCTCCATTGTATCCGTTACTCCTCCCGTAGACGTTTCCTCAAGTCGCGTTCTTCATCACCTATGTCCTCGTCCTTGCTCGCACACTCATCCTTGTCCTCATCAATATCCTCATCCACATCGTCCGTGCCTCAATGATACGTGGAAGTAGTGTACGTATAAAATCTTATTTATTGAATCGCTCGGCATTCTCTAAAAATATAATGGTTCATGACTTATTGGCGAGGACTCTATTTAGGGCTTGGGAGGTCCTTTATGAGCAAAATGAATTCTTCGGCAACCTCCTCGGCAAATGTGGAGTGCTCTCCTGAATCCAGGCACGGTGTGGTTCCGGAATTGGGTCCATTCTTTCTTGTTGAATCCATTCTTTTTCCAGTCGAAGTTCTTGGCAAAGTAAACATCCTCATTCTTGGTCAGAGTCTTGGAATTGCACAAAACGTAGGCCTCAAAGCTCTCCTTGGTGACCTTGGTGGCATTGCCCTTCAGCTTTTGGAGTTGTTTGATGCATGGCTATAGGACATTTTGTTTGAAAAAAAAAATATATTTTCATCAGCTCAAGTGAAATGGGGAAAAAGTATTGTAAGAAACAGATGGATAGATATTTAAACATGTACTGTACCTTGACAATTGGCTGCATATTTTTGATCAAATAAGGCATTCTGCCGTAGTCTTTCACTCTCATATATTGCTTCACGTTGATGTCTGGTGGATGGCCAAACGGTGGAGTGAGGGAGATGCATTGCGTTTGGCAGTCGATCACTTGGGACATCTCCTGTGGTGTATATGTAGGGGTAGGGGCAGGTGTCGTCTTGGCAGTAGCACAGGCGATAGCTGTTCCCAAAAGAAGGAGGAAGGACTTGGAGATGGTAACCATGTTTAGAAGTGTAACGGAAAGGGGGGAGGGTGAGTGGAAGCTGAGGGGGACTGGTCCACTTTGTTCTTCCTTTTATATTTTATCTCCTGGTCATCGAAATGGAAGAATCAAAGAGTCAAGGACAAAAGAGTTATTCATAGCACTCTGCTTTAGTCCTATTGTCCATTATTATTATTGCACTGCTCTGAGATTAAAGAGAAGAGAGAGCTTTCTTTTGATTAATTAATGAGAGAAAGTGTGAGTGTGTGGCGTGCCTATGTGTGAGAGAGGCCGTGTTAATCCGGGCCAAGAGAGCCCGGATGTGTGCCCATGATCATCCTAGAGCCGAGAGAGCCCGGCTATATACCCCAGATACCCCAAAGTCGAGAAAGCCCGGCTCTCTTGTTACTTTCCATAACTGTGAGGGTGTAGGTGAGCGACGGACAGAGTCCCGAGTCCTGGTTGTCGAGCGAAGCAAAGTGGCAAGAGCAAGACGGGTAGCTGTCTGCGTCCAGTCGTGGTACGGTGAGGCAGCAACGGTAACAAGTGCAGCTGTGTTGTGCGTCCTGAAGGAAAGAAGGCATAGCTCCGAGGTAGATGCATTGAGATGGGAGGAGGACGGCATTGGCAACGAGATGATGGGTTCATCTTCCTGTAGAGAAATAAAGGATGGCAGCCAGTACCCCGTTGGCAACGGTGTGCGCTCCTGGTTTCCTGTTTCCCGTGCCCCTGCTTTTATTTATTGTGTCCTGCGATCACGGCAAAAGCGGCGAGGTCGAAAGAGATAACGCGTTGGAGCACGACGTTGAGAGTGGAGGCGGAGCAGCGAAGCGACTGCTAGTTTGTTTACCTCATTTCATGGCATTGCATTCCACCCTACTACACGTGCATCTTACTCTGTCTCAAAAGCTTTATTGTCGCTTCAATCTTTTAGGCTTGTTTGCCTACCTTGACCTTCTTTGTTGCCTCGGGCTGCTGTTCTTCTGAAAGGCGCTTGGGTCTCTTCAACGTGTCTAGAAACTCGACGTGGCGTTGCGGATGGCGAGTTTTGGTTGCTGATCGTCGTATCCAACAATCGTCGCCTCCCCTGTGAGCTGATCCGGAAGAGAAGTGTTGGTCAGCAAAGGTCATACGACAACGGTCGATCCTTGAACGTCTCGACAAAGATGGGCGGCATCAGGGTCTCCCACATGTTTCCGTGCACCGAGGGGTTGTCCGAATGCAGCATCGACCGCTCTGCGGCCGCCACGAGTGACGGATCCTTTTCCTGCAAGTAGTTGATGGTCGCCTTCAACGCCAGTGGTTCGTCGAGAACAGTTCTTGCGGCACTTCCAAAGAGCTTGATACGACCAAACGCTGCTTCCACCAACTGGGCATCGTTCTCAAGCACGGCCGAGGGAGCGTCCAGTAGATGATGGCAAAAAAGGAAGAGTCCAAGCGTCTCTCTGATGGAGGAGCATGAAGTGAAGAGCTCAGGATGGTCGGCGATCTTGGATTCCAAGCTAGAGATAGAGAAAGAAGCAGCGGCTTGTTAATTGTAAGACTTGTGGGTGAACGAGGAACAACGGGGTGAAAACGAGGGGAGACGAGTGAACAAGGTGAGTGAACAACGACAAATGTGTGAAGACAATTGCTTTATTGGCTAGACTGTTGTGAGTATATGAACTGGGGTTCAACTACATAGTCTGTCCTTCCTTATATACATCAGACGAATAAAGGTCCTGACTAGTAATCCATGGTTCTAGATGTTTCGGTGCTGCCTTTGCTCATCTTTACATCATGGAGCTTTCTGTGATGAGGCGACGTTGATCCTTTCTTAGGCGCGTCTAGCGTCACATGACAATACCAATCAGCGCTAAACTCTGACACTCCCGCTCCTAAATGAGTTCCTGGTCCTTGAGCGTAGCGTGATACTGCTGAAATATTCCCGAGTTGTCCGAGAATAGCTGTGTGGCTTCGAGAGATGAATACTGGATGAAGGTGAGAGCTTGGTAGCAAGTCTAGCTGAGAGCGGTCCGAGGAAATAACGGTAGAGTACTTGCAATGGTGCAGGTACAGAGCGTGCGTGCCTGGCTTGTGCAATTAGGGAATATCACCTGGCTTCTGACACAATAAAGCGAGTTGATCGCGGCAGTCTTTTTGGTGAGCTCCTGTCGCGTTCTGCTCCTTCGCACCCACTTCCACTCCTGCGCATAATTTTTACGCATTCCCTACTGCTAACACCACTCCTCCCTCCTCCCTTGAAAGGTATACTGTGTACATGGATGAGCAACGGGGATAAGGACGTCAACGCGATCACATTCATGGCGTTGTGCTGATGAATGTCCGTTTAAACAGCGACTACCACAGAGTGCACCGCCTTTCCTTGACCTTCCTTGACTGTGAGCTGGAAAGTCTGAAGGCTCTCTTGTGCCCGCGTGCTTGTTGGCGCCGAGTTTTGTGAACCTTTGTCAACCCACCTCGATAAAGATGCTTTCCGTATTCGGACCATGATTACATCCTATCAGTTCTGCTTATTCCTGTCCCTCTCTTCATCAATCTCACGTATCCCTCTTATCCAACTCGTTACCTACCTCCTGTGTCTCTAGATTGAACCCCTTTTCCTCACCAAACCTCCATACTCCCCACAATTCTCCACTGGCCCTACTCAAATATAAATTTTTTGGTTGCACTTTAACTCTGATTGGCTGATTATTCCAAATTCATTCCCTAAGTGCAATTTTTCGTTATAATTGCCAAGGGCCATTGTCCATAAAGAAATCAAAGCGAAGAAACGCAATTGGGACCGACATGTCACTATGGCTCAATTAGCCATGAATACGAGGATTGTTGCATTGCACAACTCGTCCCCCTTTTCGTTATTTTTTGCCAGACGTTTCAATGGTTTCTATAATTTTTCAAGCGACAAGGACGAACGATTATCCCATAGTGAACTCTTGGAGCGACTTCAATACATGACTGAAGTTGTCTTCCCAGCTGTGAGCGCCAAGTCGCGTGCCACTCAGAAAAGAATGATTGAGCGATTCAATAGAACAGTACTGTACAATGAGTTTCCGGATGGAGCCAAGGTCATGACTTTCGATCCTATTTTGGGTGATAAATTGACACCCAAGTATGAAGGTCCTTACGTTGTTGTGCGTAGAACTACAGGCGGTGCGTATGTTTTGAAGGACGGCACTGGCGATTTGCTTCAACGCCAGTATGCCCCATCCCAACTCAAACTCATACTCAACGACTACGACGACACCACTTACTAAGTAGAAGAGATTCTCGAACATCGGGATGATTCTGAGGGGGGAGTAGAATATTTCGTAAGCTGGAAAGGGTATACAGAGAGGACCTGGGAACCAGAAGAGAACTTTGTTGAGAGAAAGTATATCACAGACTACTGGAAGAGTCGCGATTTTCCTGGACCACCTTCTCGACCGCAGCCTCGTCGAACTTTGAAGAGCCACAAGGCGAAGCAGAATCAGCAGGAGACACTATTGACGCAGCGTCCAGTAGCACGTAAAAATAATAAACAATTCTGCTGATAGTGTAACCACCCCGAAACCTAGACGCGGTCGCCCACCAAAGGTCAACATAAGCGCAGTTGATCGAGAGCCATCCCGCAAACGAGGACGCGGTAGGCCACGAAGAATATCAGCGAGTAGAAAGTAGAGGAGTATGAGAAGGGGTTTTTTTATGTACTTTCCCCTTGAATCACGACAGAGGTTTTCCTTCGGGCTTTTCCTCGCAAGGCCTTTTTGCTTTTTGCCTTGTAGTGATTATTACAATTGTCATGTAGAGGCTTTAAACTTTCCTCTGAATTTTATAATTTGGTTTACCATGAGGTTTTCACTTTTTTCCTTCAGGCAGTAATCAATGAGCTAGAAGACCTGACTTACGCCTCCCATGGGAGGGGAGCTGTGCCATATTGGACAGATACTTCACTAGGATCACATTATGTAGAAAAGACCATCCGGTAACCTATATAAAATGGACCGGACGGTGCTATTAAAGATCCCTCTCTTGTCTCGTGCTTACTTGTATTTACTTAGTACTATAAACCTTAATTTAGAAGCATCTCTTCATAGACCGCCAGACTGATCCCAGCTCCCTTCAAAATCTCGTTGACGTGGAACAGTGCAGTGCTCTTGATAGCCTCACTTCATTCGGGCGATCTCCAGCAACGCACAGAAAGAAAGTTCTGAGATAGGTTATCAGCGAATGCTTCCCATAATTCGGGAGGATTGGATGGGCTGCATAGATGCAGAGCCATGGCGAAAAGATGGCGTAAGGTCGTGGGACTTCAACGCCTGTTACTGAATCCTCAGTGGAAGGCCACCGTGCAAGGGGCAACGCATCTAAATCGTTTGCGCTATTCCGGCGATTGTAAACGGTAATTATGTCAGCGTGCCTGATGAGAGGTATAAGCTCATCTCATAAAAATAAATAAAAAAAAAGGAACCTGCCTTTCGAGCGTGTTCTTGGGATTCCCAGGGCAGTCCCTGAAGGTGATTCTGGAGTGGCCAGTTTGGCCGCGTATGGATGTTCGAGGTGCTCGTGCAGGTCCAGCAGCGGGACTATAGATTCAAGTCGAGCTAGCATGAGGACCAATATCGATGTAAAAAGTAACAAAGACACACTTCACATACGCTTGGTTGCACGTTGTATCCATTTCCTCGGTAATTGTTGTAAGAGAGATGCAGTGGTTGAGGGAGGAGCAAAGGGAATGGCTTTGAGTGATAAGGTGATAAGGGTCAAGCAGTGAATGTGCAAGGATGAAGGGTGTTTGGCAGCGATGGATGTGGAGAAAATTTATTTTTGGGCGAAGCAAGAATTATATTGTTCGAAATCTTGTATCAAGAAAGGGCAAAGGGCCATCGAGATCTTAACATCAAAGAAAGGTACTGCAAATTGATATGTTTATTTGTTAAATTTATTAGATGTGTAAAATAGTCTTCAAAATCCCCCAAATCAACCTTGGGTAACTCGTCAAACTCATCGAACCACTACCGATATCATTCATCATACCTCAGACTAAGCACTCACTATGGTTGTTGCAGTGCGAAATGAGCGAACGACATGGTGACATGAAATACCTTTTCGGACATGTGTAGTAAGTCTGGCGGTCGTGGTTTTTCTTGCACTTTTCGCACATGGGCATGTTGTAGGGATTTCAGAATAGGATGGTGGTAGGCGGCGGCGATAGAGACAGACAGAGAGAAAGATAGATAAAAGATATTTTTTAATTTTTTTATTTCTGGCTCTAGTCTATGAGACAGAGGTCTACGCGACATGGCAGAGCCTCTTTTTTTTTTTTTTTTTTTTTTTTTATTCACATGAATCCATCTGTGTGCTAGACGCGTGGTCCGCACAAGCCCGTCTAGAGCCGCACATGCCTTCCACGCACAGCAGAGCTGCATCCCCTACCAACTATGTTGGCTTGAGGTGTCTTGGTTTCACAACACAGAACGCATGGCAAGTCTAAAGCTGTACCCCTACGTGACCTGTCGCGCGACATGGCAGAGCCTCCTCTGCGGATTTATGTGTGCTAGCAAGCACACTTTAAGTTAGAAACATCCACGCGGGAAGAGCGTCTTCGGTGACGTATTCCCAAACTATTTTCACGTCCAATTAGTTTTCACGTATATTTCTGCAGCCAATCAAAAAGGCGTATCACGAGAAATAATTTTTCTGGGGGATAATAATGGGATTGGACCAGGACCGGTTGGATTCCTTCTCTACTCTTGCTTAAAAGATCCCCCAAAGGAACCAACTGTCCTTTCGAACTACTACAATGGAGACCCCCCAGATCACCCTCGAGACCTACGTCCCCCGCAAGTGGTAATGATCACCAGCTATACGATCAATTGGGTGTTGACGGGATATCAGGAGCCGGTCTATTTTATGCGCCTAAACAAGGATACAAGACAGGACAACAAAGGATTATTTACATTCAACGCAGGATCATGCGGAAACCATCATCAAACGGACTGGAATTCCAACCCAACCATCCCATCAGGAATCAATTCTACAATGTGATCCTTGCAGTCTCTGTCATTACATCTCTGTACAGGACAGATGTGAATGATGTGAAACTCCATTCGACATAGTGCGATTCAACACTGCCTTCAGGATCTTATCCTGTCTGTGCGAAGACGATTTTTACCAGGATGATTTGCTACAACAGCGCAGTATTTGACAATATTCATGGGGCGTCTACTGTTTTATCATGGATTGACGATGATACCTTGGCCATGCGGCAGGACTATGAGGGACACGCACTACTTATGTCACGCAGGATAGGACTCGGCGTTCAGCAGCACTCAGAAGCACCCGGCGTTCTGCATCAATGACACAGAAACAGAGCAAAGGAAAAACTGATATACGGTACTCATGGATTCTCCGTTTCTATCTCACTCGACAACCTTTAGCTCCGCCACTAACCGCCTCATTGGCTCCAAGGACCACGCCTCGGTCCAGATCAACATCGGCGATGTTGACGAGAACGGCCGCTACACCGGCTCCTTCACCACCTACGCCCTCTCTGGCTACGTCCGCGCCCAGTCCGAGGCTGATGATTCCATCAACCGCCTTGCCACCAAGGATGGTCGTACGTATTCTGTCTTTACTTGTTCGTTGGAATCAAATGATAATGGAAAGCTGAAACAAATGTATCCAAGTGACTGAAGACTCACCCATCGCCCTCTTTATCTTTTTATTCAATTGGCTTACTCTTCCCAGTCTTGTCCATGGTCTGGAGCTACCAGAAGTAAATTACGGAGCTGACACTTTTTTGTCATTAAAAGAAAACTTCAACTCCTTTTCATTTCTGCTTTTGCCCCTTACTGTTTTTTTTCTCGTCTTTCATTTTGGTCCTGTTCGAAATAACCCCACGGCTGCTTTGCTTCCTTTCCCTCCGACTATTCTCTTGAGAAATCGTAAACTAAGGGACGTCGGTAACAAAAAAACCGCATTCATGCTCAATTGAAAAACTGAAAAAATAAACCACACAAAAAAAAAAAAAAAAAAACCCCCGCTTCGGTCTGATTTACTGGCCCTAGGGCAGGCTGAAGGCGTCTGTTGCAACAGGGACGCGCACAGATACAGACAGACACCCACTTCTCTCGATGTGTTCTGCATTACTGCAGTTAGTCCTATGGACGGTGCTCTGTAAGTGTGGAACCAAACTTCACCACTCAGCCGCTGACTTCGTTTGTCTTTCTTTCTTTTATCTGTTTTTCCGCTTGCCGGTGAAATCTGCCTCTCCTTTACCTCACTTTACCTCCCCAAACAAGAGAAACAGTCTATAAAGCGACCTTGCTAGTTCTCACCTCAACATAACACATCCAACGTACTCAATCGCGCCCTTCTTCAGCACTTCAACAACAACTCCACACTGATAACCACATATACTACCACAGTTGCTTATTCACTCCACACATACACTACCTCGTCTCATACGACAACATGACTACAGCTTCTGAATCGATCCACTTCGTAGCAGCAAGGGAAATCATCCAGACTGCCCTGGAGAATCGCATCAATCAGACCGCACAGACATCGCTTGCAAACGGTAATAAACAGCAAATGCAATTTTGCTTACTTTGCTTTGAGGCAGTTCTGGAGGTTCCACAGAGTCCACTTTAGCTAATTTACGCTTTACCCACTTTGCCCCCCACATTCTTTTTTTTTTTTTTTTTTTTTTTTTTTTGCTTTGCGCGCGCTACAAGATATCATCTGCGTAGCCGTTGGTCTAAGGTAACTGACCAGGACTCAGATCCCAAAGAAAAAAAATTCTTCTGCCTTTAACCATTCCAGAGAACAAACAATGATGGGTATACTCAGTTTCTTTTTTACGTCTCGGATTTCGAACGTATCAGATCCGCGTCTCTCGTCGACCAATTGTTCTTGAGCGAGAACGACATCGTGCGCATTCAATCTTTATTCCACCACGTAGGTCTTTATTCTTGGTTATTGCTGGGTGCTCGTATCGTCTTTGAAGGATGCCTGGACCACTGGCATGAACTGTGATTGACCGTTATGTATGCGTGTGTCCGTGTGTGCGTATTCAAAAAGTCGCCTAGATTCAGTCAGCTGGATCTTCTGAGCATAGGCCAAGACTACGTCTTCATCATCCATCGCGACCTACTCTTACGAGACATTCATGACTATCTTACCGGATCACACATGGGCCTGCAGAGGGTCTTTGTCAACATCGACTACCACTTGCCACAGCCTGAGATTGTAGGTCCATCAGGATGTCGTGTGCAATCCATCGGACGTTACCCCTGCACCAATAATGGGGTATGAACTAATCGCTCCTTGGTCTTTTAGATGCCCAACAATCGCTATCGTCCACTAGAGGACTACGTTCGGGAAGTACTTCTGCCCGAGATTGAAACCAGGGTCAGCTGCTGGGCCCAGGCAGAGGAAAAGTTCAGGGTATTGGCCGTGCCCGAAAATATGTCGCTTGTGACACTCACAGGATGGATGTTGAGCTATCCCATAAACTATATCGTCCCCAAGAGAACATTCCGGAAGTCTAACCCCCAGGAACTGTACCACAAGCAGGGGTCCATGAAAGATGACTACACTACTGCATACGAGGAGGACGAGGACGAGGACGAGGACAGCGGTCGCAATTGTCTTGCGAATCAAGCCCTAGTCGTGACAGGAGTGCAGTTGGAGCCGAGCGAGGAGGTCGAAGGATTGGGAGACCATTTGATGATGAGCTTCACTTATCCGGCCAAGTTGGCTGAACGTTGGATCGATCGATCGGTCATATCACCGGAGCCACCCTGTTCACCTTTCAGCGATGATTATGGTCAAGAGAATGATGAAGTCGACAGTGGCGAGGACGAGCAGTTTGTGGATGCAAGCGATGTGGAGTACACAGAGTCTGATCAAGACGCTTCGCCGCATCTGGAGTCAAAGAAAACCATCCCTATCACGAACTTGCCCAAAACGATGACGGGAACTTGCGATATCTCGAACTCAGCAGAAGCACAACTCTTACCTCCTCAGCCTCAAGGTAATGCGGCATCGCAACCGACAGCGTCGTCAAATCAGGCAGAACAAAAACAAACTGCTCCCCACGGGCTCAAATCGGGCCCATCCGTTTCGCCATCGTCGTTGTCGTCGTCGACTGCCTCCTATTTCGCATCACCGCGTCCGTTGACGAGTTTTGAACGTTTTCAGAAAGATTACCGGTCGTTGCCGGCTAACAACCCGGACATTTATGCTGCAGGGAGAGCATTCTTGCACCAGTTACATACTCGGTTCCAGAAGCAGAGTGTGTGGAAGACATGGCAGGTCGGACAGCAAACCGTTACGCTCCCTGTTGTCGCGATGTAGAGTGATGAACCATCGAAACAAAAGTAAACAAAAATATCCGGCTTTCAACATCTCATGGATATCATTCATACTGTATGGGCGCTGGGCTTTGATGCCCATGTTCTTTGCTCCAGAGCTTGACAATGTATTATATGTCAAATACATAACTGCAATCTTTCTCTAAAGATGGACCGCTATGTGCGATGTCTTGGATAGAGATGTATGTTTTAGTAACAGTACAAACAGAACCAACTGCTTCCGCCAAACAGAACATGTGTGAGCATGTAGCCTAGATGTTATGATATCCATATACCGTTCGTTCCTTGAACAGTCGTCTGGCTATCTTGGTTTCAAAAAGAGGGCTCTATGAAATTGATCTTTCTATCTTCCAATGGACATAAATCCCCAATGGTGTGCAGATTTATGTTTTCTGCCTGCGATAAAGATGCATAAAGATGCGCTCATTCTCATCCCCATCCACTGTGCAGCATCAGATCGGTGTATATGACCAAAAGAGATCATTGTTCAAGGGAGGATATGAAATAGAGAGAATCCACTGTAGGATCATCACAGAAGTGTTGTTCTTTTATTGGGATTCATATTCAAAGGCTTTACTCCAGTCATTATTTTCGTCCGCAAGTTCACCTTGATCATATGAGCAGTACCCATTCGCAATTGGCCCTTTACATTGACGCATCCAGACAAGGCGAACGACGTCCTCTGTTCACAACTTTTTTCAATGACTCTTACTTTTCATTGTTGCTATTGGGATTGTTTCCGTGCTCTGTAAGGCATCCGTATCAGATGTGCGATAGGGAACGATAACATAGGGGGAGGTGAGGGGAACAAGCATTCAGCCCATAGCCAAAGAGGGCTCGCTCGTATCCTCGTAATGCTTCCTTTTCTTTTTCAGCTATGACCACTTGCCAAGGCCTGTCTCAAAGCTCTTTGGGGTTTGCTTTGTTGGTCAAAGCGGGCGATGCTGGTCAGAAAGCTGGGGTAAAAAATAAAAAATAAAATATAGATAATGATAATGATAAAAAGGGCTGGAGAGGTCGTATTTGTCATGGTGGTGGTGGTGGCATGTAGAGTAGGTGTTTAAGGAGCTTAAAGGAGGAAGCAATTGTGACCCAATGGCTGGACGCTTTTGCATATTTTTTTTTTGTTTTTTTGGGCACAGGACGCGTCCAGTGCATGCAGATCAGAGGGGCGGATGATAAGGTAAGTTCGCCTAGACCAAATACAGGCGCAGCAAAGAAGACAAGAAGAAGGAAGAGGATGACGACAAGAAGAAACACGCCGATGGGATTTTGTTTGATGGGAAAGAGAAGAAAGAGAAAGGAAGGGCTAGTCCAGCCCATTCGAACTTGGGGTTTTTTGTTGGGGAAGGGGGACCCTATTTTCTTTTTCTCCTTCCGCAATTTGTCTTTATGGAGGGTGGCATGCAGGCAGATATAGAAATTAAACTTTAATTCGAATGGGGATTGGACGGATCTGTGTGGGGGGGGGGGGGCACAGCTCAGGCTTTGCTTCTACGGAGGTTAGAGGGGTGCAGAGGTTTGCCTCCATGCGAGTTGGGAGTTGCAAGGGCCGATAAGCAGTTCCACCAATTGCAAACGGCAATCCACGGCAAAGCTGCTTTCGCCCACCTCACACCTTCTTCCTTCTTCTCCTTTACTGCCATTGCCTCCATCGACATCCCACTCCATCCTCCATCTCTCATCACCCTCCCTAGATCCTCATCACCGCATCCCTCCGCTTCTTTACTTTGCTACTCCGCTTTCTTCTCCATACAACTCCCCCCTTCCTTCACCTTTGTCGGTTCGTTTGTTTGTCCAGGGGCACTCCTCGCATTCAGCTCCTCCTACGATACCGAGCTCCTCCCTCTTTCCGTTGTCCATGAATCCCCTTCTGCCATTCACGGCCAATTCCTCCATATCTACCCCTTCTCCCTCTGCCATTCATCGCCCTCGGCCAGTCTTTGCAAGCGATCTCCTGGTAGCACAAAAAAACAAAAAGACACCCCACGCCCCCTCTTCCACAACCCCGGCTTCAGTCCCCTCTAGGTCACCAGCAGCTGCGGGCATGCACAACCGGCCATCTAGTAACACCAGCCAAAAGCTGGGCGAGCTGCCGGCGCTCCATCTCCCAGAGTTCCATCTGCCGGACCTCCAGAGATTGAAGCAGCAGCTGAACAAGCACACGCCCTCGTTCTCGTTAAAGTCCCTGCAGCACACATTCAACGTCCCCTCCTACACCTCCTACATGTCCTCCTCTTCTTCTTCGTCTTCCTCATCTTCTTCTTCGGCCAGTGCCTCGTCTGCATCAGACTCCTCAAAGGTGCGGATATCCCTCAGCTCCCGTCTCTCGAGATCTTCGTCTTCAAGCAAATCTCCAAAGTCACCCAAAGAGAATCCTTTGCAGACACCCAAACCTGAAAGCAACACCTCAGCAAGCAGCTCTACCGCAGCAACACCCTCCTCCTCCTCTGTTCATACGACAACGTCGTCGCCCATCTCCATCCCCACACATCCTTCCAATTACCTGATCAAGAAGCCCTCGACCACACCCGCCGTATCTGACCCGACCTCAGCAACGGGCGCCAATGCATCCTCCAGCACGGTCTCAAAGACAACGATACCCGTCAAACTCTCCAATCCTTCCACGTCCACAAAGTCTCCGGTCGGACACCTCTTTCTGCAGATCATCGAGGCCCGGAATCTGACACTGGTCAACCCCCCGGCCATGTCACGCCCGTACTGTCTGGTGGAATACGACCAGAACGAGTTGATGACCCAGCCGGCTCTTCCGGAGGGTGACTCCATGGGCCGAAGAGGTGGGAATGATATTTTTGCGAGAGCCATGGCAGCCAGTAGTCCGAAATGGCGCCATGATGCGGAATTGTAAGAGCCTCCTTTATACGTGCATTGGAATATGTTTATTTGTATCGATTGTCAGGAATGTGCGCGCGTGCACTTTTATATTTAAAGAATAGTGGCAATTGGATTTATGTTGAAAATTTCTCATTCCCTCTTTCCCCCCCCCTCATCTTTATCTTCTTTCTTTCCTTCTTTTTCTTCTCTGTCCTTATCCTTGACTTTGTCTTTGTCTTTTGTCTCTTAGCGATGTTGTTCGACCCAACCAACAGATATCCATTACGATTTACGATTCAGGGATGGAGGATGAGCAAGAACCGGCGAAGCGGTTCTTGGGCCAGGTCAAGCTGAGCCCCTCCGAGGTTCATAACCGGATGATCGACTCATGGTTCCGGTTGCAGGGACGGGAAGAGAGCGAACATGTTACGGGCGAGATCCGAGTGGCAATCAAGTACCAGGCAATTGAGGTAAGGGTTTTTAAGCGCGAAGGAATGTTGGGTGGTGACACAAGTTTGTGTGATGTTTCATCTTTAGGGCGATCGCACAGACCAACACAATGACCGTGCCGCAGAAACACTCTAAAATCGCTGCATCGTTCTTTATTAACATCCCCTCCTTTTTTTTTTTTTTTTTTCTTGTTGCAACATGGAAATAGTCGCGGCATTTGTCTACCGAGGACTTCGAAATTCTACGCGTGCTTGGAGTGGGTTCGTTCGGAAAGGTTTACCAGGTCAGGAAAAAGGACACGGGACGAATCTACGCCATGAAGGTCCTCGTCAAGAAGCAGGTCATTGAACAAAAGCAGGTCGAGCACACGATCGCAGAGCGCAATGTCCTGATCCAGGCCCTGCAGTCACCGTTCATCGTCGGCCTCAAATTCTCGTTCCAGACCCCGACCAAGCTGTATCTCGTCCAGGACTTTATGAACGGAGGCGAATTATTCTTCCACATGCAGAATGAGGGCACGTTCTCGGAGCCAAGGGCACGATTCTACACAGCAGAGTTGGTCCTGGCTCTGGAGCACCTGCATTCGCGCAATGTGGTCTATCGGGACCTGAAGCCCGAGAATATCCTGTTGTCCAGTCAAGGACACATTGTTCTGGTGGATTTCGGATTGTGCAAACAGAACGTGACGGAGGACGAGCGCACACATACGTTCTGTGGAACGACAGAGTACCTGGCCCCGGAGATCATCAAAGGAACAGGATACGGCAAGGCAGTGGACTGGTGGTCGCTCGGTGTGTTATTGTATGAGATGCTGGTCGGTACCTCTCCGTTTGCGGATGGCAGGACGGAGGGAACACACCACAAGATTTTGCACCAACCTGTCATTTTCCCCAAGCGTTCTGGATTTCCAGCCATCAAGCGTACGTCCCCCAAGGGGATCGGTCAGGTTTCGGAGCCCGAGATGGCGTTCCCGGGCAGCACGGGGATGATCAGTCAAAACGCACAGGATCTGATCCAGGGACTCCTCAACAAGAACCCAAAAACACGACTGGGCTCGGGACCCAATGGTGCGGAGGCTGTGGCGACGATCAAGGCACATCCGTTCTTTCAGGGGATCGATTGGAAGCGATTGCAGACGCGGGATGTGACTCCACCGTTCCAGCCTCGGGTTGGGATCACGGGGGATCTGGACGTGTCGAACTTTGACGCCCATTTCACGGACCAGACCGCTACGTTGAGTATGAACGGCAAGAGCAGTAGCAAGACAAAGGGTGCTGGGACATCTTTTCTTTCTCCAGGATCTTCGTCTTCCTCCTCGATGCTTGTGGATGGTCAGGCGGGCAGTTTCCTGTTACAGCAACAGCAGCGTGCTGCGAATCTGTATAGACAGCAGCAAAAACAGGGAGACAACTCGACCTTGAACCCGAACCCGAATGGGATGATGGCGATGGGACGTGGAAGGAGGAGCAGTAATAGCTGGAGTAGTTATCGGACCTTGAGTAACGACTCGTTGTTCTCGTTCAGTGAGTCGAACAGTCCGATGCAGATGCGAGCAGGAGCCGGGGCGGCGCCGTTGAACCGGTCGATGACCGCGCACAGGGCTCGGACACTGAAGCAGCAGCAACAGTCGCAGCTTCAGCAGCGGCAGCAGGAGTATTTCCAGGGCTTCACGTTTGAGGGCGAGAGTGTTTTGGAGAGTATGAAGCGACAGGATGATGAGCAACGATCGGGAATAGCGGCCGCGGCAGGGGCGACGGTGGCAGCAGCAGCAGGAATGGGAATGGGGTCGTCGTTTGTGGGCGGTGGGCTTGGTGAGGATGATGAGGATGAGGGGTTCCCGATCTCGACGCGTCTTGGATATCGAAAGCCGAATGAACTGTTTTCGGGAGAGGCAGGAAGTGTGGACTCGATCTTTGGCAGCATGTAAATATCTCTTTTTTTCCTTTTTTTCTTTCTTTCTTTTTTCTTTCTTTCTTTTTTTTTTTTTTTTTTTTTTTTTTTTGACTCTCCTCTCTTTTCTTTTGGCTACTTTTTTTTTTTTCTTTTTTCTACTGTTTTGTATATCTCGTTCGTCCGCTTTGCTTTTTGTTATGCTCTCTAGACCAAATATGTAACATATACCTTTTTTTTTTTGGATCGTCATCGTGGTTGCAAATGTTGTGCCATGCCATGCCACGCCATGCCATGACCGTAGAACTAATCGCTTTGAATAAAATAAATTCATATGGTTCAAAAAGGCTCTTCTGTCTCTAATGGCATCCAAGTCCCCCTGGAATCTGAAGGGAGGAGGGAGGATGAAAGAATGAGTAGAGTAATGAAGACGAAGGAGGATCAAGTAGCGTTTCTACAAGGCATCCTGGGCATCTAAAAAGAAGGACCCTAGACCATTTTTTCAAACCGCTTTCCAAACGACCATTCACCAACATCAGGATCCTGGCGCTGTCCTGATCTTCTTCCAGTCGATACGCGCGTTATCAGTTTTGGAAGCGTGTAGTGATGTGGAGAAATAGTGGAGTAAATTAAGAGCTGAGAGGAATGGGAGGAGGAACGAGAGTGAGAGAGAGAGAGAGAGAGACGAGATGCAATGATACAGACTGAACTCTGTGCAATGGCTCGAGTCCCAAGGAGTGTGTGCTTGTAGAAGTAGCAATGAGTGCAAACAACCTGAACAAAGGCCTCGAGCGCAGGGACCACCCTCCCTTTCCGCCCTTTCGGCCAATGGGATGTGAACAAAATAAAGTGAAACTGTTTGTCTGTATACACTTTCGCGTCAACAGCCCTCGCCCTATCGTAGAATATCTGCCGTCTTTCTTAAGTTTGACACCCAGCTTGATCCTGTATCTTCAGTAACCAGCAACACCCTGACGCTTGTTGAAAGCCTTTTGACACACGCTCGCTGGCAGTGACCAATTGGTATGCAGTACGTTCGGCAGCCGAATATAGGCAAAGACTGTAACGGTGGCTCTGGTAAAGTAAACACTACTTCATCGGTCTGCGGCAACAAAAGCATTCTGCTCTTTCTCTCGCGCGCGCTCTCTCTGAAACTTACGGATGAGATCTAGATGATGGACGATATACGCTACCATTTCAAGCCAATCAATAGGGTATCCTGCACGAATCAAACCGTCTTGACAGACAACGGCCCTGTCAACAAGGAAAAGTCCAGGGGTTCCCTGCCCTACTTCTTTTTTTTTTCTTTTTTTTTTCCCCCCCACAGATGCGTTCTGACCCCAATCACCATATTCATCTGCCAACAGACAGGCAAGAAGGATAAGTCCAGCTGATATACATTTGTTAATCAATCCCATCGATTTTTTTTTTTTTAATTAGCTATAGTCAAGGGCGATTCTATACGGATGTCCTACCTACCACACACGGGTAAGAGTATTCCCAACACCGGGAGCGTCCCATTTGTCCACATGCCAACTTTTTTCTCCTTCGGGAGAAGAAAAAGAGCGCTCATCTTGTTTTGGTTTTGGTTTTTCCTCAAAGTGTCATTGTCGAGGCTGGGTATCCATTTATTGTATTTGCTTGTCCAAATCTTTCGTCTTCATCTCATTGCAAGGACCATGTCTTTTTCGCTTCCCTAGGTAAAAAGAAAAGAGGAAACCCTGCTAGGAGGAGCGCCCATTTTGCCCCCTCTCCCTTCCCTCCATTCCTTCCCCCTCCCCATAGGACACTACAATGGGCGCTACCCTTTATCTCTCAGGGCAAGATACATGAGCACATGCATGGTGCATGTAGACTGCAAGCCAAGAGACCGCGTGTTACCCACCGACAACAATAGAGGGACGAATACTTCTTGATGGGACATTTTATCGGCAGCAGCAAAAATATATCGGGCTCACCGCAATATTGTGTGTTTTCCTGGTAACTAACGGGGCTAATGCAAAACGAAAGGCACGGCGCGCATAGATTGGACAGTTGAATCCAAATTGGATCTAAAACGGCTGCAGGTGTTGCGTGCTTGCTTTATTAGGGAAAGCCATGTCATTCAACTTTGTGTCTGTGGATACGTTGCTGCGGATACGTCGAAGGCCGATGAGATCCGCCTTGTGTACTTTTCGTGTCTCAGGGAGGGGGAAATGATAGGAGGAGTGATAATCGAATGGTCCCTGCAGAGGTCTACTCCACCAAAAATAAAAAATAAAATAAAAAATGGCGCAACGGTATCTCACTCTCACCAACTTGGATGGTAAGATCCAGCGGTGACAAGCAATGCCAATGCCATATGGGTAATCCAGAAGCCGGGCAGTAAAGGATGCAAACCTGACAATAAGGATGAGAAAAAAACAAATATCGCGCACTAAGCGTAGGTTGAGCCCCTCTATTTCATTAAAAAAAAGCATCTTGGTGCCCTAGGATGACACTGTTAGATACTAGTTAGTCAATAGTGATAGACAGACGCGTGTTTCTGTGTTCTGCAATGCAATGCAATACATTTTATGAGATCCAGGGTTCCCCCGTTTTCGGCCTTTCCCAAAGAAGGAACACATCTCGTCCTCGGTCTCCTCGAGAAACCGGGACTTGTATCCGTGGACGCTAGTTCATAGCGCGTACTTCATAGGTAGTCGACGGGACCCTTGGGCGAGGGATTTTTTTTTAAAAAAAAAAAAACGGCCAAGAGTGTAGACTTGTTACACCATGAACTAATTTAGCTGCATATCGTTTATGATGAATTGACAAATGCACTCTCCTGCAGAAGGTCGACCGGGGATGGGGTTGCAAGCAGCGGATGGGTCCATTCTAAGGGACGGATGCGTTTACCAATGTGATTTGAAAAGTTGTGGTTGGCCAATCAGATCCACGGTCGCTTTCCCTTGAGAGCCGCATTCCTTGTCGGTTTGGACTACAACGCGAGTCTAGCGTATGTAATAAATCTTGCACATGCAGGTCAATCCCATGCAGGTCCCTGAACCCGAGTCTCCACTCAGGGCGCAGGGCTCAGGAGGGGGGAGGGCATAGGTAGGGCGTCATGGATAGGGCGGTAAAGCACATTCATTGGAGGGAACGCACGCGGTGCTCTCAAAGGCAAATAAGATCAAACGCATACTAAATAAGTGCATTTGTGTCCAGCCGAGTCAATGCACTTTTACCTCAATCTGTTTGTCAATGTGTATAGTCTAAACACTCATACAAAAGACGATACCCATCCATTTCAGCGAATGATAACATGGCAAGAAGGGTCCCGGGAACTACACATACGACGTCGTAGTACAAAGAGAAAAGAGAGAGAGGGTCAATATTTCCAGCCCACTATAGATCGCGCCATCGCTATTGCTCTCACACTCATGGTGTTTCGCTGCATGTCATAGCACCGATCCAAGGTTAATGAACTTCAGAAACAATCTGCAGACATGACATGCCTGCCGTCAATACCAAGGAGTACTCGTTCGCATACCACCGTGTGAACCAAGGTGGGACCTCGTTGCCTAGAAAAACGCGTATAAAAGACGCGACCCATTCCTCTCTTTTTATTTTTCATTCCATATCATCACATCCTCTGCTTTCAACAACCACACCAGCTTCCACAGCACTCTCCTTAACGCACCTATCCATCAATTAACCATGAAGTACACCATCCTTATCACCGCCTGCATTGCCCTGGTCCAGGCCGCGCCCCTGCTCTCGCACGCCACGAACACCAAGCCCATCCCCGACTCGTACATCGTCATCCTCAAGGACGGCAACACCGCCTCGTCTTTCCAGCCCAAGTTCGCTGATATTGCCAAGCGCCAGAACGGTGTTCGTGGCATCAAGCCCAAGATCCACCGCCAGTTCAAGGCCATCCCCGGATTCCATGCCTCGCTCAACAAGGCCGCCCTGAAGGAACTCCAGTCCTCCCCTGAGGTCGCCTACATCGAGCAGGACGCCATCGTCAAGATCACGGCCGAGCAGAGCAACCCTCCCTCCTGGGGTCTCACCCGTGTCTCCGAGCAGGACTTGGATTTGGAAAAGCCCTTTATTTACGATGATGCTGCAGGCGAGGGTATTACCGCCTATGTGGTCGACACCGGAGTTTATGCGGGCCACTCTGAGTTCGGAGGACGCGCCAAGCTCGCTGCCAACTTTATCGAAGGCTCCGCCAACACGGATGAGAACGGCCACGGCACTCACGTCTCCGGCACCATCGGAGGCACCAAGTACGGTGTGGCCAAGAAGGTCAACATTGTCGGTGTCAAGGTCCTCGACGCCCAGGGATCCGGTGCCACCTCTGGCGTCGTTGCAGGCATGGACTGGGTTGCTCAGAACGCAACTCCCGGCAAGTCTGTTGTAAACATGTCTTTGGGTGGTGGCAAGTCCCAGGCTATTGACGATGCGGCCGGTCGTCTGTTTGCTGCCAACATCCCTCTAATCGTCGCTGCAGGCAACGACGAGAACCAGGACGCCTGCGATGGCTCGCCCTCCGGTGCGGCCAACACACTCACGGTTGCCGCATCGGACAACACTGACACCACCGCGTCATTCACCTCGTACGGATCCTGTGTCGAGATCTTTGGACCTGGTGTCGACATTACCTCGTCTTGGATCGGTGGCGCCAACGCCAAGAACACGATCTCGGGCACTTCGATGGCGACTCCCCATGTGGTCGGTGTTGCTGCGTTGTACCTCTCTCAGGGTGGTATCGACTCTGCACAGGCTTTGTTCGACAAGCTCACTAGCACCTCGACTCCCGACAAGATCCAGGGTGACCTCAAGGGATCGCCCAACAAGCTGGTCTACAACGGCGGTGCCAACTAAGGTGGACACTTTTTATTTTTCATGCAGGTCATGGACCCTCCCCCCCCCCCCCCTTTCCTTCGATGCCATGCTGGATCCCATGGACGTACAAGGACGATTTATTAGTTGATTTTATGAGACCGATTTTATGGATAAAGTAGCAGTTTGGTCAGGCACCATCAGAGCAACGATAGGACTCTGTTTTCTTACACTAGCTTGTCTAATAAACCCTGATTACTAAGTAAATAAATAAAAAAAGGAAAAAAAAAGAAAAGTGTCGATCGCCAAGAGAAAGAACAGTGAGCAGAAGATGACGGTTCCTGAGCCGCTTGCGATGAAGATAATTATCTGCCTGTGTTTGATGGCGTGTGATGACGGCAGCGGCGGTGCAACCGATCGTTTGGCATTTTTTGGGTTGGGTTGGGTTGGGTTGGGTTGGGGGACACAACAGCGCAGCTGCCGGGAGAATGTCATTTTTCTTGACCGGCCCGCTCATCCCATCACAGCTCCTTCATTCCCCTCTCTTTCATTCACACACTCTCATTGCTGTAAACACCTCTCTCCCTCTCTCTCTTTCACTTTCCCTCCTCCTCTACCGGAAACCTCCCCCTTCCCTGCCACAACCACCCAACCATGTCCTCCACCGAAGGCGCCTTAGCCGCAACCCCCGTCGACAACAAAGCCATCAACAACACCCCCACGATCTGGTACCTGGCCTACGGCAGCAACATGGACCCCAAGGTCCTCACGGGCCGACGCAAGATCCAGCCCATCGAGTCCAGGCCCGTGATCGTCCCCAATTACTGGCTCAGCTTCGATATCGGTGGGATACCCTTTATCGAACCCTGCTTCGCCTCCATCCTCAAGATGGATTCCTCTCGTTTGCATGAAAAGGCATATGCGCTCCATGTCCATTCAAGGACCCAGCATGGACGGGAATTCCTCTGGGACGAGTCACACCCAGACCACCCCCAGCGCTCGTACCCGCCTGTGCTCCAGGGCGTAGTCCATCGCATCACCCTGCGCGATTGGCAGCTTGTCATTCAATCTGAGGTAACTGACGAAGGAGGAGGAGGGGGAGGGGAGTGACATTGCGAAACATCCATGGAAAGAGTTGCAGATAAGATAAAGAGGTTCTGGGGACGGGGGAGAAAAGGGAGCATACATTTTAGTCAGCGGACCACCACCACCTTGAGGAATGCAGAAATGTGAATCGACCAATTAAAGCCAATATGTATATGCATTTCTTTCTTTTTCCTGCAGGGAGGATGGGGCTACGACGTCCCCACGGGCTACAACCAGATCGAGGTCGACTGTGTGGTCGTCGGCTCTAAAGAACACCTCTCGGCCCATGTCCTCGAGGCCCGTCCGCTCTCCGTCAAGACCCACTGTCAACCCACGGCCCGGTACAAGAGCCTCCTCACCGCCGGCGCAGCCCATCACAGTCTCGACCCCGCCTATCAACGCTACCTCGCCGGCATCGTCCCCTACGAATGCACAGGACTCCGCTCCCGCATCGCCCGGTCGATCTTCACGGTCGTGAGCTCCCCGTTGATGATCATGTTCGCCATCATGTTCTGGAGGAACAAGGGCAAATCTGCGGACCAGCTCAAGCGACCACCTTACTGGGCCGCATGGTGCTTTGATAGGGCGGCGAGGTTCTCGGGAGGGATGCATGATTATCTCATTGCCCCGATCTTCGGATCCGGACGCCGCTCGAGCCCAGCACACCAGGCCATCGTCAGGAGGAGGATCCAGGACACGATGGAGGAGGCCAAGTCTCTGGGACAGCTTCAGCAGCAGCGTGAGGTTGAGGTCGAGAAGGAGAGCAAGGCTTTGAAGATGGCTGAGAAGGCCGTGGAGAGCGTGGCGGAGTAAAAAAAAAAGAAAAGAAAAGAAAAAGGTAGAGGTTGGGACAACTTGCCAGCTGTTTTCAAAAAATAAAAACCCGTAATATTCTTATATTCTCAAACGGTATCGTATACCATACGACCATACGCAACGCCATTGCATCGATGTTATCATCCTGTCTCAAATGGGCGAAGCAAGCACTGTGATTTGAAACAATAGGTAAGAAGGAAGGTAGGGAGGTGGGAAATGCTGAAGCCGTGTGCGGAGCAAAAAAAACAACTCTCTTGAGCAAGACCTTCCTTCCTATTTCGTTCCGTTTCCATGGCCACATGTCCATACCACTTTAACGTCGAACCGTCCACAAGATCCCCCTCCACATCCCATGCTCTCAATAAACCGCATTCAAAGTGTGCTTTTTACTTATTTATTTTTGCAATTCATATGTTGTTGTTGTTGTTGTTGTTGTTGTTGTTGTTGTTGTTGTTGTTGTTGTTGTTGTTGTCGCTGTTGTTGTTTTTTTCATCATCACTCCATCCCCGCCAGAAGCGGGTCATCCTCACTGACCCTCCGATCTTCCAGCGATCGCTTCATCCAGGCCTTCGCAGACCCCAACGCCGCCTGTGACCGTTGCTGCAGATACGCCGACTTGCTCGAAGTCGATCCCGTCGATCCCGCCGACTCTGTCGACCTCGTCGAACCCGACGGCGATAACATCCCACTCGGTGGCATGCCCGTCACTGGAGGCGTCGGCGGCAACGTCGATGCTAGCGTCAACGCATCCTTATCCGTTCCCCCGGCCCCCGTCGTCGACGCCATCATCACCGTGGTCGTCATGGCGGTCGTTGGCATCGACGTCGGCATCGGCGTCGGCATGTTCTCGAACGGCCGACCAAGCGGGTACAAATCTACCTCCTTCCGGTTGCTTCCAGAAGAGGTCATTGACCCCATCCCGGCCGTACTATTCGTCGATGACGGCGACCGCACCAACCCCATTCTCGGCAATGGCTCCCTTTGCTGCTGCTGCTCTCGCTGCTCCCGCTGCTCTCGTAATTCCTGTAGCTGCTGAACCTGTTCCTGCAACTCCTGCGCTGGCGACATCTTCTGCACATTGCCCTTACTACTACCACCAATGCCATTGTTGCCACTCGACACACTTCCAGCCCGGCGCCGGTTTCCCAAATACGTGCCAACACTATCCAGCGAGAACTTGGACGATGACTTGGTCAATCCACCACCCACTCCTCCTCCACCACCGCCACCACCACCTCCTCCTCCTTCCTGTTGATCCTCCTCGCTGCTTCGACTCGTGATTTTCTTCAACAACAAATCCCTCTTTTGCTTTAGGCCCAACAAACTGTCGCCGCTGTTCTTCCGTCCATGCTCCTTGGGGCTGCGTGTACCCTTACCTTCGTCGCCCTCCCTCTTACCGCTGACATCCCCATTCTCATCCCGGACCTGACCCTTCCTGCCCTTCTTATCCACGTTAAAAAAATTCGCCAGGTTACCCTGCACCTGCGAAATCGAACTTCCTGACCGAGCGCTGCTGTTCCCCTCCAAGATCCCCGCGATCCCGATATGTGACGATGACGACGAGCCCAAACTACCCCTGCGCCTCAAGTCCTCCTCCCTCGGCCCCTTTTTCCCGCTGCTCCCGTCTGTATTCGCGGTCGAGGACGTCATATCCCATTTCTTGATCCCTGTAGTCTTTGGAAACGTATCAAACTCGCTTCTCCGTGCTCCGCCCTTGTCGCTCCCCCCACTGCCCTTGCGGTTCTTCTCCACAGGACTCTGCAGTGACTGATACAGCGGGTCATTTCCCGTCGGCGACACCGCATGGTCCTCTCCCTCACTCTCTTTCGAATCCTCACTTCCCGGCGACTCCAGGCTCGCAAGCACACGCAACGAGCTCGTCGACGTCTTCTTGGCCGGCCCGTTCATCGGCGACACCGTCAATGTCCTCGACCCCAGCGTCTCTGCCGAATCATTCAGCGCCGACAACTTTGGAATGACCGATGGCAGTTTCGAAGAACCGGCGCTGCCGGTCGCAGTAATCGTGCTGCCGCTACTACTACTACTGCTGCTGCTGTTGGTCAAATGGGACGTCACCGGGGGCGATGTCCTGATCGCCGTCGCGATCGATGTCGCCACCGTCGGCTTCGTGTTCAGCTTCAAAGGATCCGGGACCGAATCCGAGGAGGATGCCGCTGTTGACGAAGACTTTGAGAAATGTGCCTGAGAGAACCGCTTGAACTTGGACGCAATCGACGAGCTCGACATGACGCTCGCATTGCTGCTGCTGTTGTTGTTCTGATGATGTAGGTACATACCCGTCACCGGCGGGGTCGACGCAGCCCTCGGAGTCGATTCCGAATCCAGATCCGAATCCGTGTCTGATGAGCTCCACGATTGCTTCCTGCGTACTGCACTTAACTGTGGTGGAGATGCATGCTCCGAACTGAAGGAACTCTCGCTACCCCTCCTGCGTCCTGCTGCTCCCTTGCGTTCACTGGCCTTCCCAGTCTTGGCCGTCACTGTCGAATCCGCATCACTATCATCGACCGGTTCCGACGGTACCTCCTCATCCCCCTCAAAGATACCTCCAGTTCCATGTGAATCAAAGAACGGAAAGTCATCCATGTTCGGCAACACAATCGCCTCGACCATCGCTTCCCGGATCTTTGTCTCGATCGCACTCAACACCATGTTCAGCTTAATCGCCTTGTCCGCCACGATCGGCTCAATCACAATATCCATCTCTGGCGGTTCCTGGAACCCGATCCAGAACCGATTCGTCGGTGGGGCCTTGATTTTGAGTGTCATCATCCCCGAGATCGACTTGACAAGGACCGCCAGGACAATGGTCACCTTCACAGGCTTGGGTCCCGACAAGCCCAAGCCGACGTCGACCTCGATCTCGACCCTGATGCCTCCACGGTACGACAGATGGAACTCTGCTGTGAGCTCTCCATTCATGGTGAGTTCGTGCAACCTTGTCCGGGTGATGTAGGGGATGCTGTGGCCAACATCGAACGACTTGACCTTGATCTCGCCCAGGAACGAAGGTCGCTTCAACTTCAAGGTCTTACGGGTGATCTTTTGGATAAGGACGTCCTGGATCTTCTTCGTCTTGTAGACGCCCAAGAAGATGCGTCCGAGGAAAGAGTTGAACCAGCGGGTGTGCTCGTGGTGTTTGTCGGAATGGAGGATCCGGATATGGTTCTGGATCGCCTCCAGGTCGAATTGAGCCTTGTCCTGGATCTTTTGCCTCGTCCCAGGCTTCCTCAGCTTGGACGCATACAATAGAGCGATGTACCTAAAAAAAGAAAACCGTGGGGGGGGGGTGGAGAAAAACGATGATACTATTAATACCGCATATCTTTTTGTTTTCCCATTTGCGGATCGAATGGTGTAAAGTATAAACACACCGCAAACAAGGATCATGCAAATCAATCAACCAATGCATATTTATATAAAAAACACACTTACCAATCCTCCTTGATGACTGGAGTATGGATAAAGATGTAGTATTCATCCTGTCCATTGTCGAGAATACTCGTTGAGGCCGGCGCGTCTGCCTTTCGCTTGATCTGGATGGGATGCTCCTTGTTAAAGACCTCGTTATCGGGCAGATTCCTCGGATAGATCCTGACCTCGTACAGCGTCATCGGTACCACGGCCTTACAATCCCGCTGCTGATCGCTCTCGTACAGGAACAAGGTGTCATATCGCAGGACCGCATAATACGAATCCTTTGGCCGTGCATTCTTTGGCTGGAACAGCATGTTCGTCATATAGTCCGAGATCGATTCCGCAGTCGGTCCCAGTCGAGGCACCCGTGTCATCCGTACGTATCCCTCCCTGTTGAGATTCGGATCCGACTGCATCGGCACATCCGGCTCCCGACCCACTGCAGCTTTCAGACTCTGTGTTGCTGCCGTCTCGCCCATAACCGTGCCCTCATCATCCTCGTTGTCGTCGTCGTCGTTATTCCCGTTACTATCAGTCTCATCCTCGCTTCCAGAGCTGTCCTGATGATGATGATGGTTGTCCCTGTCCTTGTCCCTGGTCGTACTGAACACTGCGGGAGCCGAGACCGTAGAGTTGGATGAAGAGATTGCGGTCGCGGCAGAGGATGAAGCCGAGTGATCGGTAGTAGTAGACCGAGCCTTTCCAGCTCTCCTGCGCCGTACACTCCCATTCGGTGCCTTGTCTGCTCCTGCAGCTATCGCGGTGAGATCGGAGGCGGCCTGGACATGGGCGGGGTGGAGGGTTCTTTCGATCTCGTCCTGGAGGATGGTGGGCGCGGGCAAGTCTGTGGGCCTGGGTTTGGAAGAGTCGAACTTTGGCAGACGGATCCAGAGGAAGGCGAGGGTGAGGAAGAGGGTGAGGGGGATGAAGGTGATGCCGCCCAGCAGGTAGAAGAACAGGTAGGGGTGCATTGTGAAATTGTGAAAGAGGGTATCGATGGAGAGGCAGAGTCAAGGAAAGAGACAGTCGGCAGCAGGGAGACTGCTGAGAAGGCTTTATTTCACAAACAAAAGATGGGAAGAGAGAAAGAGAGAAAGAGAGAGAGAGTGTGTGTGTATGTACAAGAAAAGAGGGGAGGAGGATGTGGTGTGCAGGAGCACAAGGAGCTGCAACAGCTGCAGCAGCGGTGGGTGGAGAGAAGAGGTTACTGTTGGGGGGGATTGGGATGCAGACCAGCGGGAATGGGATGGGATGGATGGAATGGGCTGGGCGGAATGAGCCGGCGATGGCGACTTGCGGGGGGAGGGGGAAGGGGATGAACTGGAGGAAGAAGAAGAGGAAGAGAAGAAGAGAAAGAAGAGGACGACAGGGGTGGGAGATAGAGTGGGTGATGATGATGACGGTGATGATGATGGGGCCAGTCCGTGGGCGAGGGGAAGGTCTCGGCATGGGCATCATACCAGCATCATGGGGGCAGAGTGCGGTCCATGCATGCAAATGCTATCACTACATAGACTACTTGGTGGCAACCAACCGAGTGATGATCATCCAGATCTCCCTCCCCCTTCTTTCCTTTGTCACAAAAAAGGAGCAGAGGGATCACCTCCACCTCCACCTCCACCTTTACTTTCACCTTCACCGCCACGAACCAGACCATCGCCATGACCATCATCATGACGACCCACCCATCATCCACACCCCTCCCTCTCTTCTGCCTCTGTTGCCCTGCACAGCAGTGTACATACAAGTCCCGCCAGAGTGGACATTATGTCATATCCTATATCCCTCAATGCACAATGCACAAATGCACGGACATTTCCCCCCCCCCTCTCCCCCTATACCACCATCTGAACCATCCTGATTGGTCCGTCAAAAGACCAGGGGTAACCAGCCTGGACACCCTCGCCTAAACACTATACTCGCAGATTCCTAGGAGGGGGGGATTTCTTTCGTCTCCTTTTTCTCGGCCTGTCAAGGACGCATTCGCACATGCAACATGCACATGTACCTGCAGCAGACATGCCATGCTTCACCATATTACTCTCTAGTCGTTTGTTGTTGCTGTTGTTGCTGTTGTTGCTGTTGTTTGTTGATATTGATATTGATATTGATATTAGTAGTATTATTATTATCACTATTACTTTTATTATTATCATCGATAGGCATCATGGGGTTGTTGTCTATTAAGAAGCGGCGTGGCGGGGGATAAGACGTGTATATACAAAGGGATAGGGGGATGGGGGAATAGGATAGGATAGGGTAGTCAGGAAACGACCAGGCTGTGGGGGGTGTCATGAACAGACGGATATTATAAATATACAAAATAATAATAAAAAATAATAAAAAGTAAAAAATAAAAAGAGGCGGATTTAAGCGATCCTGACAGGCATCGGGGGCGCCGGCTGGGCCAGGGGCACAAAGTCCTTGATGATCATCGAGTCACAGTCCGGCGAGAACAGCCTCCGCCCGTTCCTCGGCCTCAACGGCTCCACCACCAAACTCTTCTTCCCCATCGCCGGTGCAAGAGGCATCGGCATCGACATCGACATCGGCATCGGCATAGGCGGCGGTGGTGGTGGGACCTTCATCGTCCCCGCAGCCAACCGCTTCTTCTGCGACACCTTCACCCTCACCTTCGGTCCACCCTGCTGTCTCTGCTGCTTCAACTCACTCAACTTCTGCATCATCCGCTGGTGCTCCAACAGATGCTCTTGCAGCTGGTGATACTGCGCCTGCAGCTGCTGATGCAGCTCCTCTGGCGACAACGCCACCATCATCTGCTGCTGCGAGGTCGACGACAGCGACGACGTCGACGACGGCCCATCATCTTCCTCCTCCTCTTCCTCCTCGATCTCGGGCTCCACAAAGCTCATACACATTCCCTCGAACCGATCAAGCCCCAGGATATTCAGCTCATGCTCCAATTGCTCCAGCTCCTGCTGCTTCTCCTGCTCGATCCGCTTCTGTCGGTCCTCCTCATCCTCAAACTCCTCCTTCAGATCCAACACCCGGACCTGGTTCATCTCCGGCACCTCATCATCTTCAATCTCCTCCTTCAGATCATACCACTTGTTGAAATCCTCATGCGTCGGCTCGTACTCGATCCGCTCCTGAACTTGCCTCTGCTGTCGCTGCAACAACTGCGCATGCACCCGTCGGGCCCCACTGCTACGGCCCTGACTCTCCCCAAGTCGATTCATCAGCTTGGCCTGCATCCGCCAGTCCTCCTCCATGTCCACACGCTCCTGGATCGTAAAGTGATCCCGCTTCTGCAGCTCCTGTGCCGACTGCAGAACCGTCGGTGAGAGCAACGTGCATCGGCGCGTCGCCTTCTTGGCCGCCATCTCGGTCGAAGACATCACAGGTCCCGCCATCGGTGAATTCGGGAGCGACATCGTCACTGCATGAACAGACTCTGCTCCTCCGTCCTGCGAGTGTTGACGCACATGCTTGGAAAGATGACATTGTGGACGGTGGTGGAACGAGGACTTGGTGCCGGGACTCATGACCTTGTCCTTGTCCGTCTCGGCGGCCCCGGTCTCCGCAATGGGTTCGAGTCCGCGGTTGTGGACATGATGGTGGTTATTAAAGTGCACGCGCGCACGACCGTTGTCGGAACTGGCGCGACCCGCTGCTGTGGCGGCGGTGGTGGTGGTGGTGGCGGTGGTGGTTGTGGCGGGAGCAGTAGTATTAGGAGTAGAAGTAGCTGCAATAGGGATAGGCTTGAAGGGGAAATTGGCGTTCTTGTGATGATAAATGAGCCATTCGCGTTCGACGGGCGAGGCATCCCGGAGTCGGTACGCGAGATCTTCATTCTCGACCATCTGCCACAGGGTCTTGACTGTTCGTGCATACTCTTGCGCCTAATACCATTCACCCAATTCACGTAAGAAAGAAAAAGAAAAAAAAGGTGTCAATATCTTTTGTCCCACATTCCAAAAAAAAAAAAAAAAAAAAAAAAAAAAGAGCAGTAGCTTATGTAAAACAAGAAACATGAAGAGAGGGGCGGTGTGAAGGAAGAGAGCACAAAGTTTTTGTTTCGCATACCTTGGTCTCAAGCATAGCCAGGTTCTCCGCCGAGGTTGTGTTGCCCGTCGAGATGGCCTTCAAAGCATTCGGCGACTTGACCTGAGCATGCGTCAACAGCGGCTGCTGCGGCTGCGGCTGCGGCAGAGGCTGGGGCAGAGGCTGGGGCAGAGGCTGGGACGTCGTCTGAGTCTGCTCCGAGTTCCGTCGCAGATGCCTCGAGGTCAAGTAATTCAGATTCCTGCTCAGACTCTGTCGACTCTCTATGCGCTGACCCGGTTGAGGACAGCTCCTCATCTCCGTGATCTGTGTCGGCAACGAGTTGTAGGACCTGCTCGCGAATGGCTGCTGCAGGGACGATCGTCGGAGAGGGAATGCTCCTGGGACGGTCACTGCAGAGGGTGTGAGGGAGAGTGAATGGTATTTTGCATGGCGGTTGCGGTACTGGCTCAGATCTTCCGCATCCGTGTTGCTGGGTGGTGTAGCGATGGCAGCAACCATCGTGCGGGACATGCCAAGACAGGTCGTTGTGGCAGCCGAGATCATGTCCTGGGAGATGGCTGGGAGGAGGTTATCGTCCTCATCATCTTCGATTTCAGAAGTGGTGGCACTGGGAGGGACATAGGGGATGAGCGTGGGCTGGGAAGAGTTGCGCAGGGGAGGGTATCCGATGCCAGGGATGTAGACGTTTGTGGGGGTGGGGGATCTCTTTTTCTTGCCGCGTCTTCTCTTGAACCACTCCTTTGCGTTCAGAAGCTTGGCCATCTTTGTGTCAGTGGGAGTGTGTAGTGTGTGAGAGAGAGAGAGAGGAAAGAGAGTGAGGGTGGTGGGTGTAGCTGAAGGAATGTTGAGGGTGAGGGTGAGAGTGTGAAGGAATGTGGGTGTGGGTGAGAGCTGGTATTAGTGGCGGGAGAGTAATAAAGAAAGGGAATAAAAAGTGGCGGGTTCGACTGAGATTGGATGGATGGAGGGTGCTAGTGGGCACTAGTGGTAGTATAGCTGTGGTAGTAGTAGTAGCAGTAGTAGTCGTAGTAGTAGCAATGGTGATAGCAGCAGCAATATGTGTGAGTGTATGTTATGTACAGGCAAGAGGAATGCGAAAAAGATGGGTGCTGAAGAAGAGGGCCGTCCCTATTTATGGTCCCCCCTCCCCCCCGCCAGCGGGGCAGTGGTGGACCGTCGTGCAGCGGAGGGGTGCAGACACAAACACCGCGGGCGCCTCTGTTTCTGCTTATTATTTCTGTGTCAGGCACAGTCGGGGGTATCGGCGACTATTTGTTTTGGCCCGTCCTGACTGTGTGCGACCATTCCATTTGTAAGACCATCGCATCAGCACCACACGGACCATGCAGCACCACTAACCTATCTGAAGCCTAGTCTGCACCCAGCAGCACCGGCAACAGCACATTGCAGACTAGACTACACTACTCTCTCTCTCGCCCTCACTCACGCGCAGTCTTTTCTCTTCCTTCTTCACTTCACTTTTCTTGTCTCCCTCCTTTGCTCGCTTGCTTGCTTCCAAAACCCAATAGAAGAAGAAGGTCATGGTCATGGTCGTGGTCATGCTCAACAATTTCCCAATTGCATATTTTTATTTCTATTTCTTATTCCTCACTGTATTGGACTGTATAGGACTCTATTGTATCTTATTCCGCCATTGGAATACTTTTTTACCGTTAGGTAAACATGGTTCCCCTCCCCCTCTCCCATGCATATGCTTTTTTTTTTTGCTCCCATTGTTCTTGTTCAGTCTTCGCTATTCTTTCTCGGACAAAGTCTAGACTAGACTACAGGACATGGTATTCTGATCATGGGGGGCGAGTTTATCTTGTAGACTAGTCCCAGTTCAGTCCAGCTCGATTTTATCGCAGTCTCGTGTTGCGCGGCAACTTCTTTTTTTTCTTTTTTACGATTCTTCTTTCAGTATGCGTCGATGTGAATCACAATGTTTATTCTCCCATGCAGCATATTGTCTCTTCCTTGCTGTCAAAGAGTCAGACACTCCCCTTGGAAGCAAACACCAGTTGGGGGAGCAGTGCTCGGACTGGCAGGAAAGAGCCCAAGGGTTGTGTGCAATTGAAACCTATTGTGTCCCAGACAACAGCAGACCCTTATCCTCGCTTGATCGGGCATCCCCTCTCCCCAGTCCCAGACTGTCTGCACTTCTGGCTCCGGGCAGAGATCGGATGATGGCGCAAAAGGAACCCTTCCCCCCCACCTCCAGGGACGGATGGGAACAATTAAGAAATAAGAATCGGAGGGAAAACCCGCTAAATAAGATAACAATAATGCCCTAGTCGGCATGAACTATCGAAATCGGACCAATGGCTGGCTGGGGAAACACTAGCTCACTAGCTCCTGTTCCTGGACACGGATGGGATGGGGGGTGGGCGTGAATGTCCAGACGTGTTGCTGCTGCAAGGGAACCAATTGAATTCGGGGAGCCGGGTCTTATCCTTCCCTCGCTTTTTTTTTTTTTCTGTCTTTCCCTCGCTTTTCCCCTTCCCTCGCTTTCTTTGTTGTGTATTGTGTATATAGAAAAGGAAGGAGATACGTACAACAACAAAAACTGCGGTGCAACGAATGCCTCCCCACGTTTTTTCTTTTCTTTTTTTCTTTCTTCTCGGGGGAAATGGACAGAGACGATGTGGGGGCACCCGATTTCTTCGCCACCGCTCTTTAGGAGATAATAATAATCACTCTCGAGACAAGGAACATAGGAACATAGGAACATAGAAATTATTTCCCTCCTCCACTCGATCCTCCTCCTCCCCGCCCCTCCCTTTCCCCCATCCACCAGCCATCCTATCGCTCAGAGCTCCAACGCGTCTGCTCGCAAAATCCTGCGAGCAAACTTCCGCTTCTGGACAAAAAATTGCCCTCAACCGCTCACACTCTCTCTCTCTCAGATTATCATACCCCCCCCCCCTCAGCCTCTGTTGGCTCATTTTTATTCATACTCCATCGGGCTGCATCCGCTCCCGCTCTCAGGGGGAGGAGGGGGGCGATAGTGTGACCCTTCCCCTTCCCTCGCTCTGATGCATGCAGCCCTAACAACCGCTCTTGAAAATAAAAATGTAGAAAAAAAAAATTTCCTTGTTTGAAACGCGTCGCCGCCTCCTCCTCATCTTCCCATTGTGTCTGTCCTGCAACTGGGAAATAAAATCTCTGCTATTCTAGTCCTGTTCATCTTAACAAAGAGACTTACGGGATACTGCACTCGTAATTACATTTAATTTGAACGCCCTGGGGGGGGGTTTCTTCCCTGTCTCGCCGTCCGAACCTGTCTACAACACGAGCTCGAGCGAAGACTCAGGACCCGGGACTGGAATGTGCATGTGTGACATGAGGAATGACTAAGCATGATCTTCTTAGAAGGAAAAGAACCCCCCCTCCCCGCCGGGCGCGTGTCTGCCTTGACACGGGCATGGGCATGGGCATGGGCGTGGGTGTTGCGTCGCGTTGTGAACAGACAGTTTCTGATTCTTTGTATAAATAATTTATCTGATAATAAGGCGGCATGTGCACTGCACGCCGTTCGTTCAATTGAAGAAAGGATGGGGGAATAGGGGAGTCGGAGCATTTCTTTCCATGTCCGATCGATCATGAAGGACCCTGCTTTGTACACTCGACTCTCAAAGCGAGCGGAGAGGAGGATGGAGCCCTTGTTTGTGTAGCCTAGGCCTGCTTGTGTACCCATGAACAGCACAGGAATGACTCTGTAGAAAACAACAGTCAGGAGGCGGAAGGAAGCCTCGTCCCCTGGACGTCCCACATTCCTCGGATGGGACAAAGAGGTTCTTCGTCGTCATTGTGTTTGTGTGGATGCTGTAAGTAAGCATCGTCGCTTAGTAAAAAAAAAAAAAAGATTCCCTGCCTCGTGGCAAGGTTCATCACCCAACCCTGCCCTAACCTAGACTATCGTTCGTCATGGGCTCGATCCATCATCGACGACCACCTCTCCCCGTCCTCCTCCGCTCTCCCATCCCATCGAGAGAAGAAAGATACATTGCTTCCTTGGAATGTGTACCCTTTCCAGAGGAATTCCCGTGAAATTCTTGCACCCCATCCACCTCCCTCGATCACCTCCGTTCCCTTGCTCGATCGACTCTTCCACGGCCATTCTCTCTCTCCCTATTCCGCAGGGGTGCTCCTCCTCGGGAGAGGGGGGAGGGAAGTCTCTTGTCTCTTTACACCGAGGTTTTTTAAATAAGCAACTTGCCACAGTACACAATGTACGTACGAGGCAGGGCACACGTTCCTCACGCACATACACACACATAAAAAAAGACACCAGCACAGCACCACAAAACATACCCTTTTTATGTTTTGCTCTCCTCTCCTCTTTTCTCCTTCGGTGTCACACGGGGCGCCGCCGCCAGGGACCCATGTCTCAATCGGACCAAGAGCGTGCCTGCTCTTCAGGATCCAGATTACCCTCATCTCCCCTCCTCGGGACATCACGTCAATGCACTGTATGCACAGACATACCTTTCTTACTTTTTTTCTTTTTGTCTCTTCTTTCTTTCTTTGTATGCGTGGATGTATGTATGTGTGTGTGTAGTCTATGAATGAATACGTCTATAAAAATATACATACCAACCATGATATACCGAACTTAAATGTTTACATATACACACACACCCCTTGCGCGAAACCCATCGGAATGTTACAAGACTTTTTTTTTTTTTTTTTTTTTTTTTTTTTACATCTGTGCACACATATCGATGTCAGGGGTGGATTGAGCACAAGCATTCAGTAAGCTCGTCAGAGCCCGAGACCTATCCCCCTTTCCCTTTTTCCTTTCTTTCTATAGCTATAGCTCAGCTAATCCAGCCAGGTACATACAATATATACATACATACACTCACATACGCACACAAAGAGAGAGAGAGAGAGGGGGGGGCTTCCGAGGAAAACTCACAAAGGTTAAACTATCTATGTACTCGTTACGTTACGTTACAAGGGCTGCAGTCTACTCAATGTAGGTACACCCAAAAGAGCCTCTTTTTTTTAAAAAAAAAAGACACCCCTCCAATCCAACCACTCACAAACTCAAGACTGTTCTGGTTCCGATCAAAAAGCTCTTGAGGAATCCTCCTCCGTGGAGGATTAAATGTTTGGGGAGTTCGAGTGAGGAAAGAGAAGGAGGAGCCAGAGAGGTTGTGAAATCCATTGGGGGGCCGAGATTGATCCAAGATTTCTTAGGGCTATGGTCACACAAACGGATGGAAATGGGCTTAAGAGTTCTACAACACCCCCCCCCCTAACTAGCTATTTTCTTTCTTTTAGAGAAAAAAGAACCTCCCTAGACTTTTATGCCGTCAAGGGATCAGCCCAGTTCGTCCTCGATGTTGATGTGCCTACGTATCAAAACCATTGCTTTCCTAAACTGAAGAGGAATCAATTCACCACCACCTCCTCCTCCTCCTCCTCCACCATCACCACCACCACTACTATTACTACTGCCACTACTACTTCCACTGCTTCTGCTCCATCTGCCGCTACTGCTGCTGCTCTAATTTTCATCCGCCAGCATCGTCGCTGATTAGAATATGTCATGTCCACATCGTTTTGATTTATTGAAACCATCCAAGCGCCCTTGAGGCTCAACACGGTTATTCTCCCAGGTCTTGACTTTTGTTTCGCTCCAGGATCACAGAGCTCTCGACAAGTTCTCTTCCTCTGGGAGGGAAAACCCCTCCCCCCTCCCCCCGTGCGCAAGCGGCTTATCCTCTGGGTATCCCCTCCTCGTGCCTCCAACTGCGAGACCTCCGTTTGCTGCTGACACTGTCCAATCGAGCACGAGCACTGTGTCCTGAAAGAACCGACTGATACGTTGAGGGGGTCGGCTCGGCTATGGCAGGGGCAGGCAAGAAAGAGTAGCGATCGCGATGGTCTGATGCCGATATCTGCCGGTCCTGATCTAACTGTGCTTCCTGAAATACACCAAACACGTCGTAATACCGTCTCAAGACTCGAATGAATCGTCGGTGGAGCTCTAAATACCCTGTACTGCATTCCCTGAGCTCCCGGAGGGCCCTGCCACAAAGAAACCTGAACAGATCTTCGTCCAAAAGACCCATCTCCTGCGTGAATTCCAAAAGATCCATGTTGGTTTTGGACGGCGTCCCTGTGTGTGCGGTCGGGTAGCCAAGCCTAAAAGTTGAGTCTGCCAGGAGTTTGAGACCATCCAAGCGGCCGGCATTGAACCTTCCAGTATCTCGAGCTTTTGTATGTGCGGAAAGGAATTATGGCCTATGGGTCTCCATGCCCAAGAAACACGGGGGATTGATCTCTGGGAATATCTGCATTCGATTTCCCCGATTGTATTTCATTCTCTTCCCAGTCGCAGCTCGAATAGTCGAGGCAAATGTGGACGTAGACTCGATCGCACTCCTGGCATAGTAAGGTGCCGCTGGAGCAGACGAGGCTACAGAAGCGGCGGAGGAAGCTGGAGAATCAGCAGCAGAGGGGGGAGAGGAGGCTGAGCCATCTTTAAAACCAAGTGGCCGCAGACCACCAGCATCTTGGACATAGTCGTCTTCACCGTCGTCAAACTCTTCATAATTATTGTCATCGCAGTCCTCCGCCCTGAGCTCTTCGCCTTCACTGGTGTCTTCATCGCTACCATCATAGCCATCCATTTCCTGGCCACCAAAACAGGTGTCAGAGCGAGAGTATCTGTCGTTGATATCAGAGCAGGAGTAGCTATCATTGATGCCGGAGCTGTCTCCAATGCCGTTCCATGGCAATTCACTGTCGTCGCCAACGCGACCTCTTTTCCTTGGACTTGATGAATTGGATGACCGCCACGATGGCAGGGCTTCATACATCTGGGTGGACATTGACGACGCTGTCGTTGTGGACCCATATAAAACCTGCTGCTCATGAAAAAGAGTAGATTTCGCAACTGTGTTTTCCGAGGATAGAGATCCCTGACAATGCGCAAAAGTATCGGTAAAGGCCTCAGGAGGGAGATATGACGATTTCGACGCACGATCATTGGAGCATAGACCTTGCGTTTCCACGATCGCGCTCAGGAAACCAATGGGTGCCCCATGACAGTACTTGGAAAACCCCAGAGAAGACCGAGGAGGCCCACCAGTGCCTGTCTTGGTCGTCCTGGACGCGGATATCGTTTGAGTGTTCATATAATCATTGGAGTAAACAGCTTTGCCAGTATTAAATATTTTCTGATGAAGGATGGCCAGGCCAGTGGGCCCTGCAGCGCAGGGTGCGAGATCCTCAGTAGCGACAATTCCGCCAGAGAAGCTGTCCTGAAGACTAGCACGCGGGACCGCGTTCTTTTTCTTCATGCGGACAGGGTTCCAGCACTCCAGGTGTTCGCAGCTCGATGAGCGAAGCGTAAGAGATGGGCTTCGATCGAAGTTGCCTGCGTGGATTCGAAGGCCAGCAGTCGACCCGGTCTCGGCGTCTGTTTGTGTGTGTGTGAGAGAGAGAGAGAGAGAGAGAGGAATCTTCTCCATGTTACTTTCACATCGAAAACAGATAGCTCGCCACACACGTTAGCCTATAAAGAGTCCCTGCACTGCTTGCCTTTTCGAAGTCGAGTAGTAGCGGTCTCCCATGGTCTACACTTTTGGCGCTTTATGGGCGGGACAGAGCCCTCCATAGGGGCCTCGCGCACGACGATGTCTGACTCCCAAAGATCAAGCGAATCCATCAGGTCGACCGGTTCATAGTTTTCATCCTCTCGGTCAATAAAGTCCCCACTGTCCAGGGAGTGTTTGAACATGATGTTGTCGTAGCCCGATTCGTTCGGTCGAGGAGCTGTGTCGTTCTGTAAAGAGATCGATATTGGAATAGGATCATGGAGATGGGACTCAATGGGCATCGTTAAACGGCGGAGCATGATCGCCAGGCACAATCTCCAGGCAGGCAGAGAATAGCACTGTGGCAGAGAAAAATAGAGGAACGGTAGTATTGAATCCAACGAGTGATCTAATAAGAATAATGGCGATGAATGATAACTAGAATGATAGCGATGAACGGGCGGATGCGACAGAATTCCCATCCAAAGAGAGGAAAGCCAAAAAAAAAAAAAAAAAAAAAAAAAAAAAGAAGGTAGCGTAGCAGTGAGGTGAGAAAGCAGCAGCAGCAGCAGTGGTAGCATATCTAACCACGGCTTCTTTTTGTTCAAGGAAATTATTTGCGGTGTGGCAAAAAGAAAAAAAAAAAAGACCCATGATAAACCATCGTGCCAGCTATGAAGCAAAGATCCACATTCGGGGCATGCTTGGGGCAGATGGGGCGAATCCGTGCCCATTGGAGGGGAACTGTGGTACCTCAGATTCATTTATTTTTACACGCCCAAACAGTATAGATCCTATTTCTACCTGGTTACTCCTCATGATGCCAGCCAGAACAATACGCATCCCCCCTTCCACGTAACGGTAAGCATACCTTGCCTGTATCTGGTATATCTGCAGCGGTTGAGGATAGCGAACTAAACAATTTCAAGGCAGAGAGAGAAAGGGTGGGCCGTAGATCCAGCGCGAGGTAATCGGCGCAGACTATTCGTTCAATTTGTTTGTGCCATGCTATCCGTGGCACGAACATGACCAGGCTTATGGGCGGTACCAGAGGAAGCAGTAAGGTGGTTAATGACATGGATTGATGTCCGTAAGAGGTGGTTGTGATGATTGGCTGTGGGAAACGGTGGCAACGAGAAAGAAAAAGGACAACGTTGTTTTATTGGGATAGACAGACTAGACTCACATCCATAGCTACAGCACCAGCGGAGCAGGAAGCCTGGAAGCGCGACTCAAAATGGTACATGGAATCCGCAGAACCAATAACTATGAAGCCTACTCATCGCAGAGTCCCTCCCTCCTACTCCTCACCAGCAATACACTCATTCCACACAACGCCTATCCCGAGCTGAGCGACCCTTGTGTCCGAGCAACCAAGTCAGCTTCCCTGCCTTGGTTGGGCGAAGCCAAGGTATGTCAACCCCTCAGAGCCCTACTTCTGACAATGTAAAATCCACATATACCACTAATACACCGTTAGGGGCGGGGGGGGGGGGGGGGGGGGATCCCAGGCAGATTTTTACTAATTGTCTACCGGTCCTCTGGCTGCAAAGGTCGCTGCAACGGTTGGGCACTATCCCATCGTCCGTTTATCGTCGATTTTCGGCCAAGAACTACGGTAACTGAGAATTCTCATATGCTTGCTACCCCTCTCCTTATTAAGAGTAACGATATAACAGCAAAATATGCTGAGATTGGGTGAGAACCAATTTCAATCAAATACCAGCAAAAGTAGCGGCACCTTTTTTTTAATACCATGTACCATTGCACCATGTGAAGCTGATGCGTGAGCGACCATGCTCCGTTGTCTCATTGTGACATTAGCACGCGTACTCACCCTGAGTACCGTCTCCTCTTCACCTCTTCATTCTCCTTATCCTTTGTGGTCGTCCAAGTGGTAACTCAAGTTTCGCTTCCAATTTATTAACTTATACAAGCTTTTTTCCCTTCTCATTTTCTCCGTCCTATGCTTGCATGTCTGCATTACATTTATGTTTTCACACTGCGATGAGGCAATGCTCAGTGACATGCTCATTTAATGAGAGGATATTATATCAGGATATCCTGTCGAATTGACAAGAAGCTACCAATAGTCAGTATATCATAGCATATCAACAAAAACAAATACTTTATTCAATATCCTTGCCATCCTTATCCTTCAAAATACCTATGAACTGCTTGATACTCTTTCCTGACTGGGCATGCTCATCACTCAGATGCTGGATGGCTTGCTCGCGGAGGATACACTGCGAGGCTATCATTCGATCAATCTCGTTCCTGATGACCTTGCGCTCGTTGATATACCGCTCTTCGGAACGGTATGCCAATTTGAGTCTTCACATCGAACCCAAGAAGTCGATCATGCTTCTTGGCCTCTTCGTATCGTTGGTACTCATTCAACACCTTCCGTACTGTTGCCGCATTTCGATCAAACTCGAACCGCTTCTGCCGTCCTGATGCCGCTCTTGGCTCGGACTCCGAGGTGCAGAGAATACTTGTCAGTGGCGGTGGGATTGTTGAAGTTGCTTGTGAGATCGCTGGTGCTGCTGGAGAAGCTGCTGGCGAGGACGCAAGGGTATCGCTGCTGTTGTTGAACATTTTCAACATGGACTGTAAGGAGGCAATGACTGAATTGTCGATGCCAGTCGCTGCAGGCGCCAATGGCTGCAAAACCACGACAATCAACTGCTGCAGCAAGCGCGCCTGCCGGGCTGTCTGCTCCTTAGAAGCCTGCGCTACAGTTAGCCTCGTCTGCAGAAGCTCTTGTTGCACGGCAAGGAAGTTCTGCTGGATCTGCTGGATCTGCTGCTCCTGCTGTTGCTGCTGTAGACGCTGGTGCTGCTGTAATGTCGTAAAATTGTTGATACTGTCGATCCTTACATTTTCTATAGCCTGCACAAGGGCGGGCACATCTCCATCATGAACCGTCAGTGGTGATCCCTGGTCTTCTTTCATGGTACTGAGTAGATCATCGCTGTACTTTTTGAATTGTGCGCCTTCGAAGATGTCGTGGTGTAGGATGTGGTTCGTGGCGCCATCTCTGAGGAATAAAACGGCGTCCTGAAGAATAGCTCGACGGAACCAGAGCAAAAGACAAAGGAAGCCTTCCTTGGCGATATTAAAATATGAATGCACCTTCGCTTTGAATCTCTGGGGCTTTTTCTTCTTCTTCTTACCCAGTTCTGGCTCCTCCATCTTCGCCGTGCGATATATCTCGTCAATAATCGACTGGGAACTCTCCGGCAAATCCAGCATGATCCTGTCGCATTTTTTTCTCCAAGCGGCCCGATCCTCTTCTGCACACTGGCCTTCTACCCAAGGGAACACGAGACGCTGAAGTTCCAGCGGAGGGGTTAAGCAGTCCCGTGCGAGATGGTATCGCGCATTGTGAAAACCGGCTATAGCAAAAACTCTCAGAATCTCGAGACCTGAAAGGTAATACTGCATCTTGCTATGAGCCCAATGTCCCATTCGCGCAAGGTGGTTGACAGGCAAGCCCATAAATTGCAATTCCTGTGCTCCACAATGTCGACCGGCGTGAGTGGCTCGACCCGATAGGACCTCACACAAGTCAAACGCTGCCTTCACTGACCTCCACTGCGTCGCGTAGTCGACTTCTGTTAGTCGATCCCCTGCTACTACGAGTTTGATTTTGGGCCACTCATCGAGCTTTTGAAAATCGGGAAGGGGCTCGCCACGCATCTAGATACAATAGATACAATGAAATTTCTTCTCGATAAGCAATATTCATTTGCCACCCTCTTCCTCCCTTGTAGTTTCTTCGATCTGTTTCTTCAACCCAAAGCTTACATGAAAACGTTCGAATAGGTAAAACGTGGTTGCACCAACGCCGCAGCGCAGGTAATTTCTGTGACGCAAGACCATTGCAAACTCCGTCTGCATATCAGGCTGTGACTTGCCTCCACGAAGACAGAACGCTAGGCCATGCACCTTGCATGCGGTGCTGTTGACTGTGATGTTGAGGGTTTCACGGAAGCAGTCGGCTAGGTCCATGCGTCGGAGACTCTCGTCTCGAAAAAAGGCTTGGTGTCGAAGGTTGATGCACATCCGATCTCGAATAAGGGACACGCGCAAGTTCCAAGGCTTCCATCCTTTCCAGAGTACAGCCATCATTTTAAGAAAGTCGTCGATCGTGTATCCATCACGCAATGCGCAGTATACACCGCGGTCGGGTCAAGGTGTCACTTTGTCCTCGACGAGCTTCCGATAATACGCATCTCTGGCATTCGTGACTTCCTTGCAGCCACACGGTTTTGAATGCGGGTTCCTTCCAGCCTTCCGTTGATTGTCCTACTCGTGGACCAATGCCTTCAAGGCTGCCTCAACTGTTTCCTTGCCAACAGGCACGCGGATTCGGTACGGACTAGGCACGCTATACTCGTCAAACATATCATCTGACGCAGCGTGAGAGTCCACCTCAGACTCGTTTTCAGTAGTGTCGTCGGTCGCGTTGTCAGGCTCCTTATCCATCTCTAGTGGCGCCATTATAAGGAGTTAATGCAATGTGACAATGTAGTCAGTAATGACTATCTTTAAATGCCACTCTCCAATGTCCCTCTGGGCTTTTTTCATTTGACACGAATACCTGAGAAAAATTCGACTCTCGCTGCATTTGCTTCCACCGCTGCCTCCACGGGGTTTACCGCAGGATCATGCATTGTTGCACCGATGACACCACTATAGCCTTTCTCGAGGTCGACAAGAACAATCTTCGTACGCGTGAAAATCCGTTCCTCGAGGAAGCGCACAGTCTTCTTCGGCTCAACAATGTAATCGTTCTCAAAGAGCTCGTCGCAAAATTGCTACAAAAACAAAGTGAGTTAGTGGAATGCCGCTGTGGTGTAGTGGCTCTATATCAGGTAAAAGTACTAGCTGTGAATATGTTGCTCAATAAAAGTCTCTTCTGCTTTACGAAGTCTCTACATAATAATTATCTTACGGTATATGGATAAAGCTCCAGATGTGGGGGCACTGGTAAGAGATCTTTCAACGATGAGGATAATAAAGACAGCAAAACTATTTACGAGAATAAGAAAGGCGACAACACACTCGGGTTAGGGATCTGCAAGGTCAAAGGGACTCTGTCTTGACTCCTGTGTCCAGACGTCGGCATCGAGGGGTACTGTTCTTGATCCTCCGCTCTTGTTCGTTATGAGACCATGATCATTACCTGTCGTGGGGGCAGGCAGGTAATGTGAGCGGACTCGCAGGAACACTTGGGGGGGCACTAGAGGTGCAGCAGTTCAGACGCACGGGTCCCGTCTCTACTCTTGCTGGGCGATATGCTATGAAGGCCAGCTGTGGCAGAGTATACCGATCGAAGGGTACAGTGTGTTGGGACAGGGATGCGTGGAGCGACTTGGAGTGTCGTGCGGGGGCAAGTGTTGAGCAAAGTATAGTGAGGAAACAGACCAGGAACCATTTGGTCCTGTCGTTCTGTGATATTTATTGACCAAAGAAAATCTCTATAAATGCAAACCCTATTGACTCTTGTCTAATTGCATGTCCTTCTACTTGCACATCCTGTAACTGCACGTGCAGCACGTGCCTGGTATGATCGTATGAGTGTCCTGTACATATTCCTCCCATCGTGTCATATCAGGTGTTGTGTCCGTCCCTTGTACCTGGATACCCCGTCTATACTCCGTGTGGGTTTACCACACCACACCGCCTTGAGAAGCTCGCGCTTGAATCAAGCGGTAACATTTCTTACCCCCCAGTCCACGATGTGGTGCGCATATTGTCTCATTGTCCTCGTTCGAATTTTCTCTCTGTTCGCTTTCATTTGTTCAACCTTGCCCACAATCTTAAGAGTCCTCTCCGATGGCTGATTTCCTATAACGGTTTCGCGCTGCTGGCTACCGGAAGATTCGCCGAGTTCCTCCCCGCCAATTTCTCCACCGTCATTAACACCAGTGTTGACATAGGTAGGATTTGGCTGTGCTCGACTACTCAGTGGTGGTCGTCAGGCGTATTCTCTCCTGCCATCCTGCCATTTTCTTCTCTTGATGAGCTGCTGCGCGCCAGTTTCGCCCGGACCTCCTGACCGTTGTGGTGCCTTTGCATTGTGTCTCCTCTTGCAAGACTGCAGCCTCCCCGGGACACTCGGCTGCTGAGACATTCGCAAAGATGAAGTTACTGCTACACTCTGGTAGCACAAGAAAGCGCGCCGCACCTAAGTTAAATTCAGTTCAAAGAAGAAAACAAGGACAAAGAAGTCGTATTACCTCTGATATCAACTGTTGTTGCTGCTGCCGCTGTTCTGGCTGTGGCTCTGCAGGTTGTGCTGGTTGTGGCTCCGATAATTGCTGCTGTTAAGGCGTACGTTCTGGAATTGTTGGTTGACTCTGGGAGGATATAGAAAAACGGGCGGGTTCGATGTTGCAAAGAATAATGATGACTCGCACGTATTGCAAACGTTTACCAAGGTCGGAAGCATGAGCTCTTTCTGTTGCTTGGGCGCGTTCTAATGGCACCAACACGAAAAAAAAGGAGAGGAGCTAGATTTATATACTACACGCACGCGCTGCTCATGCTTTCAACCAGACGATCTCATTGCGCCGACGTGCCTGTTGGTCCTTATTCTGTTTTCCTCGAGCCATAATGAATTAATGTTTGCGCTTGTATTTGTGTTTATGTTTCTATGGAGAATCGTTGAATGGGCTGGTAACGTGTAAATGTGTAAACTGCAAGCGTGAATGGGTAAACGAGTAAATGGAGCATGAATAATCCACCATTGTTCATCAGGACCTGGCGATAAACCTTTCCATTACTACTGATCCAATCAAGCTGTTTTATGTACTGTAATACTGTACTTCAAAGTCTGGTGGATTGGTGAATTGATTCTTAAATGGCGTTGACACGGAGATATGTGTATGAATAGGTGAGCTGAATGTGCAGGGGCAAACCCATTAACAGGGAAGGGAGCGTTTTTATTTCTCACGTTCACCTGTGACTAGGAAGCATGCGCCTGACTATGCTCCAGTGGGGTAGCGTGCGGCAGATTAAGCTATTGCACAGAATAGCTTGCTCGAAATCTTGATTTTTGAGATTTTGATACAGTGCACAACAGGCCACTGATCTTGGCCTTGGAAAAGAACTTGACGGCTTTTGCGGTATGAACCTTGGTATTGTCATGCTGAAAAATGAATGTCGTCGGATCCATGTCATACCAATCCCCGGATTAGAGAACATAGGAATCAGTGTTTCTCAAAAATATTCGACTTTTATTCGACTCGTGCTAGGCCAATGTAACTGTCGAATCGAATTTCGAATTTCATTCGAATTTTACATTGGCCTAGCACGAGTCGAATAAAAGTCGAATATTTTTGAGAAACACTGATAGGAATTGAGGACATCCGCGTACGCCTCAGCGGTGATCCTGTCCCCAACAGGCATCCCCTACGCCGTAATAGGGGATACAACCTCAGATCATCATTTTGCCGCCGCCACCTTGCTTGGTTTTCTTGATTTGAAACACCCTGGTCGTCTTGTCCTCGGGCTTTTTGTAGTAAAACTCCCTTCCGAATGACCCCATCCTGCTAATTATGCTTTCGTCCGATCACGCCATTGCTCAGCAGTCCAATGTAAATGGACGCGAGCGACTTTGTGCCGATTCTTGATTTGATCGTCCGTCAAAACAGACTTCCTAGGCTTGACGTACCCTTTCAAATTTTGCTATCTAAGAATCTAAGATAGTTCCGGATGGTCTGCACATGGACGTGAACACCTTGTGTCGAAAGAACAAGTTCCTGACCATCATGTAGAGTTAAAAGTTTTCCGCTGGACATTTTCCGGGCTTAAAGAATCTTAGTGGCCTTGGAAACCTTTGGAAGCCTGTCTCTTTTCTTGATGGGAATATAGTACTCGTATGGTCCTTTAAACTTGGATACCATTCCGATCGATATACGGAGGGTTTGGGAGTTCTCATGAACGGTTTTTCCTTGTTTGAGGAGGACAAGAGCTTTTCGCCTTGGTTGATTCCGGCAGGGACTTCATGTTAAGGCGCGAAGTTGTTGAGAGTGAATATGAAGGGGGATGCAGTGTTGGAGTTGTTATATGCAAAAAAAAAAAGTTCACATGGACCTGAGACATTAGATCTTTCTCGAAACTCGCATAGTGGTGGACGCCACTGAGGTTCCGGAGCATTCGAATGTACGAGCGCAAAGTCATGAAGGAAAAAGAACTTTTTGTTGAGCACTGTAAATAAAGTCTGCTCCTCTCGACGCATCGATTCCCATGGGAATCGTTCAGAATGGCGAATGGTGGATGAGAAAGGGGGAGATTGGCATTAGGCATTCATCGAGTTAAAAAAACCTCGCCTCATTAAACATCTCTGCAAAATAAATTCTCACACACTGACGCAAGAATCGAAAAAATTTCATGGATATGGAATACGAAAAAAAAATGCGTTCAAAATTTTCTCAGAACCTGGCCAAAACCTCCCTCAGAACCTCGCACTGACCCTCAACTTTGAACGCATTTTCTTTCCTCTGACCAGAGAAGCGCATTCATCGTACCAAATGAACAACCACTCATATTTTTTCTTTTCTTTCACTAAGGTGTACTTCTTCAGCAACAGGACTCGTTCGTCACTTCAAACTCTACTCGCCATATGAAAACTAATCGCTACAACGACATCAGCATGATACCACGAAGGATTTCTAAAGTAAGCAACCGGACATCAGCACTCCCTGGACAATTTCCTCTGACAAGGATCGCCTTCACAAACCTGCACGACCCCAAGGAGCGTAGATGATAATTTCAACAAACACTAACACATTAGTCTCCATTCTGGAACAAGTAACCTGTAAGACTGGACGGGATGTCTCTATTCTTTGGGTACTCTCTTGAACATCTGCTTTTATGTACGCTTCCCCAACGCTTTGTTTCCTTTATTTCTATTCTTTTTTCTTTGTTTTACTACATAGATGAGAGGATCTCCATAAACAAAAAAGAAAAAAGAAAAAAAAGAAAAAAAGTACAAGGAAGCGACAAAATGGAGAAAGGAAAAGTTAAGAAAAAGAAGTATCTTTTTAGACCGCCAGCACGATGCCTGGGTGATTGAAAAGATAATGTAAAGATATATGAAGAATGAAAGAAAAAAAAAAAGTTGCTTACTACGGGAAGAAGCAAGCAACTGAGGGAAAAAAAAAAAGATTGAAAGAGAAACGAAAGAAGGAAAAATAAAAAAAAAAGGTTGAATTGGCGAAACTGTGATCCTGCTTGCGATTGACCACGATCGTCGATACGTCTGAATGTCAAATTGTTTGTGCGGTTGTTGAGTAGCTCCTTTGAATGATATGGGTTCCGTAGGTGATACGTGCGCTTGCTGCATATGAAAAAAAGGTTGGTCAAAGCGCTTGTGTACACTTGTGGCCTAGTGATTTGTTGTTACCGGTATTGCTGCTGTTTTTTGTTGTTGTTGTGATTGGTGTTGTTGCTTTTGTTGGTATTGCTGTGCCATTGACGAATCAAATGAAAACGAACGATATATCTGTGGATCCTGCTCCAATGTGTTGTGTTTTCTCTTTGGAACCACCTTGCGGTTACTTCCATGAGTAACTCCCGTACGATTTGTTGTCGATTACTGTTCCTCCTGTGCAGCTGGTACTCCCGACTTTTTTATCCCCTCTTCGATCCTGCTTCCTCCCGATGTTGTGAATTTGGCGCCAAAAATGTGTGTTCCTGAAGCAAGAAAAAAACCTGAAGGACAAAACCAACCAAAAAAGGTCCTCACTCAATGTCTTCAGCTCCTACGACAACCTCCACCTCCGCCTTCGGCTTCGACTTTGACTTTGACCTGAAAACCACCCTGTTACCGACATCTGTCCATCCCTTGTGCTTCATCGACAACAAAGATCTCTGGCACACCTCGCTAAATAAACAAAATACAGTAGCGGAGACGCGGTAATAGTAGAAATGGTGGAATGGACAAAACAACTTTGACGTCAAAAAAAAGCAAGTTGAAATATACAAGAAGGAAAGGGAAATAAACAGAAGAGAAAAAGAGAGCAAGAGAAATGGTAGGGATCATATTGTACACCGGAGGAAGAACTATTAAAACAACACAAAGCAATCAAAAGCAAAAAAAAAAAAGAAAAAAAAAGAGATATACAAGAACAAAACTTTGCAGAGGCGGTAAAAAGATTGGCATGCGGAGTGAAGACAATACTGCTTCAAGGGCGAACAGAAGGAAATAAAGAAAAGAAACAAAAAGGAAAGAGAAAGAGAAGAAGAGAAAGCGCGTTGTCCAAATGAGAAAACAACAAGAAACGACAACCGAGGGGTATTGTAATCAAAAAGAAAAAAAAACCATTCGTTCCAGTGTTCGGTGCAACACCACCACAACACCCCATCCCGAAAAAACAAGACGCGCCCTTACTGACTTTGGATCTTCAATAAGTTCCTCAGATTCTGGCTAATCTCCAACAACTGCGGATCAGCCACCGGCGCCCCATACATCGACATCGATATTGGCATCGTCATTGGCGTATCCATCGTAAAACTCGATGTCACCATCCGCTCCGGCACACGGTGATTCATCCCCACGCTCGGATACAGCGAGCTTGTCGTCCATCCAGGCATAGAGTGATGCGCATGTGCATGAGTCATCCATCCCGTTGTCTCTGACTGCGTTCGCTGCGGACGAAATGGAAGATTTCTGCTGTTGTTGAGCTGCGGCGATGCTCCTTCACCAAAGAACGGAGCTGCCGGCATCGTCGGCATCGTCTGCACCGCCATAGATTTCTCTTCGACAGGAACCGGGACTGGAGCTGGAGCCGATGGTCGTACAAATGCAGGGATGGGGAGACTGGTCGGCGCAGGGGAGTTGTGGAATGTAGGTCCTGCATACAGAGCAGCCGCTGCGGCTGCTGCTGCTGAGGCCGAAGCTGGAGAGATGGAGTTGGCAATCTTCTTTTCAGTCATTACACGGTCTGCCAACATAATTTTATCCGCCGACACCGCCTTGGACACGTTCGGTCGGAATTGAGAATCCGCCGTCATTTCTCCTTGGGGTTGAGTATTCTGCAGTTGGTGGTGATTCTGCTGTCGCTGCGGCATGGGAGCGCTATTCACATCCACCACCAACATCCGTTTTCAATACAACAGAGTAATAAAGAAAAAAGAAACAAAATAGTGGTTGTTTTTTTTGAGTTGTTGTTAGTCATGAACACTCACTCGCTTCTTCTTCTCCTTTCGCCATGGAGCCGGCTGCGGCGAACAATTTGAAAGCCAGTTATCATTCTCAAGACTACCCGTACCCTTTGCGTTGCTGCGGTAACGCCGGAGCAGAGCTTGGTCGTTGAGGAGGGCTTGCTGACAGGAGACCATGTACCTTCCCGCCTGCACGGCCGTTCTGTCGTCCATTGCCGACCTTATTCGCTCCCTTAATTGGTCGTGGACGCGGGCTCGGGCTCGAACTCGGGCTCGACTGCAGGATCGCAAATGATTCAGAATCATCAGAGTCCGTCGACGACGAGGGGGGGCTCGAAGGGTTCAATGGAGGACTCTGCTCCAGCGACAGATTCGTCCCCGAGGAGGACGAAGATGCATCTGAATCCATTTTCGTAGCTTCAGCGGCAGGGACAGCAGTATCTTTGTCCTTGCGGCGCTGCTGGTTACGTTTGCTCCTCGAGTTATTGCCGTGGCCGTTCTGCTGTTGCTGTCCCTGAGCTTGAAGATTTTTCGCAGCATTGGGCTTTGGCTTCATGTGCCGTTCGTTGCTGTTGGTGTTGCTCTGCTGGTTCTGGTTCTTCAAGATTTGGATGGCTGAAACAGTCGAGGAGGATGCAGGGGCGACAGCGACTACGGAGACGGACACACGCTTCGATAATGTTGCATTGCTAGAGCCCTTGACGGCATTGCCAGTGAGGGAGGGAGAGCCCGGCGTTGGACGGGGTTGAGAAGGCATGGATTGATGACGAGCGTGGGTCTGCGCAGGGTTTCGGTGTTGGCGCGCACCGTTGGTGTTCATGTTATTGTTCTGGTTCTGGAGGGCCACAGCGATGCCGCTCTTCTTGGGTTGTTGGCGAGGCATGCGAGGCGTGGTAGGAGCGGGTGAGGTCGAGGCTGTTGGCATGGCTATAGATGCGGACTGAAGCATGGCTGTGTATTGTCTGAAAGGGCAAAGGGGGACGATGGGGGGGGGGGGGGGGGGAAGAGAAAGAGGAGAAAGAAGAAAGAGCCAGGAGTTGAAGAGAAAACGAATAGTACAGAAAGATGAGCCGAGAGGATCAATTGCTCTGTCGATAAATCGGAACCGGGCTGGCTTTTCTTCCTTATTTTTCTGCCTTGTTTTTACAACTGAGCAAGCAGGTAAGCACACAAGCAACCACGTAAGCAACCAGGGAAACAAGCTGCTGACCCAAGAATATACACAGAGCAGCTCTCGGTGGTCCCCAGTGGATATTCCCCCCTCCTCCGATGTATGAAAAGCGTATCCATGCTGCTGACCATGACTGCAGAAACAGCATATCTGACTAAAAAGATATATTCAAAAGGCGAGGTGCGGTGTGCCCTCAACTTCAACCGAACATAAAAGACCACTGCCTAAGCATGAATGGGAATGTAGTATGACAAATAACAACGACCATAGCTACAGCAGTACAAAAAAGACGTGCCAGCATGATCAACAAACACCTCCCGGTCCTCGCCCTCCCAAAAGCGGTTCGGTTGCTGCAAGATCACCAACCCTTCAATGATAATGCCCCTTATGGATAAGTCCTTTGAATGCAAAGTGCGCCGGTCCCAAGGGGGTGGGACACAGTGGCAGTTGGATGGTCGAGCAATTTTACCTTGTGGTAGTTCCACTTGGAGGTGTGTCTGATGGCAGTCGATACAAGTACTTTCAGTGCTGCTGCTGTCGATATCGCTGATAGGGATGCAGCTGCAATCGCAATTGAGGATTAGTGGTATCGTTGAGAGTGAAAGGAAGCGTGATAGTGAAAGTGAGGGTGAGGAAGAGGCAGCCCAATAGTGCATCAAAGCAAAATAAAAACGAAAAAAAGCGTGTTATGTGCGAGGTGTTGGTGTAGAATACGAAGCACTCCTGAATATTTTCTGCTCTGGTCACAGGTTCAAGGCTGAGAAAACGGATGGTAGCAATTGTTTTTTATGCCCTGTGGTCCTATTGTTCGTTTCCAAAAAAAAAAAAAGGAGTAACGGACGGAAGAAAGAGATGGGGGCCGAAAGGAAGGAGGGATGGAGGAGTGAGAAGTGAAGGTGGGTGAAGTAAAGGTGTGAAAAAACGAAAAAATTGAGCCGGAGTGACAGTAAAACATGCGATGAGTCCTACTTTTACATCACAACCACGTATGCAGACACTCACGTACAAATTCATGGATAGAAAGAGACAGAATAAAGCGCTGTGCAACAATGGGCAGGTAGTCTTGCAGCCTTTCTTTTCCTTTGCGACATCGACCCATGGAACCTCGCTCAGACATGCAGCAGCTCAAGGAGGATAACGCCAGTGGGAGTATTGTCCCACAAGAGCACAATGGCACTCCCTCATGCTCTGATTCTGATTCGAATGAGGCTGGACACTCAAATACCAAGATGCTGGAGGCGGAACTGAAGACAAACCTCAGGATGATTTATACCTTGGTTGGAGAGAGAGTCGATATGCAGAACAGTAAGGCATACTCAATAAACTTGGATACAGGTCATAGAGAGAAGCTCATGGACAATCCAACGTTGACCGTTCGCATCTACTCTACTATGATGATCCATAGTCGATCAGGTTCTTCAACAGCGATTGGGGACTTTGGCTACTCTGCGTGGAGATGAATCGAGTGGATCGGCCGACAGCAAAGACGGCACAAGCCAGCATGAGTCGGAAACTGCTATAGATAAAGATAGCAAGGATGTCGAACAGGATGAACTCGAGAACATGGACAACGCAAACATTCGCGCAGAATTCGTAACCCAGTCTGTGAAACTGCTCGTCAAACTCGAGGAGATCTTACTGGCTTCCATTAAGGACCGAGGTAATGTACAAGGATAATTTTATTTGCTTTGAAAAAGGAACAATCAGGGTGTGGATTAACGATGAAAATGGATCGATTAATTCACCATTAGAGCTCTACGATCCAACGAATGACAAGGAACTGCTGGGGCTTATGGACCAGCGGATGATCCATACCATGCTCGAGATCATCGTCTGCTGGGGTATTTACCCTTGTCTACTACCAGGCGTCGGTATGCCACTTAGCCGTCGCGTTCGGTCGAACATTGTCCAGAAGGAACTTTTCGCCCCAGGACCAGGATCAGCGCCCAGCGGCAGTATCAGCACTGCAATAAAGGATACCGTAGTGGATCAGATCAAACAGACAAACCTCCTATGGAGTATCATCGGACCCTTGGGAAGGATCACAGTCGCCTACACACCAAAATTAACGAGATTCACCACCTTGGGGAGTATTCTGACGAGTCGACATGTCCCCGATCTGTACGCGGCTTTACTGCAGTTAGCATACCGTCCGCTTTCGAAACCTAAGGAGGCTTCCACCAGCGCTCAACAAGCTGAAGGGCCAAACCAAGGGACATCGTCATCAAACAAACCCAGAAAGACTACACCAGGCAGTTTGTTGTCTAATAAATCAAGGCCTTCCCCAGGAGATTTGGCCACAACCCCTCTGAAGGAAACGACTCTTCAGCAACGCACGCTCGCCGAAGCAAGCGATGCCCCCGACAGATCGCTTCAACTGCAGCAAAAGGAGGAGAGCGCCAAGTTGTTTCACAATCTCTTTTGGAATACTGAAGCAGCAAAGTCTTTGGAATCTCTTACCACCCTATTGTCATCATCCTCACCCATGCATCCGACACCCGCATGGCTTAAGAGCGTTAGCGGACGATTCCTTTCGCAGATTCTTCTTCGACCCGGAGGCGTTCGAGTCGTACTCGAGTACATGCAGGGAGGCGCTGACACCGTGAAGCTGGGCCAGCTGGAGAGGGTTGCGCGGCTTGTTACTTCTGTACCGGATCAGATGTCTTCGGTTCAGGATTATTATCGCACCATCTGCCCTGAGCTGCTCGAGATTTTGGAGATGGACTTGAAACTCGTGGACCCGGATCAGGACAAGACAAAGATGACAGAGCAGCAAAGCAGGATCACACCTCCAAGTCCTCAACTTGTGCAAACAACGACCTTTGTGCTGAGCAAGCTATTGGCAAAAAGCCCAGCCATCTGTCAGGTTGAGATCGTAGCCAAGGAGGTTGGGCCGTTATGGAAGTGGGGGACTAAGGCGAATAGAAAGGCGCCTGTGGCTAAAGACACCATACCTAGGAATGGCGGTAGCCTCAAACAGCCTTCTGTAGTCGATACGACAGGCGAAGACATGGACGACGTGGCATCAGGGCTCGATCCGCTTGTAGCATCGGAGTACGAGGTGACCAAGGCCGTCATGTTCTTGCACTCCTTCCTTGTTGGAAACGAACCCTCGCCTTTACTCTTCCAGGCATTTTTGGGTCAGGCTGCGCAAGGACTGTACCAACTATACGAATTCTCGGCCCAGGTGCGCTCCGTACTTCGCGAGAAGGCTAAGGAGATCCTAGTCGTCTACTTCAGGATCCTGGACTCTGCAGATACAGTTGAAATACTCAAGGCGATTGTAATGCGGCGGCGTGTGCCAGTTCCAAATTCTAAACCATGGCAGGATCTGGTAACACACGAAGGACGGAGGATTCCAGATCTGATCGAGATGGGTGCCGTCGGCGAGAGTTATTATGCTCCTGGACCCACTGGAGGTGCCGTCTTGCGTCGGCGAAGGTAGGCAGTGTTTGTTATTTGACATTCATGAAGGTGCATTGCTTCTTGAGGAGCGATATTGATTGTTTAATTTTACAGCGTTCAGGATCGTAACGCGGCTACGCAGCTCGAGCTGGATGTGGATATGTTTATGGACTTTTTGGGCGAACTCGATACTACGGGCCGTGATGGCGAGATCCTCGGAGACCTCTATATGTACTTGCTGGACGAGTACCAGGCAGGAAAAGCCCGTGGTGGAAATGCAGTGCTGCCAAGAAGGTACGAACGTTGAACGCAAGGACGTATATGAGGTGTGCACGCACTGCATCGAGTGTTTCCTAACTATTGCTGCGGCATACGACGTATAGGATGTTGACAATGCTCCAGCTAATCCTAAGCATGACCCAAAAGCTGGGGCCAAGCATCATGACCAAGGTCACACAAATTATCGGTCTCGCAAATAATATTCTGGAGCACCAGGTCGTGATTGAGGGGACCGACGGGTCCGAAGCAGTCGCAGACGAGGACCCAGAGGAAGCAGATATGGAGATCCTAGGCCTTGTCCTTACTCTGCTTTCGGCGATTCTGACAGGTAAGCTCCATTCTGTCTTTGACGACTGGATGTTACGCCGGGAAATACAATATGTTTTAACAAGTTCATCTTCTAACTTTTTTTGCCCTTCCTCATCAGAAAACGAGCATTTGTCGCAGCAGGATCGCCATCTTTTGTCGCTCACGCTGATCCACCTCAAGCAACTCGTTAACCACCCACTGATCGAGATTCGGCGAGTCGCTCACGATCTTCAGACACTGATACCCACCCGTCTCAGCGACTCTTCCTCCACTAACGCCAATGCCCCGCAAAAGACCGAGATGGAGGTGGAGATGGAAAAATATGCCTCTGCATTGGCAGCCCTCCAAGACAGCTTGCTCCCCGTTCGTGCCCATGGACTCCATATCTTGCGGGAGATGATCCTTTCAAAGTCAATTGTGCTGACTCGATCCAGTGGCGGCGCTGGAGCCGAGAGAGAACTGGATCATGCGTTAGATATCTTTGTACAGCATGTGCAGGAACCTGATTCGTTCATCTATCTGAATGCTGTCAAGGGACTCGCAGCGCTGACGGACGCACATGGGCCGGAGATCTTGCGGAAGCTGATGAGAATCTATGCGAATGAGGACGGCAGGCAGACATTGGATACGCGACTCAGGATCGGAGAAGCTCTTGTGCAGACTGTGCAGCGATGTGGTGAGGCTTTAGGTGGCTACTTGGACGCGCTGTTGCCGGGACTTTACAAGGTCATGAACACGGCAGTCGATAAGAAGATTATGGAAGCGAGGGAAGAGGAGAGGAAGGACTTGATTGAGAAGGTGAAATTAGAAAGGGCTTCGGAGGCGCTGTTGACACCGGAGGAGAGGCAGCGCAAGTGGAGAGCGGAACGAGAACGCAGGAAAGCGAGCAATCAAGGAGTCGGTCAAGAGAATAAGGAGGAAGAAGAGGGTGAGGATCAGATTGTGGACGAGGTATCATTATTGCGGTCGAGTGCGCTGACGATTCTGGCGACTGCAGCTGAGAACTGTCCGACGGGGTTGTTGCCCGAGATGCGGTACCTCGTGGACTGGGTACTGTCGATTCTAGACCTCGACCGGCAGACGGAGGTGCGTAGAGCCGCAACATTAGTGATGGTGTTGCTGTTCAGAGCGCTCGGAGGGAACTCACTGTACAAGATCGAGGGTGATCAATTGAAGAGGGTATATCGGACACTGCGATATGTGGAGCAGGTAGATGAGGATCCGCTGTGTCGGGCACAGGCGCGTGCTGGGATTGCAGACCTGGATGCGATTGTGAGGATGGAGATGAGTGCCGAGGGAAACCATGGTAGATCGCGAGGAGTGGGAGTCGGATCGTTGGCAGGAATTGGTACCACGGAAGTCCGCTACAAGTAGATTCCATAGCCGGACTGCCTCGTTGTATCCTACATATTGTTTATGGGCCGACTCTGTCGCACATCCATAGCTATTACTGCCTGCGAGCCTGGAAGTCCTAGCCGATTCTAATCGGGCTCCTTCGAAAATCCAGGCCGCCTCAGTTTTTATGAAGCGTTGCGAGAAAGGAGGTCGAGGATTATCGTCATGGCTAGTGATAATTTAGAAACAGAACGAATCCACTTAAAAAAAGAAGAAAAAAGGGCGAACAGTAAGTTCTTCTTTCTTCATTCTCCAGACAACGCTTCATGTTGTTTCTATCTGTGAGCTTGAAGGACAGCCACAAAAGGTATTGATGTATGCGCGAGTCTGAGCTGCCGTTTACAAACTCTACTGTGCTTGATTGTAATGATTTTTTTTATATCTTCATGCTCGGTCGGCTCTTACCAGAGGTTATTCAACAACCAAGAGCAAACACTGGCGATAACAATGGTTTTTTTTTTTTTTACCATCATCATCATCCTCATTACCAACAGCGCCGCCTCCTGCAAAGGACAGACGCCGTGTTTACGAAGAAATGCCTGAGAATAACTACGATATGCCCGAGGCTAAGGACGACAGACATGCCGCTCATTCAAGACCTACTCGGCCATTTAATGCGCGCAAATCAAATCAAACGTCTACGAATATCGGAAACAATTGCTGGGGGATTGGCTAACCAAGATGTGCTTGGATGAGCAGCATCAGAAGCATCCGCTAGTGGTCGAGCTTCAAGCGTCATTCAGTAGCGCAAGGCTTGATCCATGGAGATCAAGACATCAAGGTATAGGAACCCCCCCCCCCTTCCCCTACTTTTTTTTTGGATCTAAGTTATTGCTAAGCGCTCAAGTCCAACTAGTTTGTCGAACGCCTTTTAGCAAAAAAAAAGTCCCTGATTATCCATCATCGGTACTTGTCTCTTTCAGTCCCATGTAGATATGTAGATATCATCGTGCTCATTATATTCAAATAGAGAGTCTTTCCTAGCTCCACATCACTATCATTGGAGCATTAGACCTAGCTGAACTGTGCCATGGCCTGCTTGAACCCTTTGATCCTGTTGCATTGCTCCTTCACGTTGTCTGCTTTTGGCGTGTTCCACTGCTGGGCCAGGACAAAGTCCCGCGAGTACCGTAAGCAGGCCTCCTCCTGGAAGTTCTGGTACAGCTTGCGGTTGTACTTGCGCTCCTGTTTCCTGGTCTCTTCCTTGTATGGGTGCGACTGGTGGATCAAAAAGTCGTGAGGGAGCACGTAGTAGTCGATCCCGGAAATGTAAATCTCGAACAGGCAGGCCTAGAAATGGAATCGGCAAAAAATCAAGAAGGGATTTGGTCCGTCCCCCTGTTAGAGATACATTCCAGAGAGTGTATCGTAAACATGACAAGCACCAGATGGAGTGAAACTTACGGCCTTGTTGGCCCCATAGCCCACGAATCGCTCGTCGCACCACGGCGTCCCTTCCTTCTTCAGGATCACATAAGGCTCGTACGAGTGCTGGTACGTCGTGACCTTGTACGCTGACTCGGTCTTGTACCAGCGCTCATAGTCCGTCGCATTGTGTCCCCTGGCGAAGAAATCGTGGAAGACCGCCAGCTTGTTGTCCCGTACCAGCTGGATTGCCGCTGCTTTATCCTTGGGGAAGGTCCTCGAGTCGACACCGTCTTCTTGTTTTCTATATTCGAAAGCGGGCAAAAGAACCGCTTTCCCTTCTCTCATAAGCCGGCGTGCTTCCGGGTCAAGGGACAGGTGGTGCTGCAGGTTTGTGCAGATGTGAAAATCGACTATCAGGAGTAGCGGACAAAAAATGGGATGGGAGGTTTCAGTCAACACACGCTCGGGTAAGCAGAATCCACATGGGGGGTGCAAGGTCGCATGCAGTAGACTTGGTCTCCTTACCATCAAGCATCATAAAGTAGTTGGTCCGAGCAAAGAACCTGGCCACATTGCGCCACATGTTGAACTGCCGATCAAACTTGTCGACAATGACATGCACATCCACAAACTCCCTCATAGACGGGTTCGAACTGTACATGTCATGCAGCCTCGACAGGTTCTCGTCCCGGTTCTCGTCGTCGTTGATGTGAATGCTGACAGAGATGGGTCCCTGGTAGTTGGTGACGAGTTTGCTGAAGACTGGATATCGGTCGTAGGTGATCAGGGTCGTGATGGTGACCGCCTCCGGATCGAATCTCCGCTCTGCTTTGAAGTAGTAAGGCAGCACTTTGGAGGGCTGCATCGTGTTGGCGAATATCTTGTGGATCACTGCGTCTTCCTCAATCTCATGGCGGGGGCTGTCTTCCGGCGCTACAATGCAGTGCAAGGACGATGCTGGTCAATAGCAGCCAATACAGCAGCCAGTAAAATGGTCGACATAACAAATAACATGACTAGTCCTGCAGATCAATAGTTCGCACTAGTTACTTTTCCAGCTCATCCTCTGCTTTGAGTAGACGGTGCTTTCCAGATCAAAGACTGCCTGGCCTGGCTCATCCCATGTTCCTGGAGTGACGTTGTAGATGGGCTGCGAGTCCTGGTATCGACTGAATTGGGTATGTAGCGTGAAGATGACGGACCCTGCGAGGTATGCCAGCACACCGTATCGCAGCAGCTTGACTGCAGGCTGAGGTATTAGTCCCATTTGGCTGTATCGTGTCCTTTTCCTGTCCAAGAAGGGCGATAGATGATGACGATGAAGAAGTGGAAAAGGATGAGGAAGGAGGGAGGAAGATGGAGAGGAAGGCGATGAGGAAGAATGAATGAGACCCAGATGCGACCCAGATGCGACCCAGATGCGAGTGCGGTAGTGCTGTACCCTAAAATAGGACAGTGGGCGCTGAAGGTGAGAGCAATAAAAGGAGCAACATGGTTGTGCCTGACTCTTTGGCTTTGCCCAATTGACCCCAGTTGACTATTCCACTCCTGCCCAATCAATTCGCACTGCATGCATTAAGCCGTATAGTCACGGTTTGTTTACCACTTATTACAGTATTTGCTGGACCTTGTGCCTAAGTAGTACTACCAAAAGGCTACGATCCGCTTTTACCACCATGACCAGCGCAGGCCAGAAAACGCGACCAACGGTCCTTTGTGGGCTCCGAGTCTGCCCTTGGCCAAAGTAGCCCAAGAGTGCGCCAGGGTTCTGCTCGTTATGACCCTGTTCAAAACGTATCCTTCTTTTTTTGCGCGATTATTAAGCAATATCAAGACATGAGAGAGGCAAAATCATGGCCTTTATTGTTCATTACTATCATACAATTTGCCAGATGTTCAAAGGTTTCCAGACTCCTTGGCGAGCGAGTGAAAGATCGAGGTTGGGTCTGCCAACAGCTTTGCAGGCGACTCAAACTCCTTCATCTCACCGTTATCAAGCACCAAGATCTGATCACTGTCCATGATCGTGTTGATCCTATGCGCAATCGTCAACACCGTGCAGCCCTAGAACTCGCGTCGGAGCGCTTGCTGGATCGCATTGTCCGTCTCGATATCGATCGCAGCTGTGACCTCATCCAAGCAAAGCACGCGCGTATTCTTGGCGAGCATCGCTCGTGCAAGAGACATCAGCTGGTGTTGACCCAGAGACATGCTCTCACCCCCGTTCTCGATCGTGGCCGAAAGACCCTCGGAAAGAGAGGAGACCTAGGACTTTAGCGAAGCAGATTCCAAAGCAGCCCAGAGTTCAGTGTCGTTATGACGCCCAAATGGGTCCAAGTTCGAGCGGATAGAGTCTCCAAAGAGGAAAGGGTCCTGTGAGATGTCGACGCCATCGATGGAGATGGAGCCTCCAGCGGCCTCTATGATTTGGAAGAACCTCAGGGCCAACAAACCCTAGGGAATACACATGTTAGCCACAGACACCGGTCAAGTAATGCCATACGCGTGATCGTAAGGGTGGCATGCTACCCCCAGTTTCCAGGGGACTATCCTGTCAACTCGCCCATCACAACGGACTCTTTTTTTATGTCGCGTCTTGAGCCTTTCGTGTTCGCTTCTAATGCATGGCAAGCTGCGGATATTACCCTGGAGACACTGCGGATTGCGGATCTCGCCTGGGAAATACTGCGAAGATTCGCTTAGTTGGTCCCGCAACACCAGACATCTTCAAGTGCGAGTTCCTTCCTCAATCTCATCTGCTTAACTGGGCATATAAAAACCCATCCTTGGCTCTCCGATTATTTCATGATCGCAATAACATACTTTCTCTTCTTCTTTTCATGAGGGCTTATATTGCTGATTCTCGGTTTAGTGAAGGTACGAGGCGGAGAGTTCCCAGGCCTAGGGCATTGACCGGCAATCATAAAGGCTACCGCAGTGGCAACACAGACCGTTAGACAAAGATTAAGTCAAACCACAACAACATTCAGGACAGGAACAAGTCAAATCACCACCTAGGAGACAGCGCTGGATCCGCCTTAAATCTTGGCGCAGTTGCAAATATGCAACATGTAGAGCCGATTACCTAACCTATGAATACATCGCCTGTGGCATAGACGTTACAGTGGAGCTCATAATTCATAACAGATGAGAACCGCCACAGGAGGAAAGTTCCAGGACACGAGTTGTCAGTCAAGACATCACCGACATCCGTTCCAGCATAGACATAAGTAGACCGTCTGAAATATACCATCGATCATTGACCTTCCAAAGGTACTATATTATTTTGCACATTTCTTGGAGAGCACTATGCTACTTCATTTGCTGGCATGCATTCCTGCATACGTTGCACGTGGCAAAAATGCTTAGCCGGCGACTGCTTTTTGAGCGAACATTGAAACCTTCCACTCCTTGACCGCCATCAATATCACAATCCCAAATGTCGTCGCTAACAACGTCTTCTTGATAGCCTCCCACTCTGCACTGGCTTCACTGCTCCCCTCTCTAATACCGAGTAATTCATGAAGTATTCCGAGGAGAACGATCGCATTCTGCACAGTCTTGAGGGCGATGACGCCAAGTTCTAGTACGCTATGGACCATGCGGACTTCATTCATGTACCCGGTGAATACGTCAAGGAAGTCAAAGGACTTTGAGTTACAAAACTGTGATCGCTTCCACTAACTTGGTGCCTTCATTCTGAACCTCCTATTGAATAAAATGAAAAAAAAGCGGCGAAACGACTTCTGCTGTTACAAACTTAGTATTTGGGCCTGTTTGAGCAGGCAATGGCCCGAAGCTATCATCCGTTGGATTATGGCTGAACGCCTCAAAGTCAGAATCCGTGCTAGAACGCGACGATTATCGCCTTTTCCGATCTCTAGCTGAATACGAATAGAGACCCTCGGGTCCTGAATCATACTATGTGGGGTCATCTTGTGGAGCGGAAAGGCTTCATGAGGCGCCTGCTAATGTTAATTTCAAATATTGGAAGAGATAAATCCATAGCAGATGACTTTTATTGAACGGGGTATTGTAAGCAGTAGAATAGCCTTGTTGCTATGATCTGCTGAGATTAAGCCCATTGTTCTATAGATTTGTTCGAAAGAACAACATCTCTTATCTTCTTTTCTCTTTCACCTAAAGATAGGGGTTAAGGGGCGCTTATTTTGGCAGGGCGGCACCGCATGCATGAGTGGGACGTACTTTTGCTTCGCCAATTCTTGTACGACATTGACGCTCCTCCCTTGCAACTGTCAGCCTATGGGCTTCATCTTTTTCTTGCACCCTATCTTTGAACCTGTATTTTGCAAGGATTTTCTTACAATAAGAGTAGATTTCATGCGTCCTTTGTTTATAGCGACAGAGGGCGTAGGCGAGGGCGAGGATGACGCCAATGATCCGACAGAGACAAGTATAAAAGTTAACGTCTCTGTACCCAGCACCCACCATCCACCAAATTGCCACTACCATGACAAAACATCTATACCAACTATTCCGTCAGGCTGAAATCATTCGAGCCGTTCCTGTTAGACCAGCTATTTCCCCTGAATCCAACGGCACCTCGTCGAGCTTTGTGAGTTTGGAGGACATCCAAGACGATTTTAAGGATGCACAGCAATTCGAATTGGATGGTCTTCCCATCTCATTCCTGCCAGACCTTGATGGTGCAAGGTATACATTAATCACATGGTCGTTTCAATTGACCTGACAAAGTGAGAGGACTGGATTTTAATATCTTCTTTGCTCTATTAGAAATCGATCTCCATGCATCGCATTTTATCCTGACAAGATCCTAGACGTCATTACAGAGGAATCTCAGTCCAGCAACAACAGCGCCGTTGTCCATTGCTCAACACTAGCAAAAGTGGGTGTTCAGACCTCTCGAGACCTTCTTTTATCAAGCTTGGGTCAGTCTTTCATTTCGACTTTCGCTCGCGATGTCGAACAAACCCGGATCGTCGACTCCAAAAACAAAGACCTACAACAGATTCTGGGTTTGCTGCTGGAGGCTAAAGAGAATGACGACAAGATGCTAGCTCTGCAGCTAGAGGTGAAGCAGAAGGGCGACATGATTCTGGCTCTGCAGCTAGAGGCGAAGCAGAAGGGCGACATGATGCTGACTCTGCAGCTTGAGGCTAAAGAGAAGGACAACAAGATGCTCCAGATGCAAGAGCAGGCGCTCGGTCGACTCGCACTCATTCATAGACGAGCTGCGGCGCTTCTTACAGTGATATACGAGCTGCACGAGTATCCGATTCCACGACTATTCATCGTCCTACCCAAGAAGACCTCCAAGTTGAACCCCACCAACATTATCAACCACCAGTTCCGACTTTATTTTCTTTGTGAATGTGGCGAGCACACCAAAATACTCAATGGCGAGAATACCATGATTTCACACCACATTCACCCTGCCAAACATGATGGATACGACATTCGGAGATCCAAAGAGTTTTTTCAAAAGTACGGCGGGTACATGCTGACTTTGCTAGAGATGATTAAGTACGGTGCCACGATTGCAGGCTTTGTCGTTCCCGCTCTGGCTGCGGTCAGCGTACCTGGAGCTATTGATATGTTCAAAGACTCACTGAACACCATCTCACAGTCAGATGTCGACCAATCTATCGAGTATCTGCAAGGACTTACGGACAACAATTCAAAAGGTCAGGACTCGGCCAAGGACCTTGACGCTGATTTGTTCTCTGGACCGGACGCTTTGGAGGGTGCCGACCTTCGCCAGTTGGAAGTGTTTATCAAGGGCAAGGACCAGCATCGAGTACTAGGAGACCTCTACCGAATTGTTACCCAGGAGGGCCTTGTCAAATGGGTTTGTCTCGACCATTTTCGTTTGACATACAAAGAAAAGGAGCAACAGGTGTTTACCGACGCAGTCCAGCTGAATGGTGGCTTTTATGAACCACAACTCGGTCAAGTAGTGGTTCGCCTTGGATCCATAATAAGAGCTGCAGAATTCTCCGACGCCCTATCCAAAGCTCGGCGTGTGGATGACCTGGATATCACATTCGACTGGGAGTGCAGCAGGAGTGATCTCGGCATGCTAGAGGATGCACTCAAGAAATCAGGGGTATCGATTCTCCGACTTGATCTCCAAAATTTACGACCTAGCCTCGGCAGCAAACTATGGTCGACATCCGCACGATACGGAGCACTTTTTCGCATCATTGAACGCATCATGGAGCTTCCTAATATGAGAATGATTCATATTGTCCTTCCTAAGGTTTTCCTCAAGCTTTCCAGTCTTCCGCCAAAAAGACCGTCCCATCCTCATAAGTTATCCTTCGAAATGGTGCCTGGATCGATCGGACCAAAGGAATTTGGACTATTAGCAGAGATGCTCAAGACCAATTCTACTCTGACCACCTTGGACTTATCGGACAACTCGATCGTGCACAAAGGAGCTAAGACGCTGTTTGAGGCACTCACGACCAACTCGACTCAGACGACTTTGAACATCTTGGGTGCCTGGATCAAGGACAACGGAACTCAGGTGCTTTCGGAAGCACTCAAGACAAACTCAAACGGCAATAACGGAGCTCAGGCGCTCTCTAAGGCACTCGAGACCAACTCGACTCTGACCACTTTGAAATTACGGTGCAACTTAATTGGCGACATCGGAGCCCTAGCGCTGTCTAAGGCACTCAAGGCCAACAAGACTCTGACCACTTTGGACTTGTGGGGCAACTTGATCGGCGACATCGGAGCTCAGGCACTGTCTGAGGCACTCAGGATAAACTCGACTCTGGTCACTTTGGACTTGAAGCGCAACGCAATTGGGCTCAGCGGAGCTCAGGCGCTGTTTGAGGCACTCAAGACCAAATCGACTCTGATCACTTTGGACTTTTTGGGTGACTGGATCAGGGACAGCGGAACTCAGGCGTTATCTGAGGCACTGAAGACCAACTCGATCGGGAACGATGGAGCTCGGGCACTCTCTAAGGCACTCGAGACCAACTCGACTCTGACCACTTTGAAATTACGGTGCAACTTAATTGGCGACATCGGAGCCCTAGCGCTGTCTAAGGCACTCAAGGCCAACAAGACTCTGACCACTTTGGACTTGTGGGGCAACTTGATCGGCGACATCGGAGCTCAGGCGCTGTCTGAGGCACTCAGGATAAACTCGACTCTGGTCACTTTGGACTTGAAGCGCAACGCAATTGGGATCAACGGAGCTCAAGCGGTGTTCGAGGCCCTCAAGGCCAACTTTACACTGACCACTTTGGACATTTTGGGTGACTGGATCAAGGACAGCGGAACTCAGTCGCTTTCGGAGGCACTCAAGACAAACTCAATTGGGAACAACGGAGCTAAGGCGCTGTCTGAGGCACTCAAGACCAACTCGACTCTGATCACTTTGGACTTGAAACACAACTCGATCAAGGGCAACGGGACTCAGGCGCTGTCTGAAGCACTCAAGGCCAACAAGACTCTGACCACTTTGGACTTGTCAGAAAACTCGATTGGGGTCAAGGGAGCTCAGGCGCTGTCTGAGGCACTCAAGGCCAACAAGACTCTGACCACCTTGAAATTACGGTGCAATTCGATCGGGAACAATAGAGTTCAGGCATTGTCTGAGGCACTCAAGGTTAACTCGACTCTGACCACGTTGGACTTATCGGACAACTCGATCGGGGACAAAGGAGCAAAGGCACTGTCTGAGGCACTCAAGCCCAACTCCACTTTGACCACTTTGGACTTGTGGGGCAACTTGATCGGCGACATCGGAGCTCAGGTGCTGTCTGAGGCACTCAAGATCAACTCCACTTTGATCACCTTAGACTTGTGGGGCAACTCAATCGGGGACAACGGAGCTCAGGTGCTGTCTGAGGCACTCAAGACCAACTCTACTCTTACCACCTTACACTTGGACGGCAACTCGATCGAGGGCAACGGCGCCCAGGCGTTGTCCGAAGCACTCAAGGCTAACAAGGCTCTAACCACTTTGGACTTGTCAGAAAACTTGATTGGGGTCAAGGGAGCTCAGGCGCTGTCTGAGGCACTCAAGGCCAACAAGACTCTGACCACTTTGAATTTAAGGCGCAACTTGATTGGGATCAATGGAGCTCAGGCGCTGTCTGGGCCACTCAAGGTTAACTTGACTCTGACCACGTTGGACTTATCGGGCAACTCGATCGGGGACAAAGGAGCAAAGGCACTGTCTGAGGCACTCAAGGCCAACAAGACTCTTACAACTTTGAACTTGGAGTACAACTCGATCGGGGACAACGGAGCTCAGGCGCTGTCTGAGGCACTCAAGACCAACTCGACTCTTACAACTTTAAACATGGACTGTAACTCGATCGGGAAGAGCTTAACGGAGGCGCTGTATGAGGCACTCAAGACTTACTCGGATCTGTCCTCTTTCGACTTGACGCGCAACATCATCAAGGATAACGGAGCTAAGGCGCTATCGGAGGGACTCGAGGCCAATTCGACTCTGACCACTTTGGACATTTTAGGTGACAAGATCAGGAACTCCGGAACTCATGCGCTGGCTGAGGCACTCAAGACCAACTCGACTCTGAGCACTTTGGAATTGACGTTCAACAGAATCGAAGACAACGGAGCTAAGATGTTGTCTGAGGCACTCAAGACCAACTCGACTCTGATTACTTTGGACTTGATGGCCAACTCGATCACGGGCAATGGAGCTCAGGCGCTGTCAGAGGCACTTGAGTCCAACTCGACTTTGACCACTTTGAGCTTAAGGTTCAACTTGATCAGGGACAACGGAGCTCAGGCGCTATCTGAGATGCTCAGCATTAACTCGACTCTGACCACTTTACACTTGTGGCACAACTCGATCGGGGACAACGGAGCTAAGGCACTGTCTAAGGCACTCAAGGCCAACAAGACTCTGACCACTTTGGAATTAATGCGCAACTCGATCGGAGATAATGGAGCTCAGGAGCTTTCTAAGGCACTCAAGACCAACTCGACTTTGACCACTTTGAACTTGTGGCATAACTCGATCGGGGACAATGGAGCTCAGGCGCTGTCTGAGGCGCTTAAGATTAACTCGACTCTGACCACTTTGGACTTGTGGGGCAACTCGATTGGGGACAACGGAGCTCAGGACCTGTTTGAGGCACTCAAGACAAACTCGACTCTGACCACTTTACACTTGAAGCACAACCCGATTGGAGAGAATGGAGTGCAACATTTTAGGTTCCGTCACACCAAATTCTATAACGTAGCAGCATGCAATTGCCATGGCTCTTACCTCTAATGACTGTATATAGCGTACACTGAGTCCATTGTCTTCAGCTGGCCGCTTATCGTGTCGTCTTCTATCATCGATCGAACAAAGAATTACGAAGCAGAGATCTCGGTTACAAACCAAAAGCAGAGCCACCGTAACAAGGCGCCCTATTCTTGCATTATCTTGCCTCTCTCTTACTCTTGGCTCCTTTCGTTGTCTCCAGCTATTGCATGGAGCTTAGATGCAGTCTCTAGTGTCCATATCGCGTCCACGGACCTTTTGATTTTTGTCACTATGCTCAAACAACAACAAACAAACCGATCATTTGATTTGCCACCACCCGCGAGTGACAACAATAGTCAATTTCATTAGACATCTACAGTATATAGTGGCTAATTAGCCATTTAAGCGCTTCTGTTGCATTAACGGACGAAAATAGATGGACATAGCGTGCGAAAAATATTGAATGGCCGGGTAGGTTATAGCACCCAAAGCTATCATCCGTTGGATTATGGCTGAACGCCTCAAAGTCAGAATCCGTGCTAGAACGCGACGATTATCGCCTTTTCCGATCTCTAGCTGAATACGAATAGAGACCCTCGGGTCCTGAATCATACTATGTGGGGTCATCTTGTGGAGCGGAAAGGCTTCATGAGGCGCCTGCTAATGTTAATTTCAAATATTGGAAGAGATAAATCCATAGCAGATGACTTTTATTGAACGGGGTATTGTAAGCAGTAGAATAGCCTTGTTGCTATGATCTGCTGAGATTAAGCCCATTGTTTTATAGACTATTCCTGTCGTGAACTTACGCTTATTCAAATTCAAGATGACTTTTCTAAGCTTGGCGGGACAGAACAAGGGAAGGTGATATGTGGTTCAGAAAGCAAGGTCAGAGAAAGCGTAGGATATATTCGAGTTGCTAGATGAGGAACAAATAGGTAAAGAACTGCGTAACGGTCGCACGCATTGCCAAGAGTCGACCGATCATGTCGTGGTACGCGACAATTCCCTTTGACTTTAGCCAACCAGGAACTAATAGAAATAATCCCAATTTCCTGTCCCAGGAACATAAACGACCATTGCCTTCCATGTTACAAGGTTGTCCGTATTTCCTGTTCCGTTCATCCGAATCCACAGTAGAGTTATTTCTCGTAATTGATTCAGGTACCATTCGTAAAAGGGCATTAAGCGAAATGAATGATTGCTTGATTCGAGTTAACAGCCGACGTGCTTCTTGTCCTGGCTAGGTTTATTGCTATAGACTGTCGCATCATATTCTCGTGCGAAACGAAGAATTATATGATGTCTGACAAGGACAAGGAACCCCAGAAGATCAAAATGGCAGGAAAGGAAATAGGTGGCCGGCTGGGGGTTTCGGGCCCAGAGGGTGAAGTGAGCGATATGACTTATCTTATTGATCCCAAGACTATCGACAGGGCCGAGCTGACACTGGCAAGGGACAGTGATCGATTGGAGGCAAAATTATACTGTCAAAGCTCCAACAAGTACAGATTCAACAAGTCCAAGTGGGTCTATGGAACTGGCTGAGTAGCGAACCCACGTACGAGACCCTAATGTGTTCGTTTATTCTCATGGAATATCTTATCACAAAATCCGTCCGAACCATAGCGCGTCCACGGGCATCCTCTTGTTACTAATAAAAATTAAACGCGGCAGCCAAGGCTACGGCTGAGCATGCTTTCCTGCCCAAACTCACTGGCTGGGAACTCTACAAGTCGATCGGATCACCAAAGTACATTGTCGCACCCATGGTCGACCAGTCTGGGCTAGCCTGGAGGGTCCTCAGTCGACGGTACAATGCAGATCTGTTCTACGCTCCCCATGTTCAACGCCAAGCTGCTTGCCAAGGATTCAAAGTGCAGGGACGAGCATTAGGCGGGACTGAAGGACGGGCTCGGTGGCGGAGGACCGAGCGACCGACCGTTGATTGTGCAGGTAGGATGGAAAGTCAGGGAAGAACAGGCCGGCACTGTGAATGAAAACGAGTCATGTCAGCTAGTTTATGCAAGGATATCTCGCTGATACTTCGCTCATCTTGGGTCCTGTTAGTTTTGTGCAAACGACCCAGAGTATTTGCTGCAGGCTACGCTCATGGTTGGGCCGTACTGCGACGCCGTCGATATCAACCTCGGATGCCCCCAGCACATTGCCCGGCGAGGACACTATGGCTCTCCTCTCATGGAAGACTGGCCCTTGATCTCGTCTCTCATCTCTACACTGCATAAACACCTTCCCACCCCCGTCACTGCCAAGATTCGAGTCTTACCCGAGGTCGAAAAGACAACCAAATACGTGCGAAAAAGGTTGTTGAGCCTGGCGCGCAGCTCTTGGTCGTTCATGGCCGACTCCGGGAGATGAAGGATCACTTGACAGGGCTGGCGGACTGGAATAAGATCCGTGCGGTGCAGGAAGCAATTGGACAGCTGGTCCCGTTGTTGCGGATGGCAATATGCTCTACCACAACGATCTAGCGAGGTGCTTAAAAAAGACAGGATGTGTCGGTGCCATGTCTGCTCAGGGCCATCTCTACAACTCCGCGATCTTTACGCCGCAACACCCAGAGCCTCGGCGTCTGGCCGAGAAATACCTGACGATCTGCGACGAGCTCGATACGAAGATCGTATATACCCGCGGACACCTCTTCAAGATTTTCAACCTAACTTGGTGGTACACACGGATCTGAGGGCGGAACTAGGCCTTGCGAGCTTGAGAGAGGAGATGTGGGCGGTCGCACGCAAGTTGAAAGAGAGACTGACCCAGGAAGCAAACGCCTTGCGATTGAGTGGAGAGGCCTTTGAAGGACGCGTAGATGAGCAAGGATTATCGACCTTGCCACACTGGCTTGCACAGCCGTACTTCCGACAGCCCATGCCGGAGCAAACAAAGAAGAAGGGTGAGAATGGCGCTCCTGTCAAGCGAGACGCAGATAATTCTGCACAGGCAAATGACGACGGCACAACATCTGTAACAGGAGATGAGGACGCGGGCAAGGCAAAGAAGAAGACCAAGAAGACAAGGGTCATCCCCAACCTCTATCAAAGCGCCGGATGCAGAAATATGTACTCGGCGGCATGTGTGCATCAGAGATGCAAGGGCTGTTGCCGTGGTCATCAGCAAGACATCAATGTGTTCGACTGTGCAACACACCAGATCCGGTCCTTGCAGCACCAGCAGAATGTAACAACATCGGATTCGCAGCAGACTATTGAAGCTACTGTTTTGGAGGCACATGTCAAGAACTTGAACCCAGTAGAGGCTGTCTCTGGAGCCATTGCATCCGATACAAGCGCCGACAAGGCAGAGCAGAGTATTGCTGCCTAGATTTCTTTTGTTCGCTTAGAAATCATCATGAAATAGAAAAACGAACGTGTACATCAGAGCAATTTAGCACTTTGCAGCGCATATTTTATTTTGCAAACAAGATGGCCAGGCCCTGGATGCCCAACAGATAGAACCCACTTTTGGGGATAGCCGTGGCGCCGCCGATTGCGATCCCCAAGAACCAGACGCCCAGCTCCCGGGGTAACTTCCTCTCAGATCGCACCTCTCCCTTGTCTGAATGTGCTCTCACAGAGGAGTCGTCCTTAATTTTCCTATGGCCATCCACCTGTTCAGGGAACAGATACCAATCGACGAGTTTCCCAAGGAGGACCAAGTTTACGCCAGCCATGAAGAACCAGAACGAGTGACGACGACTGATGGAAGTACCAAGCTGGTTGATGTATCCACCCTTGAGGGCATCCACGAAGGGCTGACGAACCGCGGGGATTAGGAAACCTACAATGTTGTGTCCGACGCCGGTCCAGACCAGGAAGCGAGCGGGCCAACGTGAGGAGCGGTAGGGTACTGCTGAAGGGCGGTGGCTGGACTCGGAGGGAGATGAGGACGAAGACGGGAAAGATGGCGAAGAAGACATGGCTGGCTAGTTGTGTGTGTGTGTTGTTTCTATGCGTTTGTGTGTTTATGAAAAAAATCTAGCCTAGGAAAATGCACCTTAAATACCTTTAAAAAAAGTGATCGGGTTGCTCGGCGAAAAGGGTGAATTAACTTTCAGATCACAGCGCAGCGCAGCAGCCTCACCTATCCCTTTCTGTATCTCCGTCAAAAAAAAAAAAAAGAAAACGAAAACGGCCCCGCAGACCTACGGTGCGTGCGCGTTCACGAAAGAGGCGATACCGACCCCGTTTCTGCATTCCTCGCTTTTTTAAGTCATTGCCGAACCAAAAAAAAAGAACGCTGTTATTTTTTTATGTAAATACCGCGAACATTTTTTTAAAATTTGCGTAACCGGGACGCAATCGATCACTCTTTGGCACACTGGAACGCGAGCTGCATTGGACTCGTAAGGATCGGATCGAGGTCTATTCGCATATGTGATCAGACACCATACAACTACATGAACGATGCTACATCCGTATCTGAGATTGGATAATCAACATTCATCATAAGAAAGGGCTTCTTTACGTCTGAGATTTTCCAGTGATCCCATTTGTTTGAAATACTAACGATATTGTGCTCCGTCTGTAATGAGCCAAACAGACCAGCAGGTCGATGACCAACAAATATAGAGAAGATGAGTGAGAATACCCAATCAACACTGTTAACAAGGCAAATGCAAAGAGTATATATTTATTAGCTAACCTTTTTTTTTTTTTTTTTCTGACGAAGGATCACTCAATATCGCTGATGTGTGTATCGTTTCAAATAGCTCTTCTATGGAGCTGTTGCGTGTGCAGCCAACAAAGGACGAAAAGGTTCATTTTTTCCCTTCTATTCTGATACAACGATACAACGCACAAGCTCTGCTATGCTATGATTAACAATAAAATCGGACTAGCATTGCTAGTTATACTACAATGATAAACCGAGGCGAAGGTAGGTTGAGAAATGAGATAATTTCTCGCTCCTTATACATTACTATTGATGGCTATCCGCAGTTGTTTGCAGTATTGCAATATTCATCAGTTGTTCTCAATCGATGTAGAGATAGATGAATGTGGACCGCACTTTCAAAAAGTAACTCGAATGGATATTGTCACAAACCATCGGGCGCATCTGGTAGCAAGAACAACCGCTATATTGAGCATGTGGGGATGCCTGCTTTTTGCCAGAAGGTTTCGTTACGCCTGCAACAGGTACATCAGTTTGTTCGAGAATATAATGTCGTAGTCATAAGAATGCATCGCCTAGTTTCTGGAGTATTATAGCGCTGCCTTGCTTAACCATGTCCTTCGTATATAGTAGCTCTTCGAGCGTAAGGGTTAGATAGCAGAAAGTCATCGAACATGGATGCCAGCTGCATACACAAAGGAACAAAAGAAATGAAGCGAAGATGAAGAGGAGGGAGAAAAAAGAACCGAACGTTGGGAAGCATTCATTATCTTTTTTTTTTTTTTTTTATCGACCGCCTTCACTTCATTCATTACCTTATCCTAACCGTTCTCAGTTCTTTATACCCTGGTCTACCAATATCCATGGTTTAACGTCCTGCATGCATGCATGCATGTGTACATAAATATTTGATCGACAAGATAAGTAATGCTCTCCATGTGCCTGGCTATATTGCTGTGCTTATTATGCATTACTGCCTATTTCTATGATGAACAAAAGCGGGTCACAGCACCATGACGATTGACCAGACACCGCATCCGACCGCCAGGACCTGGACCACGAGCTGGAACAGCACCGTCCATGCAAACTGGTAGAGCACTTTCGGGGAAAACACCGTCCAGATGAACAAATGGTGTCGCAGGACAATGGCCGCGATCGAGAGCGCGTAGAGTGCAATCCCAAAGAACAGGCTGCTGAAAATCAGATGGTCAAGGATCCTTGTTTGCATCAGATGTCGTCTGTATCCAGGCGGATCTGTGAGAATGCATGGAACACTCGAATGCGGCAAAGGCGAAACAGAGTCCTCAATAACAGCAGCAGATGTGTCCTGTTCCTCATACACATAGAAGGTGTCTTCATCTTCCAAATTCGCTGGCTCATCCTGGTTTGTGGCGAAATCCTGGGCGTGTTGTTCAGTGCTCTCTAGGTTAAGTGGGTGTGCATTTGGCTCCGGAGACATGCTCGCTTCTTTCCCGACAGTCTCTCCTTCCTTTGTGGAGTCCTCCTGACTCTTAGCGAGAGCGCGTTTGTACAGTTGTATCCGTCTCTTGGTCTTCTTGTTCCATGTCCCCTTATCCTCCCGTCTCCACCGGCTCACAGTTCTCCATGATTGTTCTTCCTCTTCCTTTAACACGATCTGCCTGTCCTGCTTAGCACAGACCAACTCTATTTCCAGGTCCCACTTCATGACGACTGCGGCAGCGAGGCACCACCAGATTGGCCCTGCCCAGTTCGAGACAAACGTGAGAACACCTGTCAATCCAATGTCGTACGCTTGGATGCCGACATATGCGTTCGAAATATCAATCGAGGCAATCGAGTTTGAATTTCCAAACAGAAAGAACGATGATAGCGTCCAGAGGAGGATAGAGCAGCTGTGGATCGAGTTCTGGCCAGGAAGAGACCTCAATGATCGCGATGATACCCCGGTATTCCTTGTCTCCATCGTATTCAAGTGCGCCTTGTCGATGGCCGAGTCTGAGGATATTTCGTCAGCCTGCACATCTTCATCAATATATGTAATACTGTCGTCGTATTCGGCGCCGTCCTGTTCTTCGGAATCGAGATCGCGTTGCCGAATCAGGCTGATCCATTTAAGATACAGGTATAGCTGCATCCCAAAGAATACAAACAGCGGGGCATTATGTCGCCTGGAGAGGAGAATGAGCAGCAAGGTTGCAGTACCGAGCAACATGGACGGTACAAAAAGCGTTCCCGTGTACATCTCTGTAATAGGCTCCATCGATTCTGGTCCTGATCGAACGGTGTCTGATGCTGAGGATGCTGATCCTGAAGATGACAGAGCCTTCAAGCCATAGGACATAACAGCGATTGCGCCCAACGTGGCATAGCATCCTCTAGCCATTGCATATCCTGACATCCCCACCTCCTGAGTCGATGATGCCTCTGCAGCCGCCACCGCGGGATAGCCCACAGAAGATAAAGTGCCAGTGAATGCGTGAACCCGACGCATGACCTCGTCACCAAAGTACGCGGACTCCACATCCATCTTATAGACCGTGATCCAAAGAGCCGCCAGTACAATCGAGGTCGTCAGCAAAGCTTGAAGGACACTTATCAGTCCCGATTTCCAGGCTGGCTGTTGATTCCGATGATATCGATGTCCGCCGCTGAATGGCGAATGGAAGGAAGTAGTAAAGAAGACCATGGTGGCAACAACTATTGCCATTGTGATCCAAAACAGAATCCAAGAGACACCCACCCATGTCGCGTTCAAGTAATGCCGCAAATCAATCTGGTCCGCATATTTCTGGCCTAAATAAAGAGATGGCCCATATCTATTAACAACCAAGCACAAAGCAATGATTATTGAAAATTGAACACAACCCCAAACTGCGTGTCCTTTACCTGTCTGGTTCCAGCCTCTGAGTACTCGGAGGATAACCATCTGCAACAAACAGTACACCGCAGCGGTCGCAGACGACGATAGGCGCTTCTCGTGACGCGTCTCATCCTTGCTGTGCTTTTCCGAGGGAGGCCTTGCGCTGCTGTTGCTACTGGCCAAATAGCGTCCGCTGGTGAATGCAAGGACAGCCCACCAGGTCATGTTGAAAAAGTACCAGAACTGATGCTCTTCCTCCACAAAACTTGATGCGAACAGGGTCACCAAGTAGAGGATCAATATCACAGCTGACAGAATTCTGGCTATGATCCAGTTGATTTCATTCCTGTCTCTCTTCCGGCTCCTCTTTGTCTTTGGTATGCGTTCCCCGAATATGGAAGTAAGAGATCCTGATGTTGAGCGGCCAGGCGTACCCTTTTGACGCGACAAGGAAGGCCCTTTTCCGAACAAGTAAGCTGACTGGCGAGGTTCGACGCATGAGGCCATGACATCCCGCGGAAGGCTGGTCTGCATGGCGCAAAAGATTAATCCTCCCACAGCAAACGCCATCATCAGTGATCCGTTTGTCAGCAGAGGCATATCGTATTTGCTGAGTGCCGTAGAAAGCATCGAGCTGGCCTCGTCGAGAAACTAAACCATCGTTCAAGAAGCGTATGGCAAGTCAGATCGCACAGTTGTGACAGTTATACCATATGAAAATAAAAGATGCCGATGGAGTAGCGCCGGGTCGTTACCTGGTCATAAGTCTTCTTGGCCTCCCATCCTATCCTGTGGGTTTCTGCTTCAAGATTGGGCACGCCTCGATCCATAGCCCTCATCCTCTCCAGAACTGAGGCGTGCCCAGCCAAAGCTAAAGTATACCAGCATACGAGCCGCTGCTTCTGGACACCTTCATTCTTGCATCTCTGGGCATCACGCTTAAATTCCTCTGAAGTTTCCTCCTCAATATCCGGATTTTTGAAATCTTTGAGCAAAACGGAGCTCTCTGTCTCAAAATCAGGCCACATATTCTTGAGGACACCAGCGACCTGATGAGCATTCAGCTGGTACGCCCGTAGGATTTCAGCCTCTATGTAACGAAAATGGAGATGTTGAAGCCAAGAGAACCTATTTTGAAGGCTCCTGAATGATAAGCGATATAAAGATGTGCCTTACCTTCGTAGTCCAAAAGAACTTCCGGGATAAATCGCCCGACATTGTTCTTGGGTATAGGAAGCCCCAGAAGAAGTGATAGTGTAGGCACCAAATCCACCTGGTTCACGCTTCTGTAGTGCTGGTACTCTTCCCGATCTTCTGTAAAACGGTAGTTCCCGACCATGGCATCAATTTGACTTTGATACCGTGAATTATCGAAACTAGAGCTCATGAACAGAAATGAAGTCGAAATCTCGCTTCTTGAAGACCCGCCGTGGTTGCCAACCTGGATACAGAAAGCCCAATATATTCGGCTTAGTCTTTGTAATCGAGTACGCATTCAAATCCTTAGATAGAAAGAACTAAATACATTGCGTGCGCTGTCGTACCTCATTCATGCCATGATCTCCACACAGGATAAATAGAGTCGGCAGATCGGACGCTTGAAGGGCAGAGTCCTTTGCGACTAGCGTCTTATAGATTGTCTCTGCAATCTTGTCCATCTCTGCCTGCTTGGGCCCCATTAATGCAGACTTGGGTCCACCAGAGTGTCCAACATGATCGAGCCCCAGATAGTGGAAAATGAGGGCATCCCAGTCATCCCTAGCCAGCTCTGGTTCAACATGGCGTGTTACGTTGTTATCGACCTCGACCGTATCCTGTGAATATTGTAGTAAAAAAAAAAAAAAAAAAAAAGATATTGGGTATCATGTTCAGTTCTTGTGCCAGTCAAGTCACCTCGATTGCGCTTTATAGGGCCTATTTCTGACAACAATGATACTTGCCATTGCGAAAAATGAGGAAGTACCATCTGTCCTGGAGAATAATCCAGGAAACAGCTTGATCCATGTATCATCACCAAAGAAACCAATCTTCCGATTCTCTATTGCATTTGCCGCACTTTTCGTCTCCTGCATCGCGTTGGATCTAATCGAGGGAGCTCTCGCCAATTGTGCTACCCAGTTGTCCTGGTTCGCCAGTGTCGATGATTGGTCTGATTCCGCAATGTTGAGGATTGCGTCCAAGAATCCAGGTACCGTTCCAGTTGTGAGGGCCTTGAGTCGCGGAAGCGTCACTGTCGGAGCAGAGGCGAGTGCTGTGAAGGGTATGGCCTTATGGCTGTCTATCAGACTATCAAGAAATAGACATTAGTGATGGGCCATCGATCCGTATACCATCTATATATAAAAAGAAAAAAACATGAACTTGTACCTGCCCCTCAGCGTTGCGCATCTTACCTCTGCATGAACTTGAACTCAGACTCATTTCCGAACAAGAAATCGCTACAGAACGGTAGTTGAACGCGTCAGTTTTCGATTTGAATAAGATGGTCAGGAACGACCTTCAAATGCGATTGGTATATGTTATACCTTCTGAGGGCATCCACAAGCATCACGACTACTTTGCTGAACCGCGGCGCAACAGTCCCTACTAAGGGCAATTTATGTTCATCGCGCCCCTCTAGAATTTGATCCGATGCTGGAATCGAAGGTAGTGGCGGCAACTGATCCAGTGAGGCAAAGGTCGTTGATATGGCCTTGTATGGGAAGAAGCCCTTGGCAAACATGACTAGGCCGACGAGCTGGCATCCTAGTGAGGCCAGGAGGATGCCGAACAGAATCCATGGCCTCATCATTGCTTTCTCGGTCTATGTCGCTGATAGCGTGGATGGTGGTATGCAAAAGAAAGATAGAAGTTAAGAAAGGGATGTCGTACTATCCGTTCGTGCGTGGGGTTTGGAGGGACGAAGGCGGCACGTGCAAAGCCACAGATGCCGAGGAGAAGGACCGCGTTTTCCCCAAGTAGGCAATAAACTTTGCGAGCAAGTCGAGGGACATCTCTGGTCCTCATTCTTCCATCCCATTCACACCCCCTCCTCTCCTTTGAGCCCGAAACAAAACAGAACAAAAGTCCTTACTTGGTACCATGGAGTTTGAAGCCGTAAGCGGATCGCACTTTTGGCATCGACCCTTTGGCGGATAACACAGCACCACTGGACAAGGACACGTATTCATCACAAAGGAACCCACTTCACCTGCATCATAACCCTATCCCATTTAGAATCGCTTTGCCATCCCAGAGGGAGAGGACCCCGACCTCGACCTGGCCGCACCCGTGGAAACCACGTCAGGAGCCATGTTTGACCATACCATCCGAGATTCTATGCTTGAACTTGAACAGTGAGTGAGACTTTTATGCCCACAAACCATGACCGCTGATTTCATCAATTAGTTCTAGTAACTCAGCCCTGCTATTACCCTTTGTTTGTTTGTTTGTTATTAGAGCATTAGAAGAGGAGACAAGAGATATCTCATCCCGCTTCCAGAGTGAGAGACGACCCGAACCTGCAGGGCTCGATCGTGCCCTATCTGACAACTACACGACCAACAGACCGCAGCACGGTTCCCGCGATGGATTTGCACAACATAAATATGCAAGCAAGCACGGCGGATTTGTCACTGGTAAAAAAAAGCACGCGCAGGATTGCCAATTGAAAGAATGGAATCTTCTTTAATCATGAGCATAGCATTTTGGATCTGGGAGCTGATATTTATCAATGGTCGTCTTAGGCTTCGATCCATTGTCCAAGGCGGAGCAGGCGAAAAAGGCCAGTCGTGCTCAGCGTTTCGGGGCAGTGCCTCAGTCAGAGATCGCGAACAGGGATGAAACAATGGACGAACAGGGGACTAGCATGGATATTGGTCAGTTTTTATTTATTTTTATTTATTTTTATTTTTATCCACTTTTATCCGTTTTGTTACAAAGGCTGAACCATCAAGGCGAGTACCACAAAACTGATATTGACGGATCCTTATTGCTTCACAAAAATAGATGAGAGAGAATGGGTAAGACCCGACAATTTGCCAATGACGCCTCCCAGGACCTCAACCATCCGTCTTGAAGCCGTGCATCTCTACGGTACGGACGAGATGTCGACCAAGGATGTCCTCAAATACTTTGAGGCGTATGGACCCAGTCATGTGGAATGGATCGACGACTCTTCTTGCAACATCATCTTTCCGGACCAATTCTCGGCAAAGCGTGCACTCTACTTTCAGCTCGTTGACCGAAACGTCAACTTTGGAGAGGATGACGACGTCGAGCCTACTCGGACAGAGACCCTCTCTGCGGAGGGCGCGGACACAGTAGAGGCGTCCGTCATGGTTCCCGGATCCAAGAACCGTTTGCAGCGCGCAAAGGATTACACGCCTATTCAGCAGCAGCATCAACCTGTTATCCCGAACAACAAAGGGCTGTTTATCCGATACGCGACCGATTATGACCGTAAGGAACGTGGAGCGGCAGCCAAGAGTAATTACTATGCGGTCTATGGACGCGAGGAATCTAGAACTGGGACGGGCCGTAATAACAGCGGTAGCAGCAGCATGGGTTCCTCAAGGTACGGACGACGTAGTCGAGCGGACGAAGACGAAGTCTGGAACCGTGGTCGCGGTATCCTGTCGATGAGCAGCTTGAGACGGAAGATGGAGGGAGCCGGTTCACCCTCACCATCGCCAACGCGTCATCGATCATGGTCAAGGAACAGGAGGTTGGCAGGATCGAGGTCGAGATCGAGATCTTCGGGGCCACGATCGACATCAAGAGGCCGCTCGAGTTCACCTGGCTATTCGTCTCGACGCGATCGGGCTAGTCGGTCTCCTGACTCTGGAAGTCGCATGCGTACCGATGATTATGAGTAAGGATCACTTTTGCTGGTCTACAAAAAAAACCCCATCTATGTGGTTTGTGGTCTTGATCATGAGATACTAATGGTACCAACGCTATGCTTTATTTTTTTATTTTTTTATTCTTACTAGAAACCGTGGTCGTCGCGGTGACATTTCATTGCGTCTGGGCGGTCGCGTCAAGGTCTCTGACGAAGAGGCCTCGATCGCCGCAGCCGCAGCCGAGAGTCGCCTTAACCAGTACACAGATGATTTCTTGGCCGAACTCGAATCGACCTTCAGCCGACGCGAGAAGGCTATCCCCAAGACCAAATTGTATAGCGACTTTTATGAACGCGAAATCGTGACCGAGGTCCCGACCGAGTCCCAGACAAATGCCGCCGGTCATGGCCGGAGAGAGAACCGCGAAGGACGTCGTGAACCCAGCGGCCGAAGCGATGATCATTGGGCATCTGCATCCACAGGTCGGGGGAGACGAGGCGATCACAGGAAAGAGAGAGGGAGGGACAGAGAGGAGGCACTCAAGGCCCTAGATGCACGTCTAGGAATGCCGACGGAAGAACGTGTCGATGAGTTTGGACGCTCAAGAAGGGACTAAGAGAGCTGTGGTATCTTTTTTAGCATCTCTGGAGCACCTCAATGCAGCTCTGTAATACAAACTACCTTGCAAAACCAAAATGAATTTAGTTGTCTAGTTGTTTAGTTGTTTCTATTTTATTTTATTTTATTTTATTTTATTTTATTTTATTTTATTTTATTTTATTTTATTTTATTTTATTTTATTTTATTTTATTTTATTTTATTTTATTTTATTTTATTTTATTTTATTTTATTATTCGTCATTCTATGCTTAAAAGTCGAATTCGTCTCTGAAGGCATCTAGGTCCCTTGAAGTCTCGCAATGTTGTGCAAGATCTGTCCTACCCAGCATGTACATCGCCATCTTGAGCGTTTCCCACACGTTCTGGGACATGCCGCCAACACCGCCATCTGGCTGTGGGCCTGCAGTTGAAGCACCAACCATCAGTCCGCGTGCAGCATCACCAGCGTTCTGTAGCGACAAGGCACTCAGCAAGTGCTCTGCTGCCTCGCGGTGCTGGCCCAGGTTTATGCAGGCGATCGCAAGATTGTATCGTGCGCGAATATAGGATGGGTTGATGTTGAGCGCATTGAAGTACGCCTCGATTGCAGATGTAGTGTTGTGAGAGTTCGCGAGCGTTGCGCCGTACTTGTTCCAAAGCATGTAGTCCTACAATCGATAAACGGAGATGTACAATGGTCAGACTACAAAGTTGCGTGTATGCAATATCCATGGGACCAAAGTATCTGAAAACAAAAGGTACTTACATCAGGACGCAGGTTCAGTGCGGCACGGAAGCAATCGACTGCTTTCTCGTACTCCTCCGACACATTGAATAGAACACCCAGCGCAATCTGCACATCTGGGTCCAGGTTCTCACCGGGATTGGTCCTCGCGGCTTCCAAGAACAAGCCCGTTACATACTCATGCCTCTCCTGTGCTGAACGGCCCTGGCTACCGGCGATGGCACTCTTCACGCCCTTGTACTGATCTGAGTTCTCAATCCAGGACTGCAGCGCATCATATGCATCGACTCTGCAGTTTTCATTCGTGTAAGAAACTGCCAGGGCCAGCCAGGCATTCAGTTCCTTAGGATTCGCCTCCACTGCCTTGGTCAGGGCCGCGATCGCCAGTGTCTCCCGCTCATTCTCCTGCTGCCGCAAGCCCAATTGGTGCCATGCCGCTGCATCCATAGGATCCTTCTGGACGGCTGCCTCGAGAGCCAAAATAGATTCCGTGAGGTTGCCCCGGGAGGCGAGGTCCATCAACTTGCCTGTATCCGCCACCATGTAAGGATTGTTCTGCTCGAAACTGTAGTTTTGGTACCGAGGATCTGTAGCCCTGTAACCCAGTCCCGTCGATTCCTGCTTCTCCCAGTCCTTTTGCAACGAATCCCACTCTTTGTCGCTGGGGTCCTGAGTCAGATGAGCAATGTTTTTCCGGTAACTCTCGACCCAGCTCTCGTTCTGGTCCAGCGGTTGATGCCGTTGAAACGCCTGCTCGAGCTCCTCCGCTGCATTTGACGAATTAAATTCGTTGACCCAGTCCTGAGCAGTGTCCTGCCGTGAGGCGTTGAATTGCTGCGCCCAACTCGTGGCTCCAGCACCACCACCCATAGTCTGTGTCGCCCCGGTGAACTCTTCTGCCCAGCCTGCCTCCTGCTGCTTCGCAAATTCGCTTGACCACATACCGCCGGGTTCGCGGTTCTGGATATGCTGCTCGATCCGCTTCTCGAATTCGGTGGACCAGGTGCTGCCCTCTGCCTGGTTCTGTTGCTCCTGTTGGCTCTCAAACTCTGAAGACCAGTCCGAGGCCCTAGCCTTGCCCTTGCCCTTGTTCTGCTGCTGATTGAATGAGGCCGCCCAGTCACTTCCAGCTGAGCTCATGACAGGCGCCGTCTGTTCGACCAACTTGTTGCCCTCAATGGCGACCTCCTGATCTCTGAGCCGCCGCATAAAGTTCATGAAGGACGAGTTCTTGAACTTTTCGTTGCCCTGTGTATCTACAGAATCTAGCAGGAGACCAGCGGTCTTGGCGAGAGCTTCCTTATTGTCCTGATCGGCGATCGGGTTACTCTCCTGGGTTGTGAACTCTTCTGCCCAGGTCTGAGGCTGGTTCTCAGCCTTGAACTCTGACTCCCATTCGCTGACCTTCTTGGCATCCTCAAAGGCTCGCTCAAAGGCTTCAATCTGCTCTGGCTGCAGTGCATGTCCGAGGCCACCATGTTGCTGTTCAAAAGCAGTGAACTCTGCTTGCCAGCCGCCTATAGTTTTTTTTACAAGCATATTGAACAACACTCACATGTGTTAATTTCCCCAGGTTACACTTTACAGCAAATCACATGTTGAGCCGGAGTAAACGATCCACAGATCCGATCCACAGAGTTGTAAGCTGTCTCTTTACCTCCAAGTTGTGGTCCCTGCAGCTGCTGTTGTTGCTGCGCATTCTGGAACACGTTCTCGAACTCTTGAAACTGTGCGTCCTCATGGAACTCGCGATGCTGGTGCTGTTGTGGTCCTCCGTTATGCTGCATGAAATCAAGTGCCCAGTCTGGACCTGCGGGCGCCGCGATCTGCTGATGATGGGAGATCCCCTCGAGCTCCTTGTTCATCTCATTGAACTCGAAGAACTCTTGTGAGTTCGCACCGCCCTGCTGCAGGAATTCCTGCGAAAACTGTGTGCATATTCGTGGTGAAAGAAGAGACGGCAAAGAATAAGTATCCATGTACGACCTGACTTTCCACTCGAATCAAATCCGTATCATCCCGTGCCTGTGCTCTCCCTACCTGATCATGGCCTTGCTGTTGGCCTGGGCGAACAGTGCGGAAACCTGAAGAACTGCTTCCAGCACTCCGAGAGCTGGATGCAAAGCGATCCTGTAGAAATCCGAAGAAAAAAGAAAAAAGCGGGGAAATAAAATTGATTAGTAAAGTAAACTAAAAGGAGTGCACAATACATTTGAAGACAGTTGAAGACAGGGCAAAGGGATCCGCAAGGAAAGAGGAAAAGAGGAGGCGGAGGGGGCATACCTGCTGCAGGGTCCTGTCCCGGGTGAAGTTTTTGACAAGGCCGTTGATGGGGTTGACAGGCCCACAGTCTGCTCCGCCAGACACAAGACCAGGAAACGACATGCTAGTTGTTCTTTTTTAGAATGCGTATGGACGCTGTGATGAGTGGTGAGTGCGAATGAGACTGAGTGAGAGGATGAAGATGGAAATGAAGATGAAAATGAGGATGGGGATGAGGATGAGGACGAGGTAGAGTGGAGTTGTGAGAAGGTGTGAAGATGTGGGCAGCGAAGAGGAGCGGGTAGGGGTGCCTTTTGTCGCTTGCCCGGCTTGTTGGCCGTAGACCGTGGACTCCGGTGAAGAAGGTTTTCTTTGCTCGGCATCGTCCAGCCAATAGGATTCACCATCACGTGGCAATCGAACCCACTTCGTCGGAACACCTTCGCCTTCAACTTCGCCTTCGGGGGACACCCATAGCATCCATAGACTAATAGAGAAGCGAAAGAGTATTCAGGGAAACGCAACTGAATGAGCGTTGGATTGAACATGATGCGTTTTAATAATGAAAATGAAAATGAAAATGAAAAAAGATGGATACAGAACAACAAGATGAATAAAGGAAAGAGGAGATTGTCGGCGCTACTGCCTCACACTTCTGGAGTGCCCTCGCTCGCTCTTTACTTCTTGTCCTTCTTGTCCTTCTTATCCTTCTTCTCCTTCTTCTCCTTCTTTTCCTTCTTCTCTTCCTTCTTCTCCTCCTTCTTCTCTTCCTTGACGTGCTTCTCTTTCTTTGCCTTCTTGGCCGAGGCCTTGTCTTCCTCCGCTGCCCTCTTCTTGCCAGCCTTCACAGGCGCCTCCTCCATGTCCACATCTGCTACGTCCTTCAAACTGTCGATCACCTTCTTCATGGTATCCGCGTTCTTCGACGGCGTAGCTCCAGACTCATAGAACTCCAGACGTTCCTCCACCTGCTCCTTCATTGCCTCACCAAACTTAGTCGTGGGCAATTCACTGAAGCAATCAATACGCGACGCAATCGAGCACTTGTTGGCAACAAAGCGAGAGATACGACCCTTGTTCTTCGTTCCAGCACGGCCAATGAACGATGAGTGGTAGATCAATCCGTACTTGGGGGTGTTGCCCTTGGTCTTCAGTGCACGGAAAAGAGCCTTCTCCGCACCGAGAATCTGGACAGTCGAGGCGGGATATTTCGACAAGTTTGTCAACGAACCCGCGTGAGAGATCAGACGAGCGCCAACCATCTCGCCAATCAAGGCCGACAAGTTGGGTGCAACGTTGTTCATCTTTGAGATCAGATACTCGTGTAGCTTCTTCCTGTAGTCGGCAAGGTCAATCACGCGCTTCGCAAAGTTCTCAATGTTGATCATGTCGATCACTGAAATGTCGGTACCCATGGATGCGCGGGCAGCATCCAAGATCTGCTGTGCCTGCGCAGCATCGCCTGTAATCTCCTCCAATGCCTCCAACTTGCTCTCTGACAAATCACTCTTGTTCTTGATAAGTTGTGCGAGTCTGGCGTACTTGTAGTTGTCGTTGACAATCCTGACCAGCTCGGGAAAGTGCCACGAGTACCACTCCCTATTTTATCAATTCCAGTAAAACATATTGGTTCAGAGTCAGAAAACATTTGTCGGGATAATTGACGCCCCATTTTGATGGATTGTTTAAGCAAAACCTCGTCAAAAGAGCCCTTCCAGTCTAGATGAACGAACCTGATGCGCATGGCAAAGGTGTTGACGTCCTTGTCCATTTGATCCAAGAGAGCGATGGCCTGAATGATCATGTTGTCGGAACGGTGGACGTTGAACTTGACCTTTCCACGAGAGTAGCTGTGACCCAAACCGAGCTGAGCACGCTCGAGATCGCCATCCTTGAGCTGCTTCAACAGCTTGTCGGCAAACAAACGAACACCGCGGACAAGATCCAGGACGATCTCGCCGGCATCGCACTCATAACCGAGACTCTCTTTGATCGATCCGGCCAGAGACTTTTCAGTGACGCCCAAAACGACCTTAGACTTTTTGCCGGGTTTGGGGAGGTTCATCTCCAAAAAGGCCTTGAGATGGTCGTTCATGATACCTGTTGTCCATGCCAATCCAAATGATGTCCATTGGGTGTTGAGTTGAGTTGTGTTTTGTTTTGTTACAGTGTTCATGATGGTTGCGAAGTGCGTTATTGATGTCGTGGAAATAAAATATAATTGTGTTAGAAATCTGAATGCTATCCCGAGCAAGCGGCACAAAGACAATAGCTGCGTTGATAATTACCCTCAGAGACGTCGTTCATGTTCTCGAGAGCATGGGCAGCACTCTTGAAGGGGGCGAAGGACTTGAGCTTGACCATCTTGCCAAACTTGGTGAGATCGGTGGCAGCAGCGCAAACATCTGCAAGCTTTGAACCGATCTCCTCTGACTCCAAGCGCTCAAAGAGAGCATATCCAGAGGAGCTCTCGTACAGGAAGTAGTTGACCTAGTATGACATGAAAGATGGGGATGGGAGGGCCATAGCCATGTTAGGATGATATTGAGTGGGTTGAAGGGCAGCGCGTGTCCGCTTGTTATTGTGGTTATTGTGGTTATTGTGTTAGGTCGAGGAAAGAGGGACAGAAGAGGGAGGCCGCTGCTATTGCATGCACCAGCCAGCCTGACGCATCTGGCGAATTCTGGGTAGGGTGTGGCAACGGGAAAGATGCCGGGCAAAAGTGTCAAGTTACCATTGCGATGACGATGGGGAGGGGTGGAGGAGAAGGGGTGGAGGCGATGGGAACCAGATTCGACTGGCAGCACACATACCAAAAAAAAAAAAAAAAAAAAAAAAAGTGACCACTGTTGTTGTTTATTCCAATTGATCTGCACTTCAGAGGACTCCAATGTCACAAATGGAAAGGGCACAAATTTGTCTTCAGCACAACTAGCCCAAACACGAGAAGAAAGTGGATAAGGGCAACGATGGATCCTGGGCTCACGCCTTCGTGCAGCTCAGCAAATCTCAGCGGCGACGCAGAGTTGCACTGTGTCTGGCTAGGATTGACACAGTATCTCCGGCAGTCTCTACTCTACCCATTGCCTCCAACACCTACACAGTTGCAGCTGGGGCAGTAGATGTTCGCGCTGTGTCCGTTGTTTCGGCCAACATAGCTCACACCGCTGTAGCGACCACCAGAAGCACCCCCATGGCATGGACTCGCGCCTTCAACGCCATTCGCAGCATTGGGTGAAGGGTCGCTTCTAGGGTATGGACCTCCAGTGCCGGTAATGTTTGCAGGGCAAGGAGGAGGATTCCAGCAAAACTGTCGACACCAGCCCCCTAAATCATTACTGTCCCGGCATTCGGCCGTCGGCACGGTAAAATTCAGGTCGATACGACTGTCAAAAAGACTTGAAGGTGCAGATCTTGACCCATAGTCATCGCGTCTTGTCTCAGAAGGGGCGCCTACTGGCAGGTCAGCGGAGGCGTAGAGAGACCAGAAGAGTAGGATGCAACAAATGAGCACCAGGCGATTCAACATGAACAAGAAAAATGTGAACTGAAAAGGCAAGAAAGTGACGAAGGTGCAGGCGATACTGCTACCGACCAAGTCTTGAGAGAGATGACCAATAAAGTGGATCACCTCCTCCACGGTACCCGAGAGTGCGCTGATATACATGGGCAAATTGACCGAAGCTATCAGTCATCGATGTGCAAAGAGTCAAATGCTCCAGCGCCTCAAGCGAAGAGAATATCTTTTTCGTCCTGGCTTCTTCGTTCTCCTTCACTCAAGTCACTGCAAAGCAGAAAGCACAGCAACCGACGCCTACATTGCAGCCATCAGCGCTAACGCCGATCCTGCTGTAGCAGTGGCATTATTGGAGGCAGCATGACCAGCATCATACGCAGCACTCGCAGCAAGAGGAACAGAGACAGAAGCAACAGCAGCAGATGTATTACTCAGGCCGCATCATCCAAAGCATTCCCTTCTTAGCAATGGGTGCACATAAACATGTATGGGCTGTATGGTCCGCAAAGACAGGCCATTGTCAGCCAATCAACTCCACGCACAGCTACTGCTGTGCAGGACGCGCCCCAATCAGAAACGCGCCTTCTCTTCCTCCTATTTGTCTCTTCTTTACCATCTTCACCTTCAACAGAACACAAAGACCCACATTCGCACTAAACCCCTTCGCTATACACGCACAAAACTGTGGATCCTCAGTAAAATCGCCTTTAGAGAACGACATCAAGGCGATACAGCAGACCTTAAAATGCGGACCATCAATTGCAAGCATTTAGTCAATAGAATTCACCATAAAAGTCCATCTTTGCATCTTTGCATTTACGACTACCAGTCATCGACATAAGGGTAGCAGCACTGTGTCGCAGTGGCAAAGACAGAGAAAATAGCATTGGAGGCAGAAACGCCCGCAGAAGAGACCAGCCGATAGGCCAAAATGACAGCAGATGGGGACGCAAAAGAAGCGGTGGGGACTGAGGCTAGATGCCTATGCCCTTGTGAAGACGCTGAAAATAAAAAATATCGACTAGCAGCTACAAATGACTCATGAAATACCCGGCGGTTTCACTCGTGCTTGTGACCCAAGAGATCCACAGGTACCTCTAACTCCTCAATGTCGTGGGCGCTCTAACCTCTAGTACATAAGACCTCATTCTCCGTCTCCCTCGAACACTTAATGAGGCAAGTTGAGTGTGGCACCATTTTGGATACCCTATGTGGAAAATGCTGGTAGGCATCTGTGTCCAACAGAGAATATTTGTGTGGTCTACAAAATATAAACCTCGGTACCACAACTCTTTTAGTGCAATGCCGCAAGGAACTTATTTTCTGCCTGCGGGTTTGATGTGGACCTTTCCGATTCCTGGGCGATAGGCTTCTCGGCTCTTTCTCTGTCCTCACCGCCATCACGTACTCTTTATTACACCTTGCCTAATTTCAGCATGTAGCCATTTAACCACCATCAAGACAAAATACCTACTCTGGCTGCATAAAGGTGGTTCATTCTTTTTTTTTTTATTTCCCTTTCCTTTCGTCCATCGCTCTCCATTTGAACTACAGAAAGCGTTTGCAGCTCTTCTGCACCTTTGTTTAGGAGCCCTTGTTGTATCGTCCAGCGCACTCTCGTCATTGTTCCCTACCACAACCCTTTCCATTCTTGTTACACTCCTCCGACTGCACTTCACACAACTGCTGTCCTGCTCTTCGCACTTTTCTCTCAATCTCAATGCCTTCCCCAAAGCGTACCTACCCACTGCTTTTGAACCGGTCACCCACGTACCAGGTGCCCTTGGAGGTCCTACGTGAAATGGCCTATTTGGTTCACGAGTCCAAGATAAAAGGGAAAGCCTCCCGGGGTGATGCCAATGTGCCGACTGATTCGAAGCGATTGTCGCTTGATCATTCGTTGGCAAAGGCCATAAAAGCTTCTAAGCGCGACAAAAAGCGTAAACCCAAGAAAAAAGCATTTGCAACGCTCGTCGAGAAGGGCAAGTGCCGATTATTATTAATATTTTTATTATGACGCGATTGACAAATTTGACGCGTAACTAACATATAGAAGGTATTTATGTCTTTCCTATTCTCTATAAGACAGCCAAGGTCGTGTCTTATGACGGATGCAACGCTCGAGATGGAGCTCCAGAGCAAGCCAAGGCCTCTAAAGTCCGACCCTCCATCCACGGCCAGCACCTTCGCCGGGACCCAGTTTCGAGTCCTAAAGCCACGGTCAAGGGTGCGAACTCAACCAAATCCGCTACAGACACCAGGGACTTTGGCAAGGAGCCTACACCCCTGACCCCTGATTCTATCGATACTGCTGCGAATGGTCAAGGAATTTCAGATGCCTCAGAGATCGCCAACCCGAGCCCTTCCTTTCCAGAGACCATGAGCCCTCAATCGTCTCCCGTCTCCCAGGGCTTCACCAAATACTTTGGTGGCACCCCAGCTGGATTCCCAGTCGCAGCCGAGCAAAAGCACTTCGCTTCGCCTGAAGACCTTGATATCGAATTATTTATTGAGGATGTCGCTGAACGTCCTGGCATCCTATCGTTGGAACAGCCCCGACTCGATGTATCTGGCTTTTGCGCTCTTTCTGGATCCAATCCATCAAAGCCTCCGGTACCCGCTCAGACCTCCGAGTCTCCATCTGCCTCTCAGCCCATTCAATTGTCACGTTCTAATAGTCAGCATCGTGCTGGCGAGGGCAACCAGATCCCCACACACGGTGGTCAAGGTAGTTCTGGCGATGGAAATGACGATAGCTCAGGGCTTGGCAACAACCATCCCACAAGCAGCAGCCACGGTCATGGCGATCAGACTACCAAAGAAAAAGATGGCGATGATGACCAAGAGGACAATAATGGTGCTCAACGACCGTTGAGCCCTCCGGGCCCGGGTTTTTGTCAGGCCCAGTCGATTTGTGCGGCCCATGCAGCTGCTTGCGCCGCTTCTGCTGCTGCGGCGGCGAATTTTGCGGCGGCCTCAGCCCAATCGGCAGCTACCGTGGCTTCCTCAGCCCTGACTTTTGAACTTTCGGTCAAGGCGGCCAGATCGGGCCGAACAAAGGAGGCGCTTAGTCCACCTGCACAGACGCAGACATCTGCCTCTACGAGTCCGGGATTTTCGCCTAATTCTCTTCAAGTCCGATCATCTCCTGCGACGAGCTCCAGATATCCACCCATCCCTCCTGCTCACGACTCCGGAGAACAGACAATCACGAAAGTCTCCAGTCCTATAGCCTACGTTGATTTGTTGGAGCTAGCCCACCACAGCGGTCTTTTGGACGATCATCTTTTCAATGAGCTTTATGAAAGGGCAGTTAATGACCTTACGGTTCACCATCCTGATAACGCTGAGCGAGGGCGACGATTGCGCGAGATCGCTAGTCGTCGTTTCCCCGATGTTGGCAGCACTGCCAAGGACTTGACTGCTTTGGACCAGCAACATGTACCCCATGCGTCTCATCGAGGCAACTCTTCTTCAACCGCTTCGAACCAGTCAACTACACTCCACAATGCCGACGCCAATTCATCGTCTGGCTCCATGATTCTCCACCAACCCACTCCACCGCCACTTTCATATGCCACGCCAGCTCCAACGTCCCTTCCATACCGTCCAAAATTAGATAGTCGTGATCGTGATGCCAGCAGAAGCAGTAGCAGCAAACATAGTCGTGGAGACCTACAGGACAGACAATTCAGACCATATCCGGATGCCAGTACCAAGCACTTTCGTTCAGGAGCCCAACCTGTTCCGCTTATTCTGTCTCCACCGAGCGCATTCTCTGCAAAGGCGATGCGGGCCGCATCTCAGGCTCACAATGCGTCCTCGCGTAATGTCTCGCCGATGGCACATTCTGCTCGGCCTCAAAGCGCGAGTTCGGGTGGCATCGCCAGAGTTCAGCCCTCATCAGGTCGAACCACTGAATACCAAGGAAGATCGGATCCAAAGACCCCATATACTGTTGAAGAGCCCGAAACACATTCCCCTCCCCCTCGAGTGCCACGGGCGACTCAGCCTAGTAGACGACAAGACGAGCCTGGAGGAAGCAATGAAGGGGATTCGGCTTCGACTGCCATGTAAGCGCAGTAGGATGACTTTGATATTTATAGCTATGGTCCATGTCCTGAAACTATCCATTAAAAGACGAAGAAGGCATAAAAGAAATGAAATTTGAATACCTTTGCTCGCTTGTGCTAATCGTATGTACCTTTGCTTTTCTTCTGCATTTCTGCCTTCTTTTTATTCCTCCTTTCTTCTATCCTTTCATTCTTCCATCTCTTCATTCTCCATCATCCTCTCTCTTTTAAAATTGAATTTTGAACTAAATGTATCAGGGTACCGTTCGAGCAATCCAGACCTACAAATCAACTTCTTAAACCGGCACTTAAGACGCGACTGAGAAACGATCGCAGCGGTGGCCACGATGTCGACGGGGTCAGTAATAATAGTAGCAGTAGCAGCAGTGATAATGGTGACGATCAATGGAAGAGACGAGGTCACCGCAAGCGCCGAAACCGCCTTCTCTCGTTCAAAAATGCAGGGGATTTCCAGTATTTCAACTCTCGCGAGTCACCTAGTCGGGCTACAAAAACCTTTACCACACCCATTCGTCAGCCTATCCGGTCTGCGCTGAAGGAGCCCACCACAACCAGTGCAAGTACCGCCGGCGGCGCTACCGACAACACTCCTCGACGCACCAGTACCGAAAACAACGATACTAAGGATGGCGCCGTGGATAAAAAAAGTCGACAAAAGCAGAGACTCCGCTGTTCCTTCAACGCCATGGAGGAAATCCAGTGCTACAGGCCCATCGACATCCCTCACCAGGCCTCAACCTCTGTAACCACTCCAATTGTTCGCCATGAGACGTACCTGAGCCGCGAAAGCGGCCGCCGTAAGCTTTGGATGGTCTCTGAGATGAGACGCTCGCGACATGAATTTCAGCGTCGAATGCGTGCCACACAGCGCCTAGCGGATATCAAAGGAATGGAGAAAGAAAGAGCCTTGATCGAATGGCGCCGGGCGGAGGAGGCACAACAGGAAAAATTGGAGGAGGAACGAGCGAAGGCGGCTGCCATTGATGCCGGGGGCAATAAGTCTCTTGGTTCCCAAGGCCCGAGTCGGGCTCAAGGACGACGCCTGTGGGCCTCTTCTGGTGCTAGGTCGGACCCCGGTAGCTCGAGGGGTGAGAGCGCCTCTGAGTGTGACGATGATAGCCCTGGAGGCGACGATCGAGACGACCGCGACGGAGATGGAGGCGAAGGTGACCATGGAAGCGACGGGAGTAATGACGACAGTGGGGATGAAGATCATGACAAGGACGATGGATTATTGGAAGTAGGCGAGGAAGGAGCGGAAGAAGTGGACAGGGACAAAAAAGAAAAAAATCATAGCGAAGAAGGAGAGGAAGATGAAGAGGAGGAAGAACAGGAGGAGGAAGAACAGGAGGAGGAGGAACAGGAGGAGGAAGAACAGGAGGAGGAAGAACAGGAGGTGGAAGAAAAAGAAGAAGAAGAAGAAGAAGAAGAAGAAGAAGAAGAAGAAGAAGAAGAAGAAGAAGAAGAAGAAGAAGAGGAGGAGGAGGAGGAGGAGGAGGATGACGAGGGAGATGACGATGGGGAGGAGGAGGAGGAGAAGAAGGATGACGGTTTCGGCAATATCTTTGACGACGAGGATGAAGGTCGTCCGGGTGATTTTGACGGTGGTCATAAAGACAATGCTAGCGAGGATGAAGAAGCCTGCATGGACTCTACCGACGACGATGACCACACCCATGACGGCCAGAATCTGCATGACTCCGGCGTACCCGAAGGTCAAGGACAATCCTCTGATATGGATGCCGATAACGAGACGGAGGATTGCGCCTCACAAAACCCTGGCTCGCGCAGCCTCCTTCGCGCTAGCAGCAAGTTCGACGACTCTGGGGACGATAAAAGCCGGCCGCACGACATTATCGAAATTGACCTTGACAGCGATATCGAGACCGAAGACAAAGTCCGGCCACGCAACGGTCCCACTGGTTTAGATGCTTGTCCAGACACCCCATCAAGCCCAAGTCTAGAGCCCTCCGAAGACAAGGCTAGCAGCAGCAGCAGCAATTCTTCGTTCCATGGATGGCTAAAGCGATATCAGTCTTTAGGCAAGGGGAAAGACTACTCACAGCCACAATATGTCCCTTCCGACTTGTCATCCGATCTTTCGGTATGTGGGAATGAAGATGAGAACCGAAAAACCATGGAACTGATTCGCTGTGCCGAGCACCAAGAGTTGTTGCGGCATCATTATTCAGGCTATTCCTCCAGTTCGGCGGAGGACACTGCTCCGATGGATCAGCAACTTTTGCAACAAAGAAAAGAGGAGCGGCGATTAATGGAGCAGAAGGAAGAGAGAGAGAGTCAACAACGCAAACGCACCGCTTCTGCGAGAGAAAACGAGGAGAGGGAGGAGAAGAAGCAAGTTCAATTCACACTTGCGAGGGCTATGGGTCTTATCTCTCATCTCGGCGATAACGGTTACAGTCAACGCCCTTCGCTTCCTGAGTACGATGATGATGGCCCGGTGGCCGACAACAGTAGCAGCGCAATCGATCCACAAACGAACCCTGCTTTTTCTCATGAACTTGATGAATCCAGTATCCGAAAGATGCTCGATTAGGTTAAGAGTCTTCCATTACTACCACCACAGAACAATGCCAGTAGCCGCACTTCTTCTTTACCTCCACGATCGAGCGAGCCTTTGGCGAGCAGGAATAAAAAGCGGCGATCAAGCGCCACGCCTGCGGATCCGGTCCAAGTCTCATCGCTTTTGCCTGTAACTCCGTCTGAGCCGATTATAGTATCATCGGATTCTTCCTCATCCGAAAAGTCGGACGTGCCTTTTACGAGTAAGAAGAAACAGCATCGTTCCTCTGCCAATGAAGATGGCAGCGAAGTGACCGAAGCATCACCGCCTCCGGCCTTGCTCCCACAAGCAGTACCAGTGTCCAAGAAGGACTTATCGTCAGAGTCTTCTTTGAATTTGACGCCTGTAGTCTTGATCTCTCCGGATCCACCGGGATCGATATCACCAAAATCTCCTTTACCAATGGCAGCCATCACTCCAGTTGTGCCATTCAGAAGGAGTCCTCGAATTATGGCGAAACGTGATGCAAGTGCTGGCGCTCAGCAAGGCAGAACCAAAGCTGAAATGAGGGGCAGGAATGATGCCAGGTCGGTGCCGAAGAAGCGTCGAAAATAGAAGGTGGATGGCGGTTGTTAGATAAAGGTGGAGCTTTTATTTGATGCAGCAGACATGTCGGTAGCATTTTAATAAATGAAGACGTGCGCTGCAAACCAGAGTCTGCAGTTAGGCACATAAAAAAAAAAAAGGCTGGCGTGCATTTTCAACTTTTGGTAACTCAGACCTGCTCAAGCTTGAACAACACGGGAGATTGAGTCCTCCCCCAAGTTACACTGGGGGACAGGAACATTCTGTGAGGCGATTGTATGATTTATGTGCATGAAATTATGGACAGCAAGAGATTGTCTATGATCTGTGTTTAAAGGCGACAATGCAGCCATTGGGCGTTCGTATACGCGTTAGTGTTCAATGCATACGAGGCGTATGCATCCAAGTCGCACGGAGTGTGACCCCTCGCGCTCTTCTTTTTGGCCTCTCTCTCTCTCTTTTCCAGTTTCTGCAGTAGAATTCTAAGGTATATATCCCTACTGCAATCGTATACAGTCGTGTTACCATCAAGAACATCCCATCACAAATTTTGAGTTTGACCTGGTGCAGTCCGTCGTCGAATTTGTTATCAGCTATCAGGACGTCCATCAAAAACGGACAGGACAGCAGTTACTGTTGGTCCATTGAATGTTTTTTTTTTCACAACTCCAGGCAATGACTCTCCAAAATGTTCGGTTGGTTCAAGAACTCAGCAGACCTCGGGTCAGAAAATCAGAGGAGAAGCCTGATCTGATCAAAGTCGACGACGCAGGATGGACGAATACCTCAATTCGGTCTCTGATCTGGGAGGATGTGATCCTGGAGCCATGAGTTAACCCTGTCGGGCCAAATCAGGTTCAACGTTGCGCCCGCCAAAAAGCCGAGTAAAGGACAAAAGGGTGGAGGAACAGCCCAGCCCAGCTCAAGGTATCATGTGTAGGATTCTCTTTTTGGAGCTGCTATTTTGATAGAGCGTAGGCGAAGTACCGCGATTCGTATCAGCACAGCACTTCTTTCTTGTCACATGCAGCTAGATCGATCTCTGAATGCCATATGTACATTTACACTACTTGTTTGAGCTATAGAGAACAACCCTGGATTGCAAAGGGTCGTCTGATTCTTGTCCTAAGCTAGATTAGATATCCTATCGAGTCTTCGACTTATTAAGTTCGGCCGGCTGAACTCCTCAGTTCGATGGCCCGCTTCCATGGATGTGGCACGGCTCCTCGAGCTAGGGCTCGTCTTGGCCATCAGAACATACAACACGTTTTATCGAGATGAGCCGTAACCGCGACGGCTGGACGCCAGAAGAGGCGATTGCTATTAGTTGACACGATCCAGTTTGGGAACAGAGCCTGGCCGTACATGAGAGCCACCTTTTGAAGTGTATCGATGTTGTCCGCGGTCATTGGAAACTCTAGGCTCATTACACGAAGGTTTGGCGAACGAAAAGTTCTCGATCATATCAAGCGTTAATGCTTCGCCCCGGAGCTTTAGATCAACTAGGGATGTGAATGAACACAGTCGTCCCCGAATTGATTGCTTTTCTCCGAACGTATACAGTCTGAGCGGAGGCCAGGGCCATAAAGGCGGCAGAGGTTGATATTCGAGTGGTTGGATATCCATACACAAATTCTCGAGCAAGTTGGCGCATGGCCACGGTTTACTCCCCTTGAAGAGCTCGATTGTCCCGGCCATTGTGCCCAACAGGTTCAATCTGCGCAAGATCCTGCAGTTCTCCAAAAGTATAGAGGCACTGGTGCTGTTGAATTCCATACACCCTTCAATGTCAAAGGTAACCAGACTGTGTGCTATCCTTGGCGATACGTGGACTGATCGAGGCATACGTGTCAATTGTGCATGAGCCTGGTCCGCATGCACCACCGCCACCATCATACCCGTCGCTGAGGTGTTGTCTCTGACGCTGCTTTCAGTGCGATGGTCGAGATCGATGGTCGTAGCAGGGGACTTTGGCATGGTTCTCCGCAGGGTAGCTCGATTCTCGAAGATATCACTCCAGTCCTGAGCGATGACATTGCTCTTCTGTTCGAGTTCAAGGTAGTCGAGGTTGGGAAGGTGCTGGAAAAGACGACGAAAGTGAGGATGCGTAGTGTTCGAATTCTTAGAGTGCCATTTCACAGCACTCAAGGTCAACGACCGAAGCGATGTATTCACCCAACCTTCGTCATCCACCCTGATCAACCCAGTGCACTCCTCCTCCTCTTCTGACTCCTCTTCTGACTCCTCCTCTGACTCCTGCTCGGTGCAGGCGTCCTTGAGCTCCTCTACTATGGTGGCCTTTTCCAGAACCAACGATCTGAGTTGACGGCAATCTCTGAGCGCCAACAGAATAACGTCAATGTGAACGTCGGCATCGACGCACCAGTAAAAGTCTTTCAGGTTCTTGAGAGTCGCTACAGGAGCCATCTGACGGCCCGACGGCTGTGATAAGGCTTGTTCCAGGATGATATGCAGGACTCGAAGCTGTGGCGCCATCTCCGTGATCTGCTCGAGATATGAAGTGTACAAGACCCGCCTGAATCCGATTCTAAGCGATTGCAGGTTGGCGGTAAAGTTGAGAAGGCGGCGGACGCTGGCCCATCTCGCGTACGAGAGACAGAGGAGCTTGACATGACCTTCGTATTTACAGATCTCTGGATAGGCGTTGAATAATTCGTGCTGGGGAAAAAATAGATTTTCGTAGAGATAAGGGACCCAAATGCTATTCCAGGTACGGTTGACATGGATGAGGACCGTGAGATCGCGTTTTGCCAGGTGGTTGGTGATTAAATGGACAAGCTCCGGGATCGAGAGGACAATGTCTTGGAACACCTTTGGAGCAGTGCCAACGCTGCTGCCGTTCTTGGTCCTCCTAGGGCGCAGAACCCTCCGATTAGCCACTTGAGCACGGTCTGGGACCGTTGGTGCCAGCTTGGGCATGCTCTTCAGTGGATCGGAAGGACTGGAAGTAGCGAGAAGGGAGAGGATGGAAGTGAAATAAAAGACGAAAGAGACACATTTATAGCAGACCATTATATATCTGCGAGACTCATGCGACGAGTGCAGCAGGCGTCAATCTTTTGACCCTTTATTTTTGCCCACCTCTCTCCCCCCTCCCCGTCAGCCATGCCCAAAGCCAACAAAGCCGCATCGAATCCTGCCCCAGGGACCCTTCGCCGAAGTCTGCGGCTCAGGGCATCCGCTAACTACGCTGTCGACATCGATGCACCAAGGTCCTCCTAAGATGCTTTCTTTTCTACCCCTGAACTTCTACACCTCCTCGCCGGCTATCTCACACATAATGATCTAACGGCCGCCATCCGCGTCAGCCGTACTTGGAATACCATTTGGGCCCCCTACCTCTATGAAAAGCTATTCTTCCGCGAGTACCAGCAGACTCGCAGCTATCCCAAGATGCACTCATACGGCCATCATGTCAAGAGTCTCCAACTCCTCTCCATCTCCGTAGAATGGAACAATCTCGTCTTCCTTCTCAACTTTACGACCAGCCTACACTCGCTCTTCCTCGGCAACACAAAATTGAGTACTTTGCAGCTTCAGGAGCTCGCTGAGATAGCACCACAGCTTCGAGTTCTGCATATCACCGTGAGGTACCACGAGGCAAAGCCGTTGGAGTGCCAAATGACTCCTGTATCCGCATTCAAGCACCTGGAGGACTTTTACTGGAATACCCTGACCGATATCCGCATCAACGATATTCTTTTCGTGCTTAAATCATGTTCTCATCTCCAGTCACTGGCCTTGACAATCAACACGCTAGTCGAGGAGATTGATGACATCAAAAACAGCAGTTTGATCGTCGATGGTATGCCAGAGTTGATCAAAGTGGACGATGACGGCTGGGCAAGGGCATCGCTCCGAACGTTGAGCTGGGACAGTGCGATGTTAGGACCACGACAATCCTGCTTGGACTACTCGAAACAGCCACATCCTTGCATCCGCCGCCTCTTTCAGCACACACCAAATCTCAGGATGGTCAAGATCACCGGCAAGAACAACATCAGCCCTCAGGGCTGGGACTGCATGTTCGAGAATCAAGCCAGCATCCAAGAGATCGAGCTTGAGTTGACTGTCCTAGCATTCGAAGGCGGTTCTCGAGCCGGCGATTCGGGGTTCTTGAGCGCCGTGTTAAAATCATGCTCGAACCTCAAGAAGTTTACTGCCAAGCATATACCGCCTACAACGGACGAGGCGTTTGCGGAGGTGATGCAGATCAACCACGGGCTTCAAAAGGTAAGCGTCAAATGCACGGACTTCGCGGACTTGGCCCTCCACCAACTGGCACGCCTTCCTCCAACACTCACTTCAGCAGGAACCTCGCATAGCCTTGTTGAACTCGATGTGAAGGGATGTCTTCATATCACCAGCCGTAGTGCCATCGAGATATTCGAGAACTGTCCTCTCCTGCGCAATTTGAATCTGTTGGGCACCAAAGCCGGTACAATCGAGCTTCTCAAGGGGTGCAGGCCCTGGCCTTGTGCCAAGGCGCTGGAGAGCCTGCATATAGACATCCAACCACTCAACTACCAACACCGGCCGCTTGATGCAGGTTGGACGCATCCTGGACAAGCTGAACAAATTGGACAAGCGGAGGTGCCCCCTCTTAATCCATACACACTTGAGGAGCAGGGGTTGATCAGGGAGCGGCTGTGCTAGTTCACTTCCCTCCTCGCTCTCGACCTCAAGGGTGACGCGATGACATATGAAATCTTGGAGGACTTTTCGTTTGCGCCGAAGCTTCGAAGGGCTATTCTGTGTGTTCCGTTCAAGGCAGAATGCTATAGAATGAACCGTGAGAAGAGAGAAATGGCCCTGGAGCGTGGCAAGGCATTGTTCCCGAACTGGATTGTGCAGAATGGGTCAGACATGATTCCGCACGATTCGTTAGTATCATCGTTGCCAATGCCAGAAGGGGCGCTTTGGTATCCTAAGTACGATTTATATAATTAAAAAGCAAGCTCGCCTATAATAAAACTATTTGTGTGGTACAGCGCACACCAAAACCATAGTCGATACGATGTTGGCGCAATCCGACGACGACGACTACCATATGTGGAGAACTTTATTTTTTCACCGGTCGGTCCACCGCTCACCGGTGAGAATCACAGTGTAAGGGACTTTTTCGCACAAAGGCTCATGATTTCTAAGAGAAGAACACCAAACTGGCTTATTCAGGTACTGATAAATGGTGGCAGGCGCTCAGGAGGGGTGTCAGGATAAGCGTAGATCTCTTATTTGTCTTTGTGTAACGATCGCACGCGTTGTCAAGGGATGAAGAGCACTCTGTTAGCGTCTGGAGTTTGCTTGGCGCGGGATTCCAGGACAACAGGGCCCGAAAAATACATATACATCTGTTGCTTTTCTTCCTTTCTTTTTTTTGTGCTTTAATATTATTCTTCATGCTCCTTTTAACATCAACCGCATTGACAAGCTTCGTCGTTGGGGGCCAGACCCCTTTACACACCGATCATTACCAATTTAAGTTGATCAATTATTCTACAGCGCGCAGTGGGTCCGAACAAGGGTCACCAATCCATCCGGCTGGTGCCATAGTGAGAATACCTTTTGTCTATCGTAATACCACATGGAGCAAGCCACTCAATGATGCACAGAAGGATGCAGTGAAAGTAGGTGCACCACTCTAATGGAGAGAATCCGGTGACACCACCAATAGCTACATGGAGGTCACTCTTCCATCAGATACTCGGGGATACTTCGCATTCAGTACCAATTGGCACATTGTGTCCAGCTGTCTTTCTAGTGCCACCACATCTGAGGAGTTCGTTGCTGCCATTGCTCCTGTCACCCTCGACAACGGTTCTCTCTGGAGTCTTTTCAAGTGCATCTATATGGATTATTGAGCCGCCGGATCGTGGCTGCTTCCGTATCCAGAGGTACTCCGTGGTAGTTTCAAGAATATACCAACAAGAAAAATAGCGGATTGGGTGAGCAGGCAGTAACTGTGGCTGTGCCGCTGGGCTAAATGTGAGGATGTAGACCCTCGACAGGCAATAGAACAAGTAACGATGCTTGCTCGGTTCTTGTCTTTTTTTTTCGCTGCACAGATATCGATCCATCGATATGACAATGTTTCTCACTCGCAACACAAAAGAGATCGCCTAAATTGGCGCGGTCTGGTCTGCTGCTTCTCTGTAGGAAACTCGGAAATGTTTACAGCGACGATAACCACAACAACAACAAGGCGGGAAGAGAAAAAGATAAAGAGGAAAAAAAGCGAGAAGGGAGAGCCCAAGCGGGCTGTAATAAAAACCGCTGCCTGGTTCAAATCGCATTCTTGATGGATCGGATGGCTTGTGAGAATCGAGCATGTCCCATTCAGGATTCGATCCTACGCGCTTTCGCCCAGATCGCTCACTCTGACAGCCAGTCTCCAAAATCAAAGTACTCACGTCCCGCTCTCTGCTGCCTTCCACCCCCCACCACCTTCATTCCCCTTCTAATGACAGGCGCGTCGGAGGCATTCAGACTGATCGAGACAGGTGGCGATCCTCGGCTGCATCCAGCCCTGGTAACAACATCTCCTGAACAAGGCATCTCTTGAACGCGAATCCGACATTCCACCGGTACACAGGACTGATTAGCTTCTTTCGACTTGCGTCGGATAGGATTACACACTGTGCCTGCCACTGCTGCTCTCTCGATACTCATTTGAATCGGTTCCTTTCCTTGCGCGCTTTCCACAAGTAAGTACTCAGGGATCATGCAACAATGATATCTTTCGTGATGTTTGCACTCCAAGGGGACTCACAAACTATCCAACACTTCTCTTGCGTTAAAGGCAAGAACCGTCTTGAAGTACTTGGATCTCGACTATCGGTTGATTCAGCATCAAGTCAAGGAGGAGCTGCACTTGCAAAAGCAGGGAGTCAATATGTCAACCACGGCGTCGAGGGCTCGTCTTTTCGAAACAGGAACGGCCGAGGAGCGCGCTCGGTAACAGTCGGTTTTAATGGATCTGGACTTGTTAAGGTTCCGTGCCCAGTGGCACTAATGCTTCTCTGTTCCCTGTCCATCCTAGGACTGTTCTCGTTGAGCTCGAGACATTGATGCGGCGTCATGATGAAGAAAGTCAAACAGGGACACAGCTCAAGGAGCAGGATTCGACAGTGCTCAGTAACCCGATGTATTACCAGGAAGTTTCCGTCCTGCTTGCAACATTCACCCTGCGATGCAAAAACCCCTTATTAAATGTTCAGGTACAGCTGTCGGAAGCAAGAAAGGCAGAGGAATATGCACTATCGCGATAACTTGAGCACTTTCAAGGTTTACTGACATTTATAGTCTGAACTTCCTGTTGCTCTAGGCTATTATTCAGTCGCTGCGCTGGCTGCAGGACTCGGCACCACTGATTACCTATATTATCGCCAACCATCCACTCGAGTTCTTACCAACTATCGAATCGCTTCTAGAAACCACTGGTTCCGTCCAAACTTCAAAGGCGATTATTTTGCGCCTGTGTAAACTGGCCGAACACAAAATCTGGAATGTCCGACAATGGCTCGTCGATCGGAAAGTGTTTCCCAACCTCGCCATTGAACTCAGCATCGAGCATTGCCATGATGAGATATGTTTTATGAACAGGATTCTGCGAGGACAGCCAGAATGGCTCACCAGCGGCATGGACCCTGTTACCAAGACAAGTCTGACGTCGATAATGGAGTTCATATTCTCATCTCTGAACGACGAGCTCACATCGCAACGGCCTGATCATATTTCTGTCATTCGGCTGCTGAGGATTTTGTCCGGCATGGTGGGATTGATGAGCCTAGCACTATCGACTGAGCAGTTGGAGATCTCCCTGGGAGTTCTCGAAATGATACCTATTGAGCCAAGCACGATCGATGTGAAGATTTGCTTCATTTTGATGTGTGCAGCTCAGATACTCAAGTACTCACAATCTCGACTTGAGCGAGTGTTGCACTATCTAATGACATCCCCAGAATCACCGCGGATGTTAAGCCTCTTAGTCTGGCTCCAGGCGCATCAGCTCTTAAAGGTTGACGACTTCGCATCCAAAGCGCTCTCGATGAATATCGTTATCCCGCGAGCCGGCCTGATGGAGCTGAGCACGCTTTTCTCTTCACTCTTCTCAAGCGCCGAGTTGGCCTCATGCGCTCTCGGGATTGGCAGAAGAAAGTCATATATCCCTTGTCGCACAGCAGGTTCGCCAGTACCATTGAAGTCGTCAACACCATCAACGCCATCAGCATCTTCATCGACGATGTTAGCTCCTGCATTCGCAACCGGTTGTAATGCCTCGGAACTGCGGTCTACTGCGAATTTCCTAGTTGGATACCTGCTACAGCAAGATGTATTTCACAAGAGTGCAATCGACGTACGGTCCTGGGTCATGGAACAAATACAGGCGTCCACCATCCCGCTGGATGCCAACATGATTCATCTCTTGCGCTCCTACACCGCCGCCGCTGCACGCTCAAAACATATCTCGCGGATACCGGAACATGACATCCGGGCCTTCTTCAGCAATCCATGCGAGGATCTAACGCCAGCCAAAGTGCTGCTCGTCCTGTATATGCTGATGAACAATGACATTTGCCTCTCTAACTTTGGCAACAATAACAGTAATACGGAGGAGAATCGAGGTAGGCTCAAAGGTTTTTGCTCTGCTCTTTCTTAATCGCTGTAGGCCATAGGAAGGCCATGATGCCAGCCGAGTACTGACTATCTTCCACAGTTCCAACTATAGAATATGACGCGACCCTTTTGGAATACGTGCAGATCCGCAAAGTAATTCTCTATGTCCAAAACTTCCAAGGCGGGATGGCGTTTCAAGCGGTGCAGCCCATGTTTCTGAAGCTCGTCAACGCACAGTTCCCAGAGCTATTTGATGTCACAACGCTACTAATGGAAGAAGGCTTAGCCACAACTTCATGGACAAAAACCTCGCCAGACTGGGTATCGAGTGGGGTAGGAGTAGCAGCGGCGAGCATAGGCACGCGTCAACGGTACATTGAATCCAAGGAAGCAACAGCCGTTATGGAACCTCATTTCAAAGCAATCGCCCAACACATCGAAAATCCGGATGCGGCCGTCAAAGGTAATATTAACGATCTATTACTGTTCCGGGAGTGCAGCCAATAGTGCGGATCTAACTATTATCGTTACTTTCTCCACTAGGATATCACACCTTCCAAAGGTTATCACAGCCGGACAGACAAGGCATGGCCAAGGAGATTGTACAGGCGAGTCTACCGTCGTTGCTCAATCCCAGCTCACATCCAGCTGTCTTGGAGGCGTTCAAAAAGACATGGGATCAACTCAACAGCGTGATGCCGCATGACTTATGGGCCATGACCATCCATGCGCTGATTGAGCGACCAGCTTCTCCCACCTCATCAGACAATCAAGAATCGAAGGGCAGTCAACAGACGACACAGAAAAAGAAGATACAGGAGCAGGGTCAGCCTCAACATCAGGAGTATTATACGTTCGAGTGGCTCGTTCAGGATCCATTGCTGCTTTTCAAGGTGGATTTTCGGGTTTTCCGCTCGCCCATCATCTTTCGACTCTTTGTGCAGATTCTGGGTGCAGTCATGGTCGGCTCTCGGCACTGGTTCCGCAAACAATTTCAAGCTTCGCAGTCTGCCTTTCAGAGTCAACAAAGCTGGATGTCAGGCCAAGTAACACGTCGACAGTTTAAGGAGGTCAACCTGAGCGCCATGCTCTATATCCAGGATTCTGTACTGATCCAGCTGATGCTTGAGACCTGTCAAGCTCGAGCTGAGGATATCGTGGAACCCTTTGTTGCGATCAAAGAGGCAGCGCAGGAAACTGTTCGGAGAGACGGCGGCACCCATGCAAAGACAAAAAAAGAACTCATGGATACCGGAAAGAATAAGGATGCCTTTGCATGCAAAGCAGAAGGCGTGTCCGATGCGCTCAAGGAAATCCGCACGGTCACCTTCAATTTCCTTCACCAGCTCTTTATCGACCACAAGATCTTTCCGAAGCTGCTGCATTTCCAGGGGTATGCCATAGACCTGATACCGATCACGGTGGCAGGGATCGACTCGATCCATGTGTGTCTTGACTTTTTACAGGAGATCCTCTTCGCCAGTGTGCCATTACCTATGTCCGCATCGTCGTCGGTGGGCTCCAGATCAAACGAAAATAATGCTAATACCATCAGCAAAGCGGATGCAGCACCGCAGGTGTTTGCGCTCAGACTGGCAGTGCAGCTGTGTGAACGATTCCCGCTTCCACATACAAGGCAGATGGCAATCGACTTCATTCTGCCGCGGCTGCGGGAGCTGGCTATCAGTACGGGCTTTTCTAAAGAGGTTCTGGAGAGCGCTGTGGTGCTTGCAAAAGGATTCCCAACTCTTGGCAGCGACATTATGGAGGTTTTGCGAGGTGAGATAATTGTTCACAGCGGAAGTCGTGGGTCTTTTTATTATTTGATACTTGGAAATTCTAAATGCTGTGTTTTTTATTCTCTTGACGGATGTTCTATTATAGAAACGAGTGGTCCGCAGGATAAAATGGCACTTGCAAGGACTGTGGACGCCATTAGCCAGGCACTGTCGGACCCCACTATTTGTGACAAGAGCCTTCTCTAGAAGAACGAACCTCAATGTATAAATGTACCGGTCTTTTACCTTCTCCCCATGCAGCAATGCATGCAGCAACGAGCTATCAATACCCTTAAGTATCCCATTCGAATCAGGGGATCTTAGAGTAGCAAACAAAAACAAAGAGGTGCGCGACGCGTTCAGCTTGTACTCTGCCCATTTTCCCCTCACCCAACTCATTCCTGGCCGGTCATCGACGCCGACATCGACAATCGATATCCTCTACAAGTCCTATTTCATTCCGTCTTGAACCCAGCGCAGGCAGCGTGAACAGGATACCATGGAGCAGCTGAATCGCTCAGTAAGGACACGCAAGGCTCTAAAACTACTTGAAAAGTAACCGACCGTGGCCCCGTACTCAGTTGATGCCATTCCCCATCGCCCCCATACGGCTCTTCTCGCACATGCATAGATCTCCAAGCTCAAACCTCCTACAAAGATCACCTCGTCTTCATCGTCGTCATCGACCATAGCAACAGCACTGGCAGTGGCAGCTGCCCTTGATAGCAGCTGCAATGAGAACACCAATATGCAAAGCGCTCACAACAGCAACATCACGAAAACCATAGCATCAACGACGACAACCACAGCGGCGACAACAATAGCAGTTTCCGGCGTCAAGAGGAAGGCCGAGGATTCCATATTCGACAAGCGCACGAAGAACATCTCTGCAACATCGAAATCAACATCTGCAACGGGCGCGCCTGCCTCTGTCGCAAAGAGGCCAGTGGCAGGAAGCATCAGCAGCAACCACACTCTCATGCCCAGTAGAGCCACAGCAACGCCTAGAGCCCCTCTAGGCCGTGTCAGTCAACGCACTCCTACTACTTCTACTATCGCAGCATCGCGTCGTCCCACGACCGCCTCGAGAGCACCAGTGTCTGCAAACTCAACAAACACAACGCCTGCGAGGACTGGCGCTACATCGGCTGCAGTTAAGATGCAAACCAAGACCCGTGCCCAGCAACCCAGCCCTGCCGCAAGCGTATCCTCTAGTATATCGGGCTCGAACTTCGAAGCTACAAAGACTGGCGCAGGGGCCGATATGAGCAACAGCGACATTTTGAGCACACTGGCGCTACCAAAAAAGAAAAAGCGACCTGCTTGGGACACTAAAGGACGGCTAGAGGACATGGAAGAGTTGACTAGTACGCTTCATCAGCTACTGCAGACCTCCGCCACCAATATGAACGACTTAACCGGAAAGTTGGAGTCGAGCGAGAGCAAAAGTAAGTCGAACCATGTATGGCGTTTTGTTCTCCAATCGTTTTTATGGTACGGGTCTTGATATTTGAGACGGAGTGGTACTAAGTAAATTATAAATGGTTTTCGCCGTCTAGTCTTCGAGTTGGAGTCTTTCCGACAAAGTCTCGAGAGTAAGGTTGCTGTCAAAGAGAGCGAGAATAAGGACATTCTACAAAAGATGAAGCATGTGGAACAGGACTTGCAGGTGAAATATTTTTCCATGGAAACGATTAGCACGACTGCAAGCACAATGGTGCTTATTCGAGGGCCACCACGAATTTATCGAAACTCATGAGCCTCTTGTTGCTCACATTGCCTGCACTATAGATGACCGCAAGGCAGCATGAGGACGAAATCCGGCTGTTGAGGTCTCAACACAACATGGAGATGGAGCAGTTAAGGATGACTCAGGCTAGACTGAAACAGGAAACTGAGCTGCTTGAGACGAAACTGCGTGCTACCAACACGCAGCTCGAGCATCAGATGCAAGAAAACAGTAGTCTGCGCAGCACTATCTCGACGCAATCATCAAACTGCCTAGCGCTCGAGAGTGACAATCGGGCACTCAAGATGAAGATTGAGGTACAAAGCTGGAATGCAGGCACTGGGTTCTCTTAAGGACTTGGTGTCTGGACGAGGATTTGTGTCTGCTAAACGCGAGTCTAATATTGTTCATTGTCTTTGTTTCCATTTTTCTCTTTTTTCTTTTTCCTTGTGCTGCAGAGGACCGAAGACACGCTGATTCAGAGAGAGACTACAATTGAGACCCTGGAACGACAGCTGTCCGAATCACAAGTGCTTGTTCAGGAGCTGGAGCAACGCATTCGCTATGAGGAGACAATCCGCCGTCGTCTCCACAACACTATCCAGGAGCTCAAGGGCAACATCCGAGTATTCTGCCGAGTTAGACCTGTGAGTGACTCCCCAAGCGCCAGCAGGAATGAAACGACGGCGGCGTTGATCAAGTATCCAGACCCAGAGGGCCGGGAAATTGAGTTTGCGCAGTCGATCGAATCGGCTACGGGTTCGCAGACTCAAAAGACATACCCGTTCACGTTCGACAAAGTCTTCCAGCCAGCATCGACACAGGATGACGTATTTGAGGAGATCTCTCAGTTGGTGCAATCGGCTCTGGACGGTTATAATGTGTGTATCTTTGCGTACGGACAGACTGGCAGTGGAAAGACACATACGATGGAAGGGCCCTTGAATGCAGATGCGAAGAGCATGGGTATGATTCCTCGTTCTGTTCTACAAATCTATGAGAACGCCAAGGCACTCGAGTCCAAGGGTTGGGAGTATACGATGGAGGGACAGTATGTTGAGATTTACAACGAGTCGATCAATGACCTGCTCGGGAACGACGGGGCGGATGCTCCAAGCAAGAAGCACGAGATTCGACATGGAACAAACGGCAAGACAACTATCACAGATATTACGACCGTGGTGCTGACCTCGCCTGAAAAGGTTGCGGCTCTTTTAACGAAGGCAGCCCATAATCGATCGGTCGGATCTACACAGATGAATGAGCGGTCGTCCCGAAGCCACTGGTGAGTGGATATCAAAACTATATCTTTTTGGATCTCGACATATTTTTTAACGGTGCAGAAATCGTTCTGTTATTAACACAGTTACGCTTTCTCTATCTATCTCGCTATTGTGCATCGCGGTCTTTGCCAACAGTGTATTCACACTTCGACTGTCTGGAAGGAATTCTATAACGGAGGAATCGAGCGAAGGTGTTCTCAATCTCATTGATCTTGCAGGTTCAGAGCGATTGTCACAATCAGGCGCAACGGGCGACAGACTGAAGGAGACGCAAGCGATCAACAAGAGCTTGAGTTGCTTAGGTGATGTTATCTATGCCATCTCAAACAAGGATCCACACATCCCATATCGAAACTCAAAGGTAAAAAAAAATATATCGGAGGGATCACGCTTGATGAAGAGAAGCGGCTGCGACGTCAAAGGCGATGCAGCAGAGCAAATAATTGAACAATGTACAGAAACTAACTTGTCCCCCTCTTTTTCTATCTCTCTTGGTTTTGACAGCTGACATATCTGTTGCAGAACTCGCTCGGAGGCAACAGTAAGACGCTTATGTTTGTCAATATCTCGCCGCTGATGAGCAATTTTAACGAGACGCTATGCTCTCTACGCTTTGCGACCAAGGTGAATGCCTGCACGATCGGAACCGCGACCAACAAGCGAGCGGTCGTTGGCAAGCCATGAGGCGCATGAAGATGAGGAAATGACTGAACAAAAGCTTGTCTCGACCATTTTCTATATTCTCCCTTCACTCGTGTCCTTGTGTACATTACTTTTATCATACCCCAGCCAGGCATGCAGTTTACCAGCCGCGCATTGTGTTTGTTTTGGAGTTCTTTTGTGTGTGTGTTTTCGTTTTTTTTTTTTTTTTTCCCTCTTTCTTTCTTCAGTCATATTTTCTAAACCCAAGGTAGCGACTTCAGATGTATGGGCTGAGATATCTGGACAGTTGTGTATCATAGATTCAAATAAAAGTTCATTTGCAGTGAATGACACAATGGATGGCATAGAGAGAGGTGCAAACGGCGCCTCTGTTTCTAAGAACTAGTTATTCAGGTTTGCATGGGATGGTTATGAATAAACTGTATTTTTTTCGGGGCATCCCTGTAGTATGTGTGATATCTATTTATCTATAGGGTCCTGTACTCATCCGCAGCCTTGACGAGTCTTGCAGTAGTAGCGAGCTCCTTAGCACTGTGTCCGGCATCGGCCATGAACTCGAACTGGGCTTCTGGCCAGACCTTATGCAGGTCCCATGCAGAGGTGGCCGGGCAGACGACGTCGTAACGGCCTTGGACAATGGTGGCGGGGATATGACGGATCTTGTGGACGTTCTCCAAGATGTGAGCGTCGGTCTTGAAGAAGCCCTTGTTGAAGAAGTAATGACACTCGATGCGAGCAAAGGCCAGGGCCCAGATGTCCTCGGCGGCCTTGGCGACCTCGACAGGGTCGACATAAAGCTTGGAGGTGGTGCACTCCCAAGTGGACCAGGCCTTGGCGCACTGGATGCGTTCTTCTTCATCAGAGCCGGTGAGGCGCTTGTGGTAAGCGGCGATCATGTTGTCGCGTTCTGACTCTGGGATGGGCTTGACGTACTCATCCCATGCATCTATGTTTTTTTTTTTTTTTTTTTTTTTTTTTTTGGAATGACAGAAGAGAGAGGGATGGGATTAGAAAAGATTAACGGAGGAATGAGATACTAGCTGGGTAGATGCTGTGGGGGCTGCAAATGATGCTACTGTTCTCTGGTCTTTACCGGGAAAGATGTTGGAGGCACCACCGTGTTCGTAAAACCATCGCAGCTCAGATTGGCGCAACATGAAGATACCACGGAGGATCAGGGCCTTGACGCGATCGGGATGCTCCTGAGCGTACACCAAGCTATTGGAGTCCCAGAGGAGGATAAGAAGGTTTTTTTTTAGTTCAGTCGTGATGAACATTTATTTCTCACGCACATCAAAAAAAAAAAGTCCGCAGTTGAGCAACAAAAAATCCTGGGAAACAAGATCCGGGGGGACCTGGATGCTGGACTGAGAGCGACATACTGCAAGCCGCATGGTTCATCGTCTCCTTACCTGAGGGTGCTGCCCCAAGAGCCTCCAAAGACGACCCACTTTTCGATCTTCAAGTGCTCTCTCAGCTCTTCGATATCGGCAACCAGGGACCAGGTGGTGTTGTCCTCGAGCGAGGCCGTGGGGGTCGACTTGCCGGCTCCCCGCTGGTCCAGGAGAATGATTCTGTAGACCTCAGGGTCAAAGTAGCGGCGGTCGTGGGCAGAGACACCGCCACCGGGACCACCGTGAAGGTAGATGACAGGCTTGCCCTGGGGGTTGCCGGATTGCTCGTAGTAGAGGCTGTGGACGTCAGAGACCTTGAGGAATCCATGGTCGTAGCATTCAAGCTTTGGGTAGAGAGCGGTTGATTCTGGCATGGTGTTTTTGAATGGATGAGGAGTGAAGAGTAATGAGCAATGTAGAAAAACATAGGCTGAGGTCATGTTCCTGGACGTGGCTTGAGATAAAGATCCTGGGACCCATTCTATTGGGGGACCTTACTTAGAGCGCGTTTCGTGCCTGTTTCCCACGGTATTCTATAACAGTGCACGCGATGCCTTGGCACAGCCCGCGAGGATGACAGAGTGATAGGGAACTCGATGGAATGCCAGGGCCACGAACCATTCCCCCCACTGCACTGTCGAGTCGCAGTGGTCGATGATATGTTTGGGCAATGTCAAGTGCGGCACTTATTACAACTATTTTTTTATTTGATTGCACAGTAGATAGTTTTTGGAAGAAATCCTTAGCTCTCACGCACCATATTATACCTCTCCAAATCGAGGCTTCAGTACTCGGTGGGGGCTGACTCGACGGGTGTGTTGTTGCCTTACAACTCAGTTTTCTCTCCAGTGTACGGCTGTGTGTGCTGGTGCTGTTGAGGCTGGAGGTCCTGATCATGACGAAGCGATGACCTATCGGCACCAACAGGCACATTCTCGTCCAACTCAGTCTTATCGGCCGTTTGGCGAGGATACCCTTGCTGAGGGAGACCATCGCGACCATCATGAACACCGTCTGAGAGACGGGACTCGCCTGTGTGCTGCGATAGCTTGAGTTGTTCTGCATCATTCTCCAAGTGCGACACTGGCTGCGCGCGCGTCTTCCATGCGGGGACGTCCGAGTTGAAGACTTCGTCCATCTCCTCGAGGGTGTGGCCCTTAGTCTCGGGGAACATGAAGAAGACATGGATGGTCATGGCCACGCAGAAGGCTGCAAAGATAAAGTAGGTGCGGTACTGGATGTTTTCCAGAGCTGGAGGAACAGCGTAGGCAAGGATAAAGTTAAAGGCCCAATTGGAGGCAGTCGAGAGGGAGACAGCCTTGGAGCGGATACGAAGAGGATAGATCTCGGCAGGGTAAGTCCAGGAGACAGGGCCCCAGGAGATGGCGAAGGAGCAGACAAAGAGATAGGAGCAAGCAATGACTGCACGCGAGGCGGCGTCATTGTCTTGGATGGCCCAAGTTGTGGTGGAGTTTGCCTCAAAGGTCGTGGCAGAACCGAATCTGCCCATTAATCCGCCGATCATGAAAAGCCAGAAGGCCATGAAGGTCGATCCGATAAGTAGCACAGGGCGACGGCCCCATCGATCAATGAACAGGATGGCAGGAATCGTCATAACAACGTTCAGGACATACTGGATCGAAGATGCCTGCAGGTTGGCATTTTGGCCAGTGATGCCGGCACCCTGGAAGATGAAAACGATATAGTACATGGCGACATTCATGCCCGTCAGCTGGGACCAGGACTGAAGGGTCATACCCAAAAAGACACGCCTGGCATTCGGGGAACGGAAGAGCTCGCGATAAGAGCGAGCAGCCTGGGTTTTGTCAAAGTTAATGACTTCCTCAATCTCCTTGAATTCAGCCTGGACCAAGGGGTCGTTCTGATTGCCTCCTGCACGCAAGTTACTGAGAACCTCAAGCGCCTCCTCCCAGCGGCCATGGTCTGCCAGCCAACGGGGCGAATACGGGAACATGGACATTCCGATAAGAAGGATGATTCCAGGAATGATCTGGATCCCCCAGGGGATGCGGAAGGCAGCGTTGGAGTTGATGAAGGAGCACCCATACTGAATAAAGTATTGAATAAGAATACCCCAAGTGATGGCCCACTGTTGGAGCGAGACGATTCGACCACGGATGTTCTTGGGAGCGATTTCAGACTGGTAGACGGGAACAATCATGGAACAGAGGCCGACAGCGATACCGTTGATAATACGACCGACAATGAGCATGCCGACGCCTACAGAAGCGCACTGGATGATGGAGCCGACAATCCAAATCATGGCGCCGAGCATGATGGTGCGTTTGCGGGAGATCCGGTCGCCAAGTGGACCGGCCAAGAGTGCGCCGAAGAACGAACCTGCGGGCATAGAGGCTACGATACCGCCTTGCAGAGAGGACGAGGGCTTGTGGAAATATTCCTGGTAGCGATCAGTGCCTACAACTCCTGACATTGAAGCGATATCGAAACCGAATAGCATTCTAAAGGTAGCGGATAGGTATATTTCGACAGCTATATGAGAAAATAGGCTTCCCAGGAGGTACCCATATGAAAAATAAGAATGCAAGGGTGTCTGCTTACCCGCCAATGGTGGCGAATGCGCCCAGGAAATAGACATTGCCTAGGAGCCTGTACTTTCTGGACACCATGATGGAGGTGTGTATGTGTGAGTAAAGGTATTATAGTGCTTGAGGAGGAGTGCAATTTTAACTGTAAGGTGAGATATCAAGGATGGGAAATGTAAGGTGGAGATGGAGGGGGATGTGAATAGTTTTTATATATTCGTTGCCGTGGGGAAATAAAGATGGTGATGGTAGTGACGATGCTGCTGCTGCTGCTGCGATCCGAATTAGGGCAAACGGGTGCAGCAGGGGTTTGGTAGAGAAGCGACAAACTCTCGTCATATTAGACTATACGCAGTCGACATGGGCTCGTAGGCTACATCGAAAAGTGCATTAGGCCATGGTCTTTGTCCTCGGTATCCGATGACATGATTCGTTGGAGCATGCTTCTGTGTACTCTCGCGTCCACATTTTGAACGGGGGTTTTTTGATTTTTTTGTTTGTTTGTTACTTTTTTACTTTTTTGTTTGTGCATGCGACAGCTTCTTGTCAACTGGACGTCATTTTTTTTTTTTTTTTATTGGCAACGACCATGGATGGGTCCATGTCAACTCAACCAACATAACCAAACATAGTGGTGAACTAGTGAAGAAGAACACGCATTTCTTCACAATGCACTTATCGTCTTCTGTTCTATCCCACCATGCACGGGTAAGTAATGTGCCTTGTGAAGCGTGCGTTCACAATACGTCAGTACCTTGTCGTTGTCCTCAGTCAAGCTTGTTTAGTCTGCGCTGGGACCTGGTCATTTACGGAGTGGTTCCTGAGTACTGGGAATCGGCATAGGGCTTTCTTATTACCCCACACGTCCAAAATGGGACCGAATTACATCATGTGGATATATGTAATACCGATCGGGGATGTCTGATTGGCTACCCGTCGATCCGATACTCGATTTAAGGTTTTTTTTTGCACCAACATTTTCAGGTTGAAGCACCATGATCCATCAAGTCTTTTAGTCGATCACCTGCTGCTGGACTACCATCCTCTAGCTTACTTGTACACATCAAAGCACGAGCGGTCTTGGCCTACCGCTTAGACTTATCCATCTTGGGTATACAAGTTTACTGTACTCATTCTGGTCCTTGCTCCCTAGCGCTCAACAAAGTCGCACGGTCATGCTACATATCCAGTGTTTGAATATTCCCCGCCGTTGCCGCTGCCGTTGCTATGATTGATATCACTCCTCAAACTTTTTGCAGTAAAGTGCACGTTCGACCACTGCCAATAGGTCTACCTTGTCCATATCCACATGTAAACAACTCTACTTCATGCACCTCAGGTTTCTCCTTGGCCTCTGACTTCATCTTCAACAGAATGGTTGCGCTAAAGGCCATCGTATCGCCGCCATGGGTAGAAGGCGAGAATCGTTTTTGCCAAATGAATATTGTTCCTGATCACTCCCTGCGCTTTCTCAGTGCTACCAGACCGCGCAAGATTCTCAACGGAAGCAACCCAGTCGCTATCGGCCCCAATCTCCTCAATGTCCGCCGAGAAGTCCGCTGTCGCATCCATCAGCACTAGTAGCATCGCCGCCTCGCCCAGCTCCTCCAGTTGTACTGCCGTACTGTGGGCGACGCTATACCTTCAATTGACTAACCAAGCAGAGGACAGGGCCACTCAAATTTGAAGGGCGGCGGATTTGTTTCGATACTGTCCCACGCCATCTCTTCTGTATAACTCCAAGTTGTCCCTTTTTCCTCAGATCCGTGGGCTTTGGAGGCCTCAGATAGGCTGCTCATAATGCAGGCGCGTTGAAAAGGCCAAAAGTCGAGCAAACGCTACCAATGAACCTGACGGTGAGAAGCATCCAGCCGCCAAGAGCGAGAATGCTGCCATGAAGACTTACTCCCCCCTGTGATGTTTTATGTACCTGAGAGTGAGTCAAGGAGACAAAAGAGCGTTGTTGTTTATTATGCTCCCGGTAGGGGTTTTTATAGCCCCGACCTGGGGCTTGGAGTATTAGATAGCTTAATAGTCCCATGAGTAAAAATGGAAGTGGCCTAAATATGAAGGTTCACTCCCAGTACAGTCCCAATTTGGGGTCTGGACGGAACAACTCCCCCCGAGTTTTGATCCCTCAAAACTACTGTTGAGATGGGGTTATTCATCGATGTGTGAGGAAAATGATAGTAAAAACCTCTGCGATATGAAATGTAATGGAGGAAAAGGTAAACCTCCTAGTAGTTCGTCTGAGGAAAGCGAGAAAAACCTCAGTTTGATGATTTAGTTACGAGAGAAAAAGGTAAAACTCTGGTGCGTCAACGTCTGTGCGTTGCAACCTTAAAATAATGAATGTGGGGAAAAATGTACAAAACCCCTGAATTTTCTTTCTCTCTTCTGGAGAAGACTCAGAGCTTGAAAGCCCTCAGTAAGCATTATCGTGCTCACTACTTTGCTTTCTTCCTGGGAGAGGAGTTTTTCTTTCCTCTTTTTCCCTTACTCGCATCTTTTGAGACTGGTTTTTGCTGTGCCATCTGTTGTCGTAGCGTTTTTCTCTGAACTCTCTTTCCTTCTCTGCTTGCTTTGCAATGACATGAGGGTTCTGTTGGTTCAAGCGCCTCCAGTACCGTCTGATGATCAGATCTGAATCAAAATTGTCATACTCTAGTTGCGAGTTGTGAGAAGAGTCGTATCCCTTCCACTTGACAGTGTACCTCGCCCCCTCCGCCGTGAGTTCGTGGCCAAGAATGGCTTCGACTTCGTACGACTCATCATTGCGACCATCTAGGTCCTGCGTGACAAGTTTGAGTTGGACAGGGGCGTAGTTGCGTTCTAGTTTCTGATTCGTGGCATCCAGCAGAGTGAAAGCTCCATTCTCTTACGTTCCATGACCTTGTAAGGGCTTTGGTGCTTTGGTGCAAGCTTGCCTTCCGGGAGTTGCTCTCTGGCCATGACATAACAGTCAGGAGGGAACCCCAGAATGTGATGTGTACGATTGAACCTATCAATCATTTTGCGCTGTGTTTCTGCACTGGCTTCTGACACTGCCGGAAAGACTAGTTCCATAAGGTATTCCAAGCGTTTCTCAAGTTCTTCTTTTGTCATAAGATGTGCTTCTGCTGACGTAAAATCGGTTAGCCCTGCAAAGGAGCGCCCGAAGAATAATGAGAACGGCGTAGACTTGTGAAGACTCGCCGCACGCACGTTTAATTGGAGTTGGGTCAAAGGAAGGTAAGCATCCCAAAGATCAAGACGACCTTCAAGTTGCTTTTGAATATTCTCTTTAAGGGCTCTAACATATCTCTCAGCAACACCGTTGGATCGAGGATGATATGGTGTAGATAACCTGTGATCAATCTGCAGCTTTTGCGACATGAGTTTGGCTACTTCATTTACGAATTCGGTGCCATTGTCGCTTTGGATAATCTTTGGGAAACCAATTGTACAAAATAATTTGAAGAGGACGCCTGCAACTGTCTTGGCTTCCTTATTCGGCAATGGTTCCAGGAAGACGAATCTAGTACAGATGTCAACCATTACCAAGGCGAACACGTTGCCTTGCCTGCTAACGTCAAATGTGGCGAGATCTATCGCTATATGCTCTCCAGGTAATTCTGCATGAATGGCTTTCAGTGGATGATATCCTTTGCGTGCAATATTGAAGTGCTGACAGGGTCCACATTGGCTAACCCATTTGAGACAATCTTCCCTGAGCTTTGGTCACATTTACCCTCGCTCATAAATGGCCTTAACCATTGCATTACCCCCGAGATGACCAAATTCATGGACTTGATTGAGTATTTGTTTGCGTTCTTCGACGTCTAGAACGGTAGTTCTGTCCATGTCGTTCGTCTGCATAACATGAGTATACGATGCTTCATGATTAATGGGTACTGTCGAGAGACGATCTGCTATGTCAACTGAAGAAATAGTGATGTCCTCTTTTGTAGGCGAAAGAGTGGCCTTTCGTAGCCCTGACCTAGTCACTGCTGCAATACGATGCTCCTTGCCTTTAGAGTTTACACTCTCAACAGGCGTCCATAGTTCATCTGGAAATGCTCGGGACAATGCGTCTGGAATAACATTCAACAGCCCTGGACGATACACACACTCGAAATTATAATTGAGCAATGTTTCCTTCCAATTCGTAATGTATGTCAAGGGTCTGTGATCAGTGTACAGCGTGAACCTTCTACCCCACAAATAGTGATGGAATCTCATGAGAGCAAATATAATCCCCAAGAGCTCCTTTTTCGTGCTTGTGCAGTGTGTGTGCCTGAAAGGAAACGTAGTTCACTTTAGATTCGGCGCTTTTTCCTTTTGGTAACTGGTACAAGACTGCACCGATGCCCACATTAGAGGCGTCAGTGGCGACATAAAAAGGTTCTTTGAAGTTTGGGAATGACAAAACAGGT